TCTCTCTCTCTCTCTCTCTCTCTCTCTCTCTCTCTCTCTCTCTCTCAACCCTTCATTATTTCAACCGCGATGCCTTCCTGCCCCATCGAGACCACCTGTTGTACCAGTCGTGCACCCCCTTCTCCTGACTGCGTGCCATCTCGGCCAGTTGCTCAGGCCCAAAGAACGAACAGACGAGGCTCCAAGGGCCACGTCCCGTCATGGATCTCCGTCGACACTACAGAACTTCAAGCAATCTTCGAGGAAACTGCCCCGAGTGACCCCTGTCGGGCAAACCACATCATACACAAGAGCAGTGCCAAGTTTAGAGAGATCCTCGAGGGCGATAAGGAGTGCGGAACAGACACGGAGTCAGAGCGGATCCAAGAAAAGAAGAGCTCCAGTACCTTGAAGGCTGTAACGCAGAAGCTCAAGAAGCACCTCTCGAAGGAGGACGGGGTGTCGAAGCGAATGTCCAGGCAGAGCATCGGCACAAGTGAAGAGGAGGTCGAGCGCAGAGCGGAACTCAGAAGGATCAGAGAGAGGAGGATTCGAGAAGAGCTGAGCAATGAGGGTTGTTATGACGATGATGCAAAGTCCTTGCCCTCGAGTCCGGGTACGCCTCTCAGGAACGATCGTCCATCGTGGATTCCTGGCCAGTATGTGCCACTGCCGACTTTGGATCTGCCCGCTCTGGATCCGTTGTACCTACCACCTCCGCACTTGAGTCCTCTTGAAACGTGTGTGACTGAAACCCCAACTCAGAAAAAAAGCTTTTGCTGACACGAGTTAGGGCACATAAACCGCTTCTGGCAACAGATTCGACGGCAAAAACGCCTGGATGCCAGTCCGATCCAGCTTCTCCAAGTACCGCAATGATCAATTCCACCGTCTCAACCTCAGTCTCCCGACGATGCAGCCTGCCTGCTCTGTCTGACGCGGGCACTGAACTCGACAAACCAATAGCCTATCTACCCACTCGGAAGCGTGGTAGTTCAGTTGCTGAAGTGCCAGCAGCACCCATCATCGCGGCTCAACGACTTCCAAGTCTCACCGATCCACTCATCTCAGCATGGCGTTTGTCGTTCTCGGCAGATAAGCGAGGGGAGCATCTCCGGAAGCTCAGCGGTCAGGCGGTTCCCATAACTTTGAACCCAGAGCTGCTACGGGAAAAGTCACCCCCTGTAGACCGATGGCTCCATAGTCAAGGGCTTAGGTCGCCATCACGGGCTTTTACGGAATCGGACGATGACGGGATTGCGGGAAATTCGGAATCTCAAACAGTTCAATGCCATGCCCATGATGACTTTGGAGGCGTTGATGGCGTCAAAGATAATTTGACAGCAGTTCATCTGCATGATATGAATATATCAGAGCGTCTTGCTTCCAAAGGTCTCCAGAGTTCTGCTTCATCGCCCCAACTGTCAAGCTGGGGCTCACACCAACGTGATGTTGACAGCATCAGCAACATCTCTCAAGCAGCTATGGCTGAGCGTTCTCGCTTTTTGCGAACTACCTCAGACTCTGCGCATCTGAGTGACCAGATTCCCAATTCTTGGGGGGCCGTTATCGAGCACCGCTCATCATCTATTTATCCATCAGACCCAAGTAGCATGCCACACTCTCGGGAAAGCTCATTTCTCAACCTGCTGTCCTTCTTTCCTAGTCCTAAGGGACGCGAGATTCGTTCATCGAGGGGTACTGTTCACCATCCTACTACGCGCCCTGGCTAATAATGTTTTAGCTGCAGAATCTCCTCCGCCACTGGCCTGCTTAACAAGATCAGCAACGGCAAACTGCTCCTCTGCCAGTCTCTCGGTTCCTTTGTCTAGACAAAATCACCACTCGAATCATGATGACAGTTCCCTTCTGGCCTCAGAAACCGCGTCATTCCGAGAGCGAGAGTTGGAGCTCAGTCTCATCGAAACACGGTTTGCCTCTTCTGAAATCGTCAAGAGTCGCAACTCACCTGTGCCCAGTAGATTCAAAGAAGAGTTTGACATGGAATCGGAAGCACCTCCCGAGCCACAACATCGGAAGCCTTCCGTCTTCAATAAATTAGCCACCAAATTTGCAGTCAAGACCTACGATGGCACCTCGAAAATTGAAGAGCTGTTGGATGTTCCGATACCAAATTTCAATGCGGAGTCTCTCCGGACCCCTCGAGGCAGTTCCCGGGTTACGACCAGTTCTGGTGTTGATCGTGCCGGTACCAATAATCCCTTGGCGGAATTCGAAGATTCTGCACATATGTGGACCAAGGCTATCAAGAAGGATGACAGGGCCGAGGATGTCGCCAAAAATCTGCGTCTGCCCGGAAAACAGGCCAGTGGTGCTAGAAAGAAGAGTGCCATGGAAGATGATATACCAAAAAGTGCCTTTGACACCATCTTTGGTGGCCTAGCCAAAAACAAGAAGAAGAAGGTTGATATCAGCGACCACAAGAGTGCCGCAGAGGAGTACAATGCACGCTTTCAGGAGCGTTTGGCTGTCAAAGAGCTTGTGTTGGGTTCTTGGGAAGATGAGATGGCAGCCACAGCTGCGAAGGCGAAGACAAAAAGTAAGAACATTGTCAAGAACTACAAGCTGACGGGACCTGACAAGAGGTATCCGGCGACTTGGTCACGTTTCGATTCAGAGAGTCGGGTCGAGCGGTGCATCAGTGCCGGAGCGATGGACCGAGTCAACGTCAAAGACTTTGCAGTCCTAGGTCATCGAGATGATGGGGAGATTATCTGGTGTCTCGAACATGATGATGACGGTCATCACGCCGAAATCGAGATCGTTCACGAAGGTCTGACAGGCAGGCTGGGTAACAAGATTAAGCACAAGGCCTACAGGTTCGACACGCAAGATGAACAGTCCCAGCAGACCAGTGGACGAAGAGGAAGCTTGTCTGTTGCTGGTGAGCTTGAATATCCAGAGTTGGAAGTCTTGCCATTCACTCTAAGAACACAAGAGGAGATGGTAGCGGAAATCGATGCTGAGCAAGAACTTGAGAGAAAAAAGCAAGAGCAGGAGAAAGAGGCGAAGAAGCAGCATATTCCAAAGCTGGCTGTCAGGCACAAGGTCAACGTGGATGGAAGTTTGGATGTGCAGCTTGACACCGCGACTGACGGGGTCAGCATTGCTGATCCGAGATTCTACGAAGATTGTGTTGTCCATCCCGGGCTCGACTCGAAATCCCCAGGCCCCAATACGACTGAAGACGGTGGTCTTGGTGTTCTGAAGACGCGTGGTAGAGGTGGCGAGGACGAGGTGGAGGGTATTGCTGACCCGCGGTTTTACGAGGACTGTGTGATCAATCCGGTCCTGGATGACAACGCGGCGGACGCTTACAAGAGGCTTGGAATTAGTACTTTCGAGAGTAGCAAGAGAAAGGGTAACTTCAGGACGTGGAGCGCTAAAGACTGGGAAGGGTCTAGTGAGCACATGCAACGGGCGGGTAGTGCGCATGTCAGAGGTAGTGCGGGTATGGGTCCAAGTTTGATGAAGCGAAGCAGAAATGCTAGTATGGGAACGATGGTGTTGAGGAAGAGTACCGATGACTATTTTGAGAGTGTTGAGAGGATGGAGCGCAGGGAGCGGGAGAGGGTTTTGAGTGTCGCGGAGGTGGCCTGGGGTGAAGGTAAATAGGTGAGTATTGCGGGTCGACGAGAGCGCGAGGATGAGGAGCCATCACTTATCGTTCTGTTTGTTTGTCCAGGTTGTATTTCAGAAGTTGGGTTGGAGCGTTGGAGCGTTGGATGTTGTGGTCTTGCATATTACTCTTGGTAGGCATAGATTGGCGTAGGAGGCAACCATGGGAGTGTTGGTGCATTCGGCTAGGGAAAGAAAGGGTTTCTTATGCGGGTCTAGTGAATCGGCACGGGTGTATTGCATACCTGGTATGAATAGGTCATTGTAACCAATTAAGAAACTTTTACTCAGTTCAAGAATGGATCATAGTAGTTCGAGTTCCTGACACAATAATATACTTTTTTACTTACTTTCTTGATGGAGGCTGGCTGGCCGGCCGGGCCGTGACGTAACGTAACGTAATACCTGGCGTACGTAGGTACGTCACGTTCACGTTCGCCTTTTGTTTATCGATCGACACGTTCGTTCTCTGACGAGAGTCTTTAAGCCCGAGGCTAGAGGCTAGGGCCTGGGACCAGCCTCGTATGCACGAAGTTGCTGTACAAGTCTACACAGATAGATGGTTGATGATTGATGGTTGACGGGCAGATGTTAGTTGCAGAATTTTTTTTTCTCTATAGATGAAAGTGAAATGATTCAAAAATATATATATATATATATATATAATATTGGTGGTGGCGAAAGGGGGTGTTGTTGGGTGGGGTTTGGAAGGGTTGGGTTGAGTTGAGTTGAGTTGGAAGCTTTTCGTGTCTTGCCTGTCGTGCCTGTCGTGCCTGTCCAGCTCCGTTCCGGGCAGTCAGTTGGCGAGAAAGGGAGGGAGGGAGGAGGAGGGAGGAGGGAGGAGGGTTGAGTTTTGATTTTATGATTTCTTGATAGTCTGGTTGGTCGGTCGGTCGGTCGTTGGGTGGGTGTGGATGGATGGATGGATGAGAGGTGGGAGGTGAGGTGAGTGGGAGGTGAGGTTGGAGGTGAGAGGTTGGAGATGGGGGATGAGGGATGGGGGATGAGATGGGGGATAGGAGATGAGAAAGTGGATGAGAGGTGAGAGATGGAGGGTGATATATATATTTATTGATTTGGATTTTGGATTTTGGAGAAGATGAGATGAGATGGGATGGGATGAGATGGGATAGGATGATGGGATGGGATGTGATGGGATGGGATGTGATGGGATGGGATTAGACCCCTTCCCTTTCTTCTTCTTGTTTAGGCATGATGATGATGATGATGATGATGATGATGATGGGGAGTGGTAAGAGGCAAGAGGCTGAACTGAATTTGATTGAAGCAATGGAAATAGTAACAGGAATGGGAATAGGGATTAGGAATAGTGATAGCAGGCAGGCATCTTCGTGCATGTTTTGTTTCGCTTCAGGTAAGCGAGTAAAGAGGGGGGTTATCGGAGGTATAACGTCACGACAGCTAGGTATTGACTGGCTGACTGACTCATCCCCGAGTCAAGTCAAGTCCAGGACCCATGAGAGAGAGTCCCTTGTTTGATCGAAATACTTGAGTTCATCGGAAGTAGAAAAAAGGGGGAGAGGGTGTGTATACGTGATGATATCATAATCGGCCCAAGGGAGTTGAATTGGTTGGTGGTGATGTGATCTCCGCTTTTCGTACTGGCTTCGATCGCGCATCGATGTCGTTGTTGCCGTTGAACTACCAGCTTCGCGAGCTTCTCAGCCCAGCTGTTCGCCGTCCGATCATAGCACGGGAAATTATCGCATTAAGAAGCAGGGGAATCGCATAATTGCGACGAAACCATGGTGAATATGAATATGGGTGAGCCCTCCGACAGCGAACACACTGGCCAGGGGCAGGTCGGTGTGTAGAGCTTACTCCGGACCTATTATAGGCCACATATACCTCTGCGACAACCGTTGGGATGGATTCTTTGGCTTCTTGCGCGGCTCGGCTGCCGAGGTTGATGTCTGAAGTTCTCGGAGGTGTCATCCTAGCGCGGTCGTCGCAAAGAGAGGTTGGTGGTGGACGACGAACGTTGCAGAGATAGAATTTATTTTCGCTTCGAGGTTTACCCTGGAAGCGAAGCCCCTTTCTGGGCGAGGTGGTTCGCGTATCTCCCAGAAAACGTCCTGCTGCCACCGCCGTTTCACCCGTTCGCATGCCAAAATCTCCTTTTGCCCTGGTCTAAATTTGGTTCGAACTTTCGCAGGCGTCACTGGTCCCTTTTGGCTTTTTTATCCTCATTTGGCTTATCGTAGGCATGGTGCAGTTTTCTGTCTGTGCGAGTTCTTCGTGTTGATCTGCCGCGAGCATCGTATGCCCGGGTCCACGTTGACTTGCATTGATCTTCGCGGGGGCGCACCCTGAGCCACGGCCTTGGATTCTGCACACCAGCCATCCGGAATACATGTCTCTGGTTTGAGAGTGATTCTTCACGCAATGCCTTCAATATTAGACACTGGTATTGCAGGCATTGAACCGCGATCGGGATTTGAAATGGCGGTGGCTCGCGATACGCTGGTGGCGGGCGAAAGGTCACGCAGTCAAGGACATGAGGAGGAGGAGGAGGAGACGGTCTGGCAGGTATCATCTGAGGATGACGGTGGCTGGATGATGGATTAGCAGAAGGGCATGAAACATCTATATTACCATGACTGGTCCCATCTCCCATCCCAAAGTCTTTCATTAAACGCTCTTATTAGCTTCTCCTTTCCGGCAAACGAACCACCATATAGTCTCCCCAAGAAGGAGACTGGATATTCACAACGGAGCGAGCACTTAGACGACGACCATCCAATACTTGGATACCAGAACCGATCCTACTTCCCCAATTTATCGTTAAAATGCCTGGCGAAGCGTCGACCGAGGTGCCGCTTCACTATGGTGGGAAGACAGATGGAGATCCCGCTCCTCCTAGTTCGCCTATCCGAGCGTATCACCAACCTCGAATGGGATCCTCTCCAGAGATAGCTGCTCACGAGCCTTCCGGATCAGAAGATATCAGAGGCGTTCTCAGACGTAGAGCAAGCAACCAAGCCCCTCCCCGTCGATACTCGGGGGGAGAATACGACGGTGCTCCTCCCAGCATCTCCCAAGATGGCGGTGCTAGACGACCCTTGAGATCGAGAGACGATGTGTTCCACCGCGAAGACGAGCGTGGCTTCTCGAGACGGGACGACTACCATCAAGATACGATTGAGCGATCCCGACCACCACGCACTTACCGTCATTTCGACGCATATGATAAGCCCCCTGGCTCGGCTTCAAAGCCCTACTTCGAGGACTTGGACCGTGATGTCGAGCCTAACACTGGCTGGAGGGGGCACAGGAAGAGAGTTGGTGACGAGGAGAGTATCGACGGGTATAACTACGACGCCCACAGGAACCCGCGGACGGCTCTTAACTTCAAGACTCTGAGTCCGGAGGAGAAGGCCGAGGTGATGCGGCTGCCATGGACGCAGTGGATGAACAGTGAATTCAAGAATCGTAAGCGCTTCCCACCCCCCCTTTCACATCACGGATCTCGCATGCATCTGGGCTTGGACATTTACTGATGCTCGCACTCCCTGTATGCAGACTTTGTGGCAACGATTGGCGAGTTCGTCGGCACGACCATGTTCCTCTTCTTCGCCTTCGCCGGCACCCAGGTCGCCAACATCCGGTCCGACTCGGCCGACAGCACCACGTCCGGCGGCGCCACGGGCTTCAACGTCGCCGTCTACCTCTACATCTCCGTCATCTTCGGCTTCTCGCTCATGGTCAACGTGTGGATCTTCTTCCGCATCTCCGGCGGCCTGTTCAACCCGGCCGTCACGCTCGGCATGGTCATGGTCGGCGCCATCCCGCCCATCCGCGCCATCTGCCTCTTCTTCGCGCAGATCGGCGGCGGCATCGCCGCCTCGGGCATGGTCACCGGCCTCTTCCCCACCAAGCTGAACGTCCGCACGACGCTGGCGGGCGGCGCCAGCACCGCGCAGGGCGTCTTCATCGAGGCCATCCTGACGGCCGAGTTGGTCTTTACCATCTTCATGCTGGCCAAGGAAAAGCACAAGGCGACCTTCATCGCACCCGTCGGCATCGGGCTCGCTCTGTTCATTGCCGAGATGGTCGGTGTGTACTACACTGGCGGCTCCCTCAACCCGGCACGCAGCTTCGGGCCGTGTGTCGTGACGGGCGTCTTTGACAAGGAGCATTGGATCTACTGTAAGTTTTTCAAAATCTTTTCCAAGGCTTTCTAATCCCCTTCCCTGTCTCTGCTCGCATAATTTTTTTTTTCTTTAGAGCGGCTGCTGATGATGATGATGATGAATAGGGGTTGGACCGATGATTGGCACGTTCATCGCCGTCTTCTTCTACAAGTTCATCAAGATGCTCGAGTATGAGATGGCCAATCCTGGACAGGATGGCGATGATGAGAATGACCCTACTCAGAATGACGAGAAGAAGGCGGAGATCATGCAGAGAAGAGAGGCGAAGTATGCAAGCTCTCGTTAGTGGGAGAGTAAGACAGCTCGACAAGAGCAGATGGGGATTCTGAGAAAGCGAACAGGATTTGATGTTTTGTGTTTGAATATTGAAATTGGCATTCAGGCTAGATGCTCCTTGGGCTAATTTGGTATATTATATCGAGAGTACGGTTGCTTTGCTTTACAAATAACTTCCTCTGCTCGGATCGAGAGTAAAACTCCTAGCAAAGTAATAAGAATGCCACCGTCGGCTAATAAAAATGACACATCTGAAAATCTTCATCTGAGCGTCGGCCGCTTATCCAAAAGTGAAACGCACGCCACTCTAAGAGAGGCATCTGCACCGAAAAACCGTCCACAATTACAAGATGCCGGGTATGATCGCCTTCCTGCCAGCGGTTCCCTCCTTGCCGAACCGCTCTACGTACCAATTCTTTCCCTGTACTGCTCTCGGCACCATCGTTGCAATCTCGTTCAGCAGGAAGGTCCTAGCAGGCACGCAATGCCAGCCACCGACGATCCAGAAACCAGCCCATTCGATCCACTCAAACAGGTAATGCGGGTAGAAGATCCAACGAAATAGTCCATTGATCGGGATCATGTATACCTTGTCGACGCCTTTCTTTGCCGCCTTGCCTTTGCCGGTGCTCTCCTCGGCCTCCTTTGCTTGTTGCTTCTGGTTCCGCATAGCTGCTCGCCGGATCTCGCGAAGGTCGTCGTCGTGGAACATGTTTCCCATCAGCCCGAAAGCCCAGATCATCATGCCTAGTTCAATGCGGGCTCCGGATATAAAGTTCTGACCGTTGTTGGTCCAGTCGAGACGGGATGTTGGGCCGTAACCTCCAAGCCAGGAACCAATGCAGAGGCCATTGGTGATTTGGAAGCTGAGGCCGGCGAGCCAGATAAAAAGGTGGATGGGGGACATAGAGGGCGCAAGAATGGGGCAAAGAATGGCACGGTACAGGTAGTGGACGGTCTGTTGTCGGCACTATTAGCTCGCACTGACTGACTGTAGACCATGTTTGCAGGACGAGGATGGAAATGAGACGTGGTGGCTAACATATAATCCAGCCATTACTTTGTTCTCCCAGGGCAGCTCAGCGAGCCCGATTTTTTCTGGCAAGGTATACATAATGTAGAGCAGTGTGAGCATTCCTGGGGTCTCCATAGTCATCCAGGCGATTTTTCCAGGTAGGTTGAGTCGACTGACGCTGGATGTCTTTCCAGCTCCGTACCAAGGCTGGATCCATTGAAAAACCGTAACCTATTGTTGATTTGTGAGATAGGTAGTGCTGGTATTACCGCGTTGATAGCCGTAATATGCTACTACTAAACGACGCAGCACTGCAGCAAACCTATGCAGGTACTTACCAGTGGGAAGAGTTTGAAGTAGAAATGCACCAGTTCCCAATTCTCTCGCGTGGGAGGCATCCAGTTCTCGACGACTGCCATGATGGTGATGGTCGGATCGAGCTTCGAGTCAGTCTAGATTCTCTGCGTTGTTAGTTAAACAACTATTAGAGACCAGAACCGAGGCCGAGGACGAGGCTGTGGTACAGCTCTCAGTGTTGATGTCATTATGTTACTTTGCCAAGAAGTAGCCTCGCATACTTGGCAAATATCTTGGTGCTTCAATCTTCATGTACCGATTTCAATCTAATTCTATACATACTTATCCATCTTCTTGCCCCTGCGCTGATCACCTTCAAGCATCATGGTCGAGACAGCTCTAAACGATCCCGAGCAGATGATTGCCCTATTCAGACAGGCTCTCGGGAGTTTCCAGAGCTCCAAAGCCGCGTTCCGAATTGTCTCCTCCATCCCCCATCGTCAACAACAACAACAACAACAACAACCCTCTCTACCGAAGATGGTGTACATCCTCGACTCTTCCTTCAATCCTCCCACTCTTGCCCATGCAAGAATCATCCTCTCAGCTCTAAAATCTTCTCCGGGATCGCCAAATCCACCTCGAGTTCTGCTCCTTCTAGCCATCCAGAACGCTGATAAAGCGCCCAAGCCGGCATCGTTTGAAGAGCGGTTGGCAATGATGCAAGTTTTCGCAGAAGATGTGATTGACGATATAACGTCGTCGTCACAGTCTAAACGAGGTCTACAGCAACATAGCTGCCAAGTAGGGATAGACATTGGCCTCACAAAGCTCCCATATTTCGCCGACAAGGCCCTCCATATATCTCCATCTGAAGCATACCCGTTGCAAGATACTGAACAAGTTCATCTGATAGGATATGATACACTTGTAAGGTGCTTAGATACAAAATACTACCCACCTGCACATACGCTTGCGCCCCTTCAGCCGTTTCTCGCAAAACACAAACTGAGAGTCACGTACCGTGCGGACGATGAATGGGGAGACAAGGCTGCGCAAACCAAATTCTTGAGTGACGTTGGCGAAGGAAGTCTGGAAAGCCTAGGTGGTTTGCGGGAATGGGTCGTTGATAAAAGGATTGAAATGGTTGAAGGGAGGAAAGAAGGCGAAGAGGTGATCAGCAGTACGAAAGTTCGAGAAGCCGCGAAATTGAGAGACGAAGAGAAACTGGGAAGCCTGGTGACGCCAGGCATAAGGAAGTGGATATTGACGGAGGGGCTGTACACTGAGTGATGCCAGACAAGGCCTTCGACGAAGGCATATTGGTGAAGACCGAGCGATTCGCATTGCTATCCAAGCTCGAAAGTTCTTACGAGGGAGATTTCCAACAACCGGTATATCCTCCTCGAGCTTTGAAATTTACGTGCACCCAATACAAAACGGCTCATCTTCCAGAAACCTTTCGTCATGCATCATTGCCATCTACCTTTTCCTCAGCAAACCCGTTGCCGAGATACTCGAATCTGTTGGTATGTCGAACTCGTCTACAAACGTCCGAGTCCCCCCACCTGACCTTGGCTAAGCATTTTACTTTGTCGGCCGATCAGTATCGCTAAAGTTCTGGAGGGGGAAGGGGCTGGTCCCATGGCTTCCAGGTTTCCTATAACCGGAAGGAAATGCGTGCTCCCAGATGTGTGGCTTTCCGGGTGCGGTGCAGTGCAGTAACCATCGAATCGACGCCTGCGACGTTCATGCCTCGATATCAAACTTTATCCGCCCAAACAGATCGGGGCATGAATTTTGAATGTGCCCGTTCCACTCGTCAACTACGGCTGGCAGAGATCGGATAGAAGCCTAATGTTCGGATTGCAACTTAGGAAAATTTTCGAGGACATAGTGGCTCAGTGATTGAGACGTGGGATTGCTCGATGCGCAAGCTGTTCATTGCGGCTGACGAATCCTGTACTGTCAGAACCAAGTTTTGGATTCTGACGTAGCGATTCACTTGGTTCGGCATGCCTTTTGCCATGACTGAATCGAGGCCGAGAGGAAACGAACCTGAAAATTTGGCTGGCATCGATCACAATGTGGGCACGGTCTTCTAGTGAACGACCAGAATCCTGCTCGGTCGCTGTAAGTGTCCAATTACATTCCTCTTTCCATTCGCCATTCGCTATCGTGTATCCGAATTCCATATTGCCGGAGCTCATTCTTGTCGATGAAGTTGTTGAGGTTTTGTTTTATCTCTCCTGCCAGTGCTGGTGTAAAACGAGAATCCTTGGTTGGGTTCGGCGATTTTTTGTATGGTAACACGAATTCTATGAACTTCTCCGAGAAAACGTTTTTTGATTATATATTTGGAATTCCTCGCCTTGTTGCCGAAGAGGGTGGTCAGGATTGACATGTGCAGCGCTTGCTGAAGCTGTGCCTGGACTGCCAACAGGCGCCGATCTTGAAGTGCCGTAGGGATCTTGGCTACGACATTGGAAAGGAGTTGTGCTCTTTGAAATTTTGCTTGGACTTCAAGCATGCGTCTTTGATGGCAGTTAATAGCCTGTACCTGGAAGAGCAGAGCACCCGCACGAAGTCTCGTGTTTCGAAGAGTTGTAAGAGGTGTTCCTACGCAATGCTCGCTATTGGATATCCTCAACTTGAAGGGTGGTACACTACATACGCTTGGGCAGCCTTGTTGCCAAAGGACCAGCTCGCTAGACACTGGTGGGGGAACAAAGCCCAGTATTTCGAAACACAAGGTATGAACACTCATGATTTGTTGGGGCTCCATTGAATATTTCTATCTTACTCTCGGCTGAGTCGACGGGAGAAGCCACGAGGTGCCGTCTATAGCGCTCAAGATAGTGAACCGCACCTCGGGCTCGGCACTGGTCTTTCCAACATCTAAGCATTACCAGAGATAAGGCCAAATGTAGTCAGCATGAATTCTTGTTCAATCATGCAAGGAGGATAGATATCGCCGATGAGTGGAGCTTATTTGCCTGAAGAAGCTTACTTGCTTGAAGGAGCTTACTTGCTTGAAGGAGCTATTAGTGGTGTTGGCTATGCACCTCCCTTTGTTGCAGCCTATCGGCTATGCACCTCTCTTTGTTGCAGCCTATCAAAAGTACCCAAAAATCGGACGTACCCCAATTGGTGATTGTCAGCATGCATCTCATTCATGACCGCGAGTATAAGCATAAGACGGTAATTGACGAGTCTGATTTGTCATTTGCTGTGAAGAGCTTCGTTTTGGGCGACAGCAGCTACATTTTCTCGAGTTGACTTGCTCATCTGAAAGGTCAGCTCTTCGAATGACTCTTTAAAAAGAGAACACAACAGAGATAATTATGACGATTCTGCTGAAAGCCTCCAAGGTCTTCCAAGCACCAATACCTATAGAGAGTAAGAAGGAAAAATCAGGTATTATTGCAACACTCCTCGAGTGCCTCCACAACTTCAGCTTTGGTGCTGTTCAAGAGCAGGAGAAGTACCTAGGTGACGCGGCATATCTGAACTCCTTGAATGCTACCCCGGGACTTCCAGAGCGCTCGGATGTCGTCGTCGTTGGAGGAGGAATCCATTCACTGATTTACGCCATCCACGCACGCTCCTTGGAGCTCCAAAAATGCAACGAGGGTAAGCCGTCTGCGATACCCAGCACTTTAGCCGCTACCTTCTCCCCCACATGCAAAAAGCGACTGAATTCCAAAATTACAGAAGGTTTTCTGACTTCCATTACCGTCCTCGAGAAGTCCTCCTCCCCGGGTTACAAAATTGGCGAGTCAACCCTTACCGTCTTCGGCGTATGGCTGAACCAAATCGGCATCGCCGCCCCCATGCTCTGGCACCTATTTGGACCCAAAGACGGCCTGGCATTCTACTACTTCAATCGCGAAGGTGACCCGGAGGATTACACTGCTTTCATCGCCAACGGACCGCCTGGAGATCACGTTCCTACCTTGCAGATGGAGAGAAAGATTAGCGAGCTGCTGCTTACACTCTACGCTCAGCGTCTTGGCATTACGGTTTTACATGGTAAGCAAGTGCTTGTCGATGAGGAGACAGTGAAAGGTCCAGCAGACGGGGAGGAGACGACTTTAAGTGTATTGGATGGAGAGAGTAACGTGCAGGAGACAATCGATGCTCGGCTTCTCGTGGATGCATCTGGCCGTTTCCATCGCTTTGTTTCGAAGGCTAAGCATCGGATCGAGCGCCTTGAGGGCTTCAACACGCATGCTTACTGGGCTTATTGGGAGTGCGATGTTGATGAGAAGGAGATTCCACTCCGTCAGTATCAGAGCGTCAACACCAATCACATCTGTATTCCGGAGGGGTAGGTACTCTTTCCACCAATCTTCTGCACACTTGGCTAATCGGGACGCAGCTGGGCTTGGGTTATTCGTCTTCCAACCTGGGAGGGTAGTCCTATTCCTAACCTTGTCAACATGATCCATTGTAAGCATCTGGTCCGCTCGGCTTTCTACTCAGTAATGTCTGTTATGTGCTCGTAGAGGTCCTATCAATTTTCAGAGAGTCGATCTTGTATCTTTAAGTGCCTTTTGCGTCAGGTGTCCTCGGGGTACGGGATTGTTCTCTAGATCATTTCTCGAGAGTAATGATTACTCTTTCTAGGAATCTCGAGTTCGAGACGGCGGATTCGTTCATTAAGAGCGTCAGACTTGTTCATGCTGAATTTCCCAAATCCGGAGACCAGTGACAGATACGACTGGATTATATCCTGCCTCACGATTGCTCTCTCCTTTTCACGTCCCCGCCTCCCAAAATTCCATCTCTCAAGGCTGCTACATCAATCCTGGACGAAATCTTGCTTACTTCCCTTTTCTTCAGACCTACTTGACTTGAACGCCGCCAAGACACCTGCAGACGAATACCCATCGACCGCCGAACTCGTAGAGAGATTTGACCTCAAATTCCGCTGGGTTTCCAGCATCGGCTTTGCCCTTCGTTCAGACATTGTTTATCCTGAGGACATGTCGGAATACGGAAGCTGTGAGGCCGAGCAAAAGTTCAATTGGGTCGTGTCCCGATATGCCAAGGTCACCGAGCTCATGAGCAAGTTTACATTACTCAAAGATCTCTATGGGCCCGGTACTACATGTGAGGCAGTATCCACTTTCAATCGTCAATTTCAATCAACAACTATTGACCTGTCCGATACCTAGGGTACGCTCGCAAGAACCTCTGCTTCAAATCTCCTCGTGTCAGTGGACCGAATTGGATGTCCATCGGCGATGCGACCGGCTTCACGAACCCTCTTTACTCCCCAGGAATCAATGCCAACATGGGAACCAGCGTCTTCGTTGCGGAGCGGACCGAACAATTCTTGGCCGGTAAGGGTGCCCGAAAGGATATCTTGGACGAGTATGAGCTGTTCTGCAAGGACCGCATCCCTAACCTTCAGCGAATGAACAACTTCAACTATATGTGCTTCCGCAGCCCTGCTACCGGCCCCATCGGTCCAATTTGGCAATATCTCATCGGTAAGCTCATGACCCCAAGAAGACCTACATTTTCGGTCTCCCAAAGGTTTGTGTTTATCGTTCAACAGGTACCGGTAATTCCCGATTCCAAAACTCCGCCAGGTACACTCTCAAAGACTGTTCCGAGCTCCTCCTGGCCTGGGACTGGGGTGCAAATGAGGCAGAGTACATTGAGGCCACCAAGAAGATTTGCAAGCTGCTCAAAGGTCCCTCTGACGAGCCCCTATCCCAGGAGACGATCGACGAGGTCATGAAGGTTTCTGCGCAGGGACTCAGGGACGCTTTTGCAACGGGCAAGTACAAGGGTCGCTGGAGCGGCCTGTTGAGATACTACGACGACGACCTGGTCTTCGACAAGGACAAGATTGACCGCGACGTCCTGGCGAGACGATGCGAGGACTGTGGGGAGTGGCGGATGCTGAGATCTGATCTGCGTAGATGCGTTTTTTGCGGTTATGAGCATAGCGTTGAGAACAGCGTGAAGGTCATGTACAAGTCTTGACCTGTTTTCCTTTTTCGTTCTTTTTTGGGGGGGGGGGGGAGGGGGGTATGGTTGATAAGTTTGGATAATGGTCGCGGCTGCTGAGAATGGGAAGGCGTTTGCTTTGGAATAACGATGGCGAATGAGGTATGCCGGGATGATTGGATTGATAGCTATTCTACGAATATGTTTTTGAATCTGAAGCAGATCACATTCACGGCGGAGAAAGGTCAGAGCCGTAGTCTCGTTGCGGATCTGCAGATATGTGACATCAGAAATGAATGCTCTTCGGCTCCAAGAGTAATAGTCAGTGCGCTGCCTGGAGGCCTGAAGAAAGGGAAAAGCCTGATGTGTATGTACATGGAGCGGCAAATAAAACCAAAAGGTTCAGGATTACCGAACCCGCAGCCGAGAGAAGCAAAGCACAGCCATCCTCGCTATTGAGGATTGATGTACAGAATCAAGTTTTTGCACATTACTTCGATGTAGTATCGAGATTCATCTTTTGAAGCCGGAACGGAACGGGACCCATGTTCGATTGGTGACTCAAGTTGGAGCCCTGATGTATTTACCTTTACTCTAGCAAGTCACGTGATCAACAGTAGCGGATCAACTTCAGTAACGACGGGCGAGCATGCTTCAATGATAATCAACGCCTCTCAATCACCATATGCCTCAAACAAGATACAAATGACTGTGAAACAAGGCTTGTCAACTGGTATTCAAAGCTCTCCCGAGACCAATATTATTCATACACTCCTGACTTTCTCTCCAGATCCATATCCACATATCATCACCTTCCAACGATCAAAAGAACACCCTTTTCTTGACTTCACAAGATGTCCTCCTCACATGAAGACACCCTCAGTCTCCCCAGCCCGGCGCAATTCTTCACCATATTTCGAAAATTTGCCACCGGACTCCAAATAGCTAGCGATTTTCAAGTTTGCTATCTTAGCACCTCGAGTCATCGAGTTTGGACATCATGACTGCAACATGCGTGTTCACCAGACCGTTACATCCCGATCCCGAGACCAGCTGCCGCTCGTCCTGTTGCATACGACACACCTGGCCCGAGAAGTAGCATTGAAATCTTACCAGCTTTTTGAAAGCAGAGGCGCACCATGCCGGATTGGGTAGTTTGATTTCAGACGCGACACCTTGTATCTCTCTTCCACTCGGCAGGCCCACGTCGGAAGTTCAGCCTCCAACTATGCTTTATGGAATTTTTGGAATATAGTCCCGCCTCAGAGCTCGGAGCAGGTCAAGTGTTTAAAGATAGCAGGCCATGGCGGCGACCACGGTCCACACTTGCAATATTATTTGTACTTTTGGAGCTTTCCGGCCTGGAGCGGCTCACGATTGTGTATGAGAACTGTCTCCATTACCGAGGCGAGAATGGTCTGATCAAGACCGAGAGAAAGCTTTCGGTGATGCGCGAGGTGGAGGGATTTAAACGGCAAAACCCTGTTCTGGAGTGATACCGAACACGAAAGTCTGTTATGGAGGCGACTATGGAAAGAACCGAAGATATTCTTCGAGTTCGAGGAAGGCCCTGTCTGTTCTACATGTTGCTACAAGGCGGCATTAACAGAGGCCATGTACTCATGCTAGAGGTAGCCAAGACAAGGTGCCTCTTCGCATGCTCATTGGTCACTAGCGGACAGAGCGAGACTTGTCACTTGCGCCTTTCCCCTCCCAAACTTCGACCAGTGCATACGGAGTGCATACATAGTCCGGCCCTTGAACTTCTCGAAGCACTCGTACACTCACTCGCATCAGTTCTATGGCCATCAAGTCGAATTCAGAGAGAGGTGAGAAACATGAACAATATGAATACAGCGTTCAAGACGCTGCACTTTCCAATTCACCTCTACCCAACCCAGCTCCACACAAAGCTTGCCTGTCTCTTGGAGGGCATATTCCATACTTCGTTATTTCGTCGCTTCATCAATCGTGCATCATCCAACTCTCAGTCACCTCGCTACGAAGCCGGCCCAGTTCTCGACGAAGCAGACACCTCACTTTCGAGCGGCTTCCGCCCCCACACAACATATGCCCTATGATACGCGTGAACGCTCCTATCAGAGATTGCACTTCGCACATTTACAAGGTAAACCTATTCAGTATTCAGCTCATCAGTCAGATACAACTGCCGGGAATTGCACACCTCAATTTCTGTTTTGGTCCATTTCAGGTTTCGGGAGAAGTAACGCATGCTGAAGCCAGATAGACCGTCTAGACAATTCAATTCCGATTGCCTACCAATGGCCTTTAGGTGTTTCTCTCTGGGCCAAGGGTTTATGGGTATTCGGAAGATGCGCTCTTGAACGTCAACGAACCCGACCTCTTCATACCACCGCTTCAATTTGTGAGCTATTCGAAGTGGCCGACCTGATGCCACTGGAAAGACGGTCAGATTTTTGTTATGACGAAAACGCAGCGCTGGAGAGGGGAAAGACTACCGGAAGCATCCTCTACATAATTGGTCCAGTCTAAGAACGGCCAATCCTTGGGCATCGTCCCATCGTCGCACAAAGGTGTCGACAGAAATTCTTGACTTTCCATCCACCCCCCTGGCTTGGTGTAGTAGAAAGCTTTCCTGATAATGTCTCGAAAGTCCGTGAAGCATCCGATAAGTAGTCTGGTATGGATGAAGTCAAAGTCTTACGATCGAGGGGTTAGCAAATGGTCATCTCTGAGCGTCTCGAGTGACGACTTCACGAGCAGAAATTCGTCAACGACAAGCGTAAGAGGGAAACAACTCCTGCCTGGTGGATCTTACATGCTGCTGGGACTGCCCAGTCTTCCTCACTAGCGTCGTCGATGAAAAAATGGACATTGACAGGAACACATGAAGGCTGGATGGGTGAGAGGTCGGTCGCTTGGACCTCGGCATCTGGAAACTCGTCGCCCATCTCGGTAGCCTACTGATATGTTAATTTCTGTCTCTTACCCGGAGCCTCTTTGGAGGTATCGCTCTGCGGCTGTTGGGCCGAGAGTGGGCGAGCTCAACCTACCCATCGGCCAGTTCCAGTCCCAATGTCTAGGATGCGTTTTGGGTTCGATAACGGCGCGAAGTAGTTTCGTCCTTCGAAGGTATACTTCAACATCAGGTATTGGCTGTCGAGTCGCTCATTTTCCGAAGCGTCGTTGGGGAAGGGGTATGCTACGATGCTCTCAGCCACACAAATTTCAAGGTGTTCGCCGCTAGATCACATACTGCCAGCTCTATATCCGTGACTGCGAGATCCCGCAGTAAGTAATTATACTTCATGAGTGGATTTTGGGTTCAAGGGAGTGGTCTCGGGAGTTGCTCGCGGGGACGGACCCCAAACCAGAGACATCTTAGTAGCAAGGGAAGGAGAGAAATCGGCGGCTACTGACTAAGTTCTCCCGTTCTCCTCCTCGAAATTCGCAGCGTCGCTTGTCAATGATCGGGTCGACCTAAATAACCAGTTATAAATATATAAATATATATTAAAACAAAACGTGGGTGGCTCAGAAGCAAGATCTTCGGACACAACACACGACGTGCCACACTTTTTTCGTCTCCAGATTGCCGGGACAACTCACGCGTCCGGACTTTCCGCGTCCGCAGACTGGCGGCGTCCGAATTGTCAGCATATATGCATATGTTGTATATATTTACATATATATGTATGTATACTCGCAGAGCTGACAGCTACTTACGTCTGCTTCAATGGGCGTCTGTTTTTGAGCCAACAGCAGGCTTTGGGCACTACTAACCGGAGAGGCCATCTTGAAGATTCGGTCTGTGTCTCTGCAGGGGGGGATATTGGGAATGAGAGAGAGGGCGTGGCTTTCTCCAGTCTCCGAACCTGATGATGATGGGATATGGGATGGTATGATATTGTACACCGCTCCAAGATGATTGAACCACTGACTGCTAACGAAAAAGGCTTTTTTGGGGAGGGGGGGAGTGCTTTTTCTCTCTCTCTCTCTCTCTCTCTCTCTCTCTCTCTCTCTCTCGCGGTCAACTAAGGAATAAAAGCGGGAGAGATCAAATTCTCTGTCCCCATGGTCCGTGGCTGTTTGCACAATTATTGTTGTTGATTGATTTTTGTGATGGATGGATCCAAGCATGGGCTCTGCAGAAAGATTAATGCGGTGGTGGCGGCCACGCCAGCCCGCGGTCATAGCCAACAGCACTTGGCCCCTTGGGAAAAAACGGATAAGACGCGGGACAGGGTTGAATTCCAGCTGTTTGGTCCCTGGTTCGGCACCCGGTCTTGTGGTCTTGGGATTTCCGCACATCCCCGAGCGTCGAATCATATTGGTGAGTGTTGTTGTCGGTTGAACCTGGCTGAGAGCGATAGGGCTAGCTACGACGTAGTACGACGTACATCCGCCCCGGTCGGTTCAAAGCTAGTTCAAGGCGCTCAAGGCTGCAAACCCTCTTCTCTGGTTTGCTGCTTGCAGCCGGCAAAGGGAAAGCAATCGCAACGAAAAACCTATAAACGTGTTGGGTAAGGGGCTTCGATTGGTGCCAGCGGGGTGAGGTGACAGTGGGTTTCTGGTTGTCGGTATTACCCACTCTCTACTCTCCGTACGTAATACCGGCACTTCCCATCTTCTACTAGTTGTAGTACCGGATAGTAATCTAGGGGCAGGAAAGGCCACGGATCGTGTAAGTCTTGCCGTATAGAGAAGCATTAGACGAAAGGCATAAACAAGCCTATCTCTTCAATCCTTACATACAGCGGTATAGAAACTTTTCTTCCATGTAGGGGTTTTGCTTATTTCTCTACTACAGACACAGCTATATTATAAAGGAAAAGATCTACAGACTACCTCCAGCAGGCTACGAAGTACTACTGTACAGCACTTCTACTGCAATACAAAGGAGAAAGGGCTTTCTTTTTCTGGACCGACCGACTGTGATCCTGGGGGAGCGTACGGAGGATGATTACCGTGGTCGGTCATGCAAGGTAGGATCGATGTGGTTGGTGGCATGTTCCTTCTACGGGTCGCCTTCTGGGCCCTATATGGATTTTTGACCAGTAGTTGGGCGGAAGATATTTCCGTTATGGTCTCTTGGATGGAGGCGAGTACCCGTATTGTGTTACGATACTGTATTGTACTGTACTGTACTATCGTGGTATAATATTCTGTACGAAACCTTTTGAAAGTCCCATCAAGTCCAAAATAAAGTTTTTTTTGGAGCTTTGATATCTCGAGGACGTCTCTAGATACGTACTACGTAGTATATCGAAGACACCAAGGCTAATGCATAGAAATATGAAAGCGGTGGGGCAAGGCTGTACTAGCGATTAGCGCTCCTAATTAGTATTCGTTAGCAAATCCTATTTGCACTGCAGCCTAGTGCAGCTTAGTTGCCCAACCTGATCATCGCCGCTATTATTCAAGCTAGTCTTACTTTGGTATTCTCGCTTTTCGCAAACCTTAACATGGCCACCTTTTTTAATGACCGCTCTTAAGCACGGGATGACGCTTTTCGCTGACATCAATCTAAATATCCTGTCTTATTTAGTGTTTCTTTATAAAATATAAAATACGTAATAGCGTGATCTTAATAATGGTACTACGTACCGGTAGCTTCGATATGAAAGAGATTTTGAAAGCAATATAAGCTTTACAATTAGGATCTCCGTAAGCTGAATCTTTGATTGAAACATAAGACGAGCTTGATGAGCTTAAGTACTTTGATCTTTGCAATGATAACGAGGACGATGATATCTAAGTCGCAATTAAGTAACAAAGATGCTTCTAAAGAAATCGATACGCAAGCAACAACTACTAGAGATAAGAAACGCAAGAAGAAAGGCTTAGCGTGTGGCACTGAAAAAAGAAGCGACTCATAGACTTACAAATACAAGCAATAGAAGTAGAAAAGTGATCACAAAAACGGATTTTTATTTTTTATTTGTGATTGATCATTCGTTTCGACGCTTTTCGATATCATGCTTTTGCTATGATCCTGTTACTGAAGATAGCCCCGCTATATAAAATAGTACTAGTCGCTTATCTAGCCCCGCCAGGCCCCGCCCTTTCTATGCACAAGATTATGCATCAGCTTTGGCGTCTTCTGTTACGGTCCTGGCAGGTCTTGGCACAGTTCCAGGGATCGGGTGCGGGATTAGTCAGCCGAGGTACCATGACATCCCGCCCTTAGGAGATGCATATATTCTCGGCTTTGTTATTGTAGTTCTCTCTTCTTCTCCTCGTCTTTCTTTCATACTACGTAGCGCACGTTTGGTAGCTACTACAGTACTACTCTTACTAGCCGTAACATCTTCGATATATCTAAAGGTGTCCTCGAGATATCAAATCTTTTTTCTTCTTCTTTTTATTTTCTTCTTTTTTCTTATTTTACGCGTCAGCCCCCGTTTCCGTATTGTATTGCATGTTTCCGGGATTTGAACGATGAGCTTTCATATCCCGCGGGAGGTCCTAAAAATAGCAGCCGCTTTGCCGATGCTAGTCATAATAGTACAGCTAAGTACTACTGGTAGTATGCTGTGCTGTGCTGTGCTGTGCTGTGCTGTGCTGTGCTGTGCTGTGCTGGACTGTGTTGTTAAAGATACTCATCATCCTCTCTTGCCTGTTTACCCTGGTTGGTCTGCCTCGCGTATCCGTATATATGCCCTCATAAAGTAATCAGCTGTTGGATCAAAATCAGATCGATCCGTCAACGAGTTAGTCTTACTCCAGAGAGCACGCAAAGAACCCAATCACTCTGACTTCATCTGGAAGGAAGAGAATAGTTGCACAACTACTTATAACTAGTAGTAATAGACCTTTTGTCTCGTCCAATCTAGTCATACTTCGCGTCTGTCCAAATGCTTATTTATTCGGTCGAGACTCGCTTCGCCATACAGTAAATACCGCGAAACTCCAATCCATCCACCAGATGGCATTCTCCATATCTTCCTCCTACGCCAAGCTCCAAGCCATCACCGATTTGACTCCTTCATCGAACAACGTCCTCTCCTCTTCCGCAGCCCTGGAAAGGGCGGAGAAGAGCCTCCCCTCCTCGCTCCCAGCATGCTGCGGCCGGGGCGAGGCCGCCACACAGAATCCCATCTCCTCGCGGACCGATCCTCCGCACTCTGCTAGCGGGCGGAAGACCTCGGCGCACTACTACGGCTTCGTCACCGGCGGCGTCTTCCCTCATCGCGAAAGCCGCCGACGACAACATCGTGATGGCCTTTGACAAAAGGAGCCGCGGCTGGCATCAAACTCGCCGATTCCATTGCAGGTGAAGGATACTAGATGCTCAACTTGGTTCGTGACATCCTTCCAGCTTCCCAGTTCCCGAGCGGTACAAAGGACAACGAACGATGCCATAGACCTCATAGACCTTTAGACCTCCTCCGGCATCCCAAGCCTTACAGCTATGGTTTCATCCTCACCCGCTCCCGCGAAATCCTCCTCTCAATCTTCCAGAACCTCAACGTGGCGTACCTGTCGTCAGGAGGGCCACCATCGCCACTCAACACCGGGCTCGAAGACTCGCGCCGCTTCCGGACCCTGCCTGTCTATACGCCGCGTCTCCCAGTTCCTGAGCGCGTCCGAGCATTTCGATCTGCTCGCCCGCAGCCAGCTCCCAGCTGCCAGACCCGAGCGGCATCTTTCCCTGCTCCAAGGACATGCATATCATCGTCCTGTTTAGAGCCAAGGGACCAGACGCTCAACGAGGTTCTGGTGGAGAGGATCAACCGCTCGAACAAGATCTTCGTACGTCTGCGGTACGTTGGTGGGAAGGAGAATCCGCGTGCCAAATTGCGGTGAGCACATGGAGGGTCGGACGTGGAGACTCGAGAGGGACCTGAAGCTGGTGACAGGGGTCCTACGAAACGTCGTGAAAGGGAGTTTCTGAAAAGAAAAAGAAAGGAAAGGAAAGGAAAGGAAAAGAAAAACGTTCCATCGTATCATACTTTTTTTTTCTTTGGGAAGGCGGGAGAGGGGGTCGGGCCTTCCTGAATGAATGCGCAAGACTCCCTTTACGGAATAGGCCATTGCCCTGCTCGTGAGCTCCTCAGGATCCACCCCCAGAACAGATCAACGCCGCCGAAAGACCTTTCAGCCTTGCAGATGTGCGTACGGAGTAGTCAGCTTGGAAGTAATCGGACTCTGGAGAGAGAGAGAGAGGACAGCACCTTCCTTCCTGCCTTCCTTGCAAACTCGGATCGTGCTGCACCAAATAGACATACGGGGTACATCCACAAAAGCCCTTCCTCGCTCGCCCCTAGACGCTAAGCGAGCTCTCGCGACTCGAAACATCGACAAACATGATTTTTTAACCCCCTTCCCCCTCCCCTCTCATACCAAAGGGAGAAAACAAACCAGAACGTAGAAATGGCAAAACTCAACTAGAAGCCCCCTTCCCCAGGATCCGATGATCCGATGATCCTGAGAAGGTCCTGGTCTACAAACCTAATCGAATTAAATAGGTTCTTTTGTTGATCTCGGATTCGAGGGTCCCAAACGATCCCGTCCAGTTTGATCTAAAGACAGACAGCTTGCCTACAAAAAGCCATCCCGCCTGCTGGATGATGCGATCCGGATTGTGTTGCTATATGACCAAGGTGCGGAAATTCCTCGGTAAGTGATCGAGGCTCCTTGGTTGAGGTCGGTGGCACCTTGATGTGAATCGCAGACTAAAGTAACGCGACGGCGCTAATATTTTCCTGCTGTTCTATACGCGCTGCAGAAGAAGCCCAGCAAGGTGGTATAGGTAACAAAATATTGGGCCACTGGAGCAGATATTGAGATAGACAGAACAGAGACGAAGTTGAAATCAAGAATTACATCGGCTACGGCAGAAGTTTTGACAAGGAAACGCAAGGAGCATGGGGGCGCGAGAGGGTGTGACTCAGCCTTATGTAGGCGGTATCACCTTGTAAAGATGAGAAGTACTTGGCGGACGAGAATGGAAGGCATGTATATAAGTCAACTTGCGATTGATATATTTTCATTTTTTGTGTCCGATCATTGAATTTAACACATTTTGATAGGTACCATGCTTTTAATGTAATCTTGCCACTTGAGATACATACAAAATAGTACTGGGCGCTTATCTGGCCCCGCAAGGCTCCCCGCCCCTCTTGTCTACGTCTTCGATATACTCCGTCCCGTGGTAATCCAGAGAGAGAAGGAACGCTAGCCGTTTAGCGTGCTTGGCAAACAGGCGGGAATTAATATATGCGCCGCTCCGGGTACGACGATATGCGTTCCCCTTATTGAATCGCTTTCCTCGGGACTGGAATTTTGCGGTAAACACCACTCGTTTCCAGTCCATCACAAAGCAATAAAATGTTATTAGAGAATGCACCACTGTTCGCAAGTATAGCTAAGCGAGCTCAAATAGGAAACTGCGATTAATCTTTTTTTGAAAAAAAAAAAAAAAAAAAAAAAAAGCTTCGTGCGATCGCAACGGCGATTCCCAACTCTTCGACCTCCACCTTGCGCTGATGTGCTCTTTGCAAATTCAACAATCAGACGATGTACGCCATCCTCTTGAAGTTGCTATTATTAATCAACACGAAATTCATAGAGGCTAGATTGCGATCCTTATACGTACGGGATCGCGATTGTTTAAAAGGGCTTATATAAAAGTGGCTAGACTTTGACTTGCGAACCTATTTGTACGCGTTGATGATGGACAGGGCCTGATAGCTTTCAGAGGGCAGGAGAATGGCAGCGAGAGAAAGAAAGCTACATGGTCAGGGGAGCTTGCATTGATTTCTACTCCAAATGCTAGTTATCCATCGCTTTCGTAGTGCTCGTTTGCATACTATCCGTCGATATCTTAGGAGCACGAGGTGTATAAGCTGCAATAAGGTTATCCGTGAGCGTCTTTTCCAGCTCTATAATAAGCCAATGTCTTGGGCCTCCTCCTAGACCGTGCTCGAGGAGCGGTTCCCTTCTACAAAGAAGCATTTGGAGCGTTCAATGGATGAGTTTCTTGGGAAGGTAATTCAAGGCCATGTCTTCGTTTAGCAATCATAATTTTAAGGAGTTATATAGTTATATTGACGATACGGGATGCAAATATTGCGCCAAACGCCATTTAGGATTCTAATATGCGGCTGCTTTTTGGAGCGGCGTAACCATTAATCCACCTTGTTTGCCAAGTACGCTAAGCGGCTAATGTTCCTTCTCTCTCCTAAATTACTACGGTATTAAAGTTCAAATTACTGGTTACATATTTATAGCAACTAGGTTAAGTAACAAGTAGTAGTAGTAATAGTATTATTTTAACGTCTGTTGCGGGTCCTAAGAGTCCGACTTATCACATCCTTGAGGATATTCCGACGTGCCGGCGTTGAATCCCGACTTTATTCTTCGCAAAAGAAATCGGTTTTGACTAATTAAATGGTTTTTTTAAAATATAAAATATATTTATATCGATAAAATCAAAACCACGAAAAGAAAAAGATACAGATTGATATACCACGGTACAGGCCTAAGTATTACCCCTCGAGGGTGCCTCAAAAGTCTAGTTTCCACTTTAAACCCCCTGGTTTCCCTACCCTCGAGGGGTAATACTTACGCCTGGGACGTAGTAGAGTCTCGAGTCTTTAATCTCGCGGTATCGCAGCTTTAATATATTTTAGTGCTTTTTATTAACGGCAATGCTTGGTTGTTAACATTTTAATCGCTGCGGTCGCCTTTTATTGCGATCGGTTATTAGCGGCTCGATATACAGTTTTTCCAATTCTTCGATCGAGTATTCGACCGAGATCCTTCTTCTTTTTTTTCTTTTCCGTATTTTACATATTCGTAATCGATTATAATTATAAGCGTCCTCGAGCCAGCATCTGCTAAATGTTCCTTTAACGTATAGCAATCTCGAGAGTTCCGAAGGGCTAAGCCGCTATCGTATCCACTTTATTCCTTTAGCGTCTTTGTGTAAACCGATCGTAAATACCGCTCTTTAAGTGTCGAATAAAAAAAAAATTTATCGAATTCAATCGTCGGATAAAGTAATCAAGCTGATCGATAGTATCGAGTTCGAATTTCATATAAAAGAATATGTTATGATACTTGTTTCGTGTTTTTAATCGTCTTCCGTTTCGTCGGCAGATACGAAAGGAACGGCTAGCATTAAAGTGCATCGCTTCAACTACTTCGAAAGGTGCGTTTTCTAATCGGCTTTACAAATATTATTAAAAGTATCGTAAGTTTATAGCCAGCGCCGCGTACAAGCTTAAAATCCGTGTTCGCTGGCCAAACTAGGTTAAGTGGAGAGTACGGGATAAGTACATCTGTGCTTATACTGATTCTACCCACGGTACAGGCCTAAGTATTACCCCTCGAGGGTGCCTCAAAAGATTGCTTTCCACTTTAAACCCCCTGGTTACCCTACCCTCGAGGGGTAATACTTACGCCTGGGACGTAGTAATATGCGGCCGCTTTTCGGAGCGGCGTAACTATTAATCCACCCTGCTCGCCAAGTACGCTAAGCGGCTAATGTTCCTTCTCTCTCCTGAATTACTACGGTATTAAAGTTCAAATTATTGATTACATATTTATAGCAACTAGATTAAGTAGAAAGCACGGAATCAGTATATCTGTGCTAGCAGGTTGATCTTTCTAATGTGCAATTGAGAAAGGAGATTGCAATATTGTAAATATAGTTGTATAAGCGTCAATCAGATATTATATTTAAGGTGATTTTAGATATAGGAACGAAAAGGATTTTAATTGCTGTAGTTAATATTAGTAGAATGAATATGGTCAAAGGGATATAAAACCCTTTTCTGCACCTGCTTCGGATTTGAATCTATCATCTCCCTCACTACCACCTTCTTCATTATCACGCTCTCTGTTATCATCTTACTCAACAGGCCTATTTCTTCTCGCCAGCTCGCATTATCGAAAACTCATAAACCCCTAACACTCGTATTTCTAGAAGGATGCAATTCTCGCAAACTTTCTGCTCGACCATGGCGATCTTGGCCTATCTTTGTAATAAGTATGCCTCAGAGCCCCGAGAGCCCGAAGAGCCCCAAGTGTCCCAAGTGTCCCAAGTGCCCCAAGAGCCCCAAGAGCCCCAAGGCCCTCGAAGACAAATTATCGGTTATCGAATGGTTCGACCGGTAAGTTTCATTTCATTCATATAGTATAAGCTTTATATTAATTACGCGAGTTACAGGAAGAAGCCGCGGCTATCAACACTCTTCACAGGCCTTTTAGAGATGAAGCATTCGATGAGCAACACGCACGCTACAATCAATTAGGGAGTGGCTTTTCCATGTGTAAGTTAATTCATATTCATCAGTCGCTCCTTCTTCATCACGCGGGCGTTAATAGAAATTTGAAATAGCACAAGCGCCTGCTGGCTGGTTGACTACTCGTCGTTCCGCGTGGCAATGTGTTATCGAAGCGGATAGTGAAAAGATCAAAAAAGCCCAAAAAATATGGATCCCAGAATCTTACTCGGAAACTACGGAAGGTGGTGAGACTAAGACAACGAAATTGTGGGATTACTGGGTTTCAAACGACGACGCTATTCTAAAGTATATCGAGTCAATGAATGTGCCGGAGCCGGAGAAAGCAATACGCTTTGCAATCGCTCGAGACGCCCCTGATGTGCTGCAGATGGTTATTCCAACTAAAGTAATAAATGACAATGAGTTGGATTTCTCGGCTGCATGCTGGAAAACAAAAAGGGAGCTACTACAACATGCGAAGGAAGTCGTTGATTGGAAAAGTTGGGATATTGCTGGAAGTCCCACCCCAGTGGATGATAAACCGAGCGGTTCCTCCTCTCAATAGAAAGGTACGGAGGTCCAGCGGTTAACGATTATACCTACGATGGGAAACAACGAGTCGAACTGAAGGAAATAGGGAGGACGAAAAAAGAGCCGATGAAAATAGGTTCGCAATTGCATGTACTTTGAAAAGTCAGTGGGAGTTCGGTGGGAGTCGTTTTCTTAGCTTCAGTGGGAGTTATGCGTTGTGTTTCTTCTTCTTCAATATATGTACTGTACAGTGTGCTCTTCAAGAATTCGATGGTCGATATGCCGAGCTATATACTCCACTACCCAATACCCTAGACCTTAGTCCTCTGGACGAATACAATCTCCCCAACCGTAACGCCTTTACCATCGTTCTAGACAAGTACAAACTCCCCAACCGTAGCGCCTTTACCATCCTTCTCCCAGCACCCATCAATTTCCAGCCTCGCATAATCACCACTCCATCTCTCATCCGGAATATGGAATACCGTAACATTACTCTGCACAGGTTCAATATCAAAAATATTCACGGCTGCCTCTGCAGCGTTGTAGGGCCGATTAGGCTCGATACCATTGATTTCGATCTTAACCTCGCGAGTCATGTCCGCAACGCCGTTGGTGTAGTTACCAAGGTAGACAACAGCCAAGACGGCAGGGCGAGCCCCCCACTCTAATTGGATGCTCGTAAGCAGTTTGGGTGCCTGGGAAGAGGTGTCGACAAGCATGGAGGCGGTAGAGTTGGTGGTAGGCTGCCATCTGGTAGACGAGGCGCCGTCAATGGCTGCAATGGGAAATTGACCTGGGACATGTGCGTCTTCGCTTGTTGCTGGGAGGCATTGCACGATGTTACCTGCGATAGACTTGATCTGCCAGTATAAGCGATTTTGGACCGTGACTGTCTGGTTGACCGTGATATTATAGCCTGTGGGATTATCAAGAGAGCCGACAAGGAAAGGCAACTGTTGATTGATGAAGACTTCGTTGACACCCGCAGAGACAGGGGTAGCAAGGCGAGTCAGATTCGTATGTGTGCTGTTCATTGTCGCTGAGAGTGTGGATCCGGCATAATAAAAATTTCGAATCCTGACGTAGGGAATTTGCGGCGGTAGCGAGGGGTTAATGCGGAGCAGAGGCTCATTTGTTCTTAGCCCCAAAAACCCGAAAGGTACAATTTGGTTGGCACCACCATGCCCCGTAAGAAAAGGGAAGGCCGGCTTGGTGTCACCATTTGTGGTTGGGTCATCGTCAACTTGCTCTGAAAATTGATAGAACGGAGCTCGTAGATAAGGAATTGTGCCAGCCAGTGCGTAGGTAAAAGATGAGCAGCCAGAAGGCGACAGCCCGTTGGCATTGGCTGCGAAGATGGAATAAGTCATTGCAGGGCCGTCAGGACTCTGGCGGTTCGCATACTGTACCATGTTAGCCACCATTCGTAGATTGTCACTAGGAGATAACCCACAAAGTCCAGATCAAGATTCTTTTGCTCGGTGGTGTAGTTCTGCTCATAGTCAAGAGGATAGGTCATCAGAACGATATCGGCCTGCTTGACGGCTGCACTGTTGTTCATTGTAGAATATTCAAGTGTGATTCCCGATTCCGAAACTTCAATGTTGACGTTGTTCGCTTGTTCCAGCCACGTTTCGTTGAGAGGTTCTCCATGCTCAGTTCGCAGATCGTTAGCAATTTTCAGGACTGTAGATATCGAGGCAAGAGTGAAAGCGGTATTGTTGACGTTGTTTGCGTATTCGTCCGGGTCAGTGGAGTTGCGGATATCCCATTTCTGGGCAGTCTCGTTGAACTTGAGCAAGTTCGACATTGCAATTGCAATACCATCAATCACTCGTCTAGATGGGGCAAATGAGGTCTCGTTCTTTGTAACGTTGAACTCCTGGACCATGTTGAATGCGATATCAGGATTCAGGTGATACTGGTAATCGATACAAGGTCCGGTACCTGTACAATTTCCATACCGCCCGGAAGTCCAAGAATACAGAGCAGATCCGTTGGGAAAGTTGTTGAAAGCAGCATTTTCCAATGCTTGATCGTACTGCTTGACTCGGAAATTGCTGATCTGCTTGCTGAACTTCGGGAGGGCGATGTTCAGTCCAGGCGCCATCCAGTAATCGGCATCCCAGAAACGCAAACCACCGTACGCATCAGATACCAAGCCACCAACCGAAATACTCTCGTCGTTGAGTCCGCTCCCTTCTTGCATCAAGTTCTGGACCAGGTAGTATACGTTTGCCACGGATGCAATCTGTAGGATCTTGACGTTTGTGTCGTCTGGTATTTCGCCCGTGACAGGGTCGGTGAAGTCATCAACGAGCTCACTTGGTATGGCATCCTCCCACGCCGCACTCGTCTCTTTCACCAAGACATCCCAACTGTCTTGCCTTGCCAAATCCTGGCTTTTTCTCGCAATCTTCTCAGGTTGATCAAATTTGTCAGTAGAAGCAATACCAACAAATTTGTAGAAGGTGGCCGGCTTTCCCGCTCCGAGATTAATCTTGTAGGTCTGGCCAATCGTTGGGTCGCTGTCAGAAGCATTGCATCCCTGGGCACTCGTTCGCGAAGACAGGTCCGTGTAGCCATTCGAGAAGTTGGCACCGGAAACAATCCATCCCGTGACTTCTGGAAGGTTGTCAGGGTGAACGGAAGTGTAGATGGTGTTGCTGTTTTCGTCCAAGCCCTTAGAATTGAGGTAGCTGCGATCAGCACTTCGACCGTCTAATAGATCGGTGACAGTACCATTGATGTCCTCGGATGAAATGATGATTGCCTTTACGGCAATCACGTTGGGTCTAGCCCTGCTGAAAAGTGCCATGTAAGAGACGTTGAAATTGGCATCACAGCCTTCCGGTGTCCAGGTGTAAGCCCATTCTCCAACACCAGTCTTGAAAGAATGCTTGGAGAAGAAATTGGAGATCGTAGTATTGCTGACGGTTGCATCCAATGTCGTCCCTTCAAAGCTAAAATGAAGACCGGTAGGGTGTGGGATTCCCGCAATGAAACTGTCCCAGCCATACTGTTGCAACCAACCATAATTGGTTCGACTGGCATTTTGTTGGACATTGAAAAACCCCGAAATAGTCGAAAAAGACTTCCTCGGATTATCAAGAGGCCAGCCGCCGACTGGAGGGGGACCATTGGCGTCAGTCAAATTGACATCGGCTTCAAAGAACGGCCCAGCAGCGGCAAGAGAAGCCCCAACATATCTTAGTCAAGTCAACCTCTTGCGTTACAATATTGGAGAGACAAGCTCTGACTTACCCGTTGGCAAGGGACATGCGAGATTGGAATTGTCCCGCTTCAAACCTCGTTGTGCTCAACGACCAATCTGCCTGATTCCATTCCGAGATGTTGCCAGTGACGGCAAAATCAGTGTAGGCAGCCACTGCGCTGAAGAGCAGCGTCGCCACCAGGGCGATGATTGCGGACCATTTCGCCATTGCTCTTTAGATGATGCAACGGGCGTGAAGAGAAGGAGAAAGAAAGAATTAAAGAGAGTTAAAGCGAGAGTAGAAGGTAATCAATTATGAGTTGAGCGACATCGAATCGTGGAACGTGCAACTGAAGTTGTGACACATGAATGTATGTGGGAGGGAGGAGATCGAGAGGCTTTATGTGTATATGACTAGGTTAATTGACTATTGGGCTCGCCCAGTACTTACTGAATATGGCCTTGTGGGGGTGGGTGGCTCCTGCTCGTTCAAATGGTTGCGGGGAAGGGGGCTGGTTTGAATTAGGAGGGTTGAGCAGAGTTGTTGACGTATTGATTTGTTGATATTCTGTTGTGTTGATGCGTTGATTCGTTGATTGATGCGTTGGTCGGTTAACGAATGCACCTTCTCAAGGCTAGAAGCATTAGAATAGAAGTAGAAGTAGAAGTAGAAGTAGAAGTAGAAGTAGAACTAGAGCTAGAGCTAGCGCTAGAGCTTAGGAGGCATTAACTCAGCAGCTAGTTAGCCCACTCTGGCTCGGAGGAGCATAGAAGTAAGCGAGGGAGTGCTCTAGAGTCTAGATCGATCCATCTCAATCCAGGAACGTACCACCTGACCATCTGACCACCTGATCAGACTCGTCGGTCCAGCCCGGCCCATCTAATGGAGAAATCCGAGGCAGATGCAAGAGCAGAGGAGAGGAGCTGCATGCATGCATGTATTGCCCCGCAGCGGGGAAATCTTCCTTCCTTTCTCATAACAATCCATCCCGCGCTCCTTTGGGTGGACCACACGGACGGTAATCAAATTTACTGCCGAAGTGCGGAAATGATGGACTTGCCCATTGAAAAGGGTCAAGAGCCCCGATAGGAGGGAAGGCACGAAAAAACATGAGAAAACAGAGGAAAACAGAGGAAAATAGAAGAAAACACCGAGGACAAAGAAAGAAAGGAAGAGTGGAAAAAAAATTAATTTCCTTCACTTGAAATGCGATTTCGGCGAGTACGGAGTCCATGTTTAAGCGGAGCCGGGCTTTCAAAACAAACAAACGAAAAGAGTCACGGAACCTTTCCATGTATCATCACTTCAGGTTTGATGTCTTGATGTCTTATTATCCTCGTGCCATGAGAGAAATCATCTCTCGCGGCTCCCTTTATACCCAAGTCTAGACATAAAAAGACAAGCATCGTGGAATCGAGAAAAGGCATTCGATCATCTATCGCATGGCCCTAGCACTGATCGATCCCCATGCATCAGGGCTATGTCGACCATTCGCCCACCCACTTGCATCAACACTCTCTCTACTGACGTTACGGCTTCCGTTCTTCTTGGGAGGGAATTGAGCCATTTGACCTAGGGTATCTCCGGAACCAAGGGCGGCACCGCCTCCGCTCACAGCGAAAGGATTGTTAGTCCCTGCGGCGGGGTGACCTAGAGGACTTTGTTGCTGTCCCACTGCTTGGGGTCCAGGCTGTGACTGGGCTTGGATCTGGCTCTGCTCGGGTTGGAGAATGGGCTGAGGAGGCATTGGGGCCATCTGGGGATGATTGTACAAGTCCATGATACTCCTCTTATCGGCTCTGAGAGTCTGTTGTGGCATCTGAGGATACGTCTGCTGTCTTTGCTGCTGGTATTGCGGTTGATATTGTGGTTGGTATTCAACTTGCTGGGGAGCCTGCGCCTGACCGAAAAACGGATTCATTGGCTGGGGTTGCTGGGGTGCATTCTGGTTAAGGAACGGGTTCGTCTGTGCTTGCGCCTGGACTAATTGCGATGCTCCATTACCAAAGAAAGCAGATCCGTATTGTTGGGGGGGATGTTGATCCATAGGACTTTGATAGAGACTCTGTGGCGTTGTTAATTGTTGAGCGTACGGATTGCTCGCGAAATTCGTATTGAGAGACGGTGTTTGGGCAGGTTGATTCTGCTGCATAAACGGATTGTAGCTATTTTGCTGCGGTTGGGATTGTTGGGGTTGCTGGTGGTTGTTTTCGAACATTACAGGTGTATGGTATTGTTGTGGAACAGAGGGAACTGGAGGTGCCATGGACTGTTGGAATGCCTGTTGCTGAGAAGGAGTTTGAGGGGAAGGGAAACCACCAGTACGGTTCGGGAAAAGTGGTGGCGGTTGTTCAACTGACATGTTCTGGAAAGCTTGGTTGAGGTTGTATTGTGACCGAGAGGGAGCAAGTCCGAACGGGTTGGGATTTGGTGGCTGCTGATATGGATTATTTCCCACAGGAGAAGCCAGCCCTCCAGTAGACTGAGAGGACTGTGTTTGTGCTGTAGGCGGGGTATCCAGCATATCAAATGGATTTGACGAATTTGACGAAGGAACATCTCGTGTCCGATTTATTGTCAGTCCTGTCCGAGATCGAGCATTGACGGGTGGCCTAGGGAGTTCCGGTGACTTAAGCCCTCCATTGCCACCCTCTCCAAGTCGAACAAGAGTTTCGATTGTTTTCTCAAAATTTCCACTCAGGCCCTTCAAAACTGCAGTGTTCTTCCTTTCGTCCTGGAATCCCATATCTCGTAACCTCTGCAATTTCAACTCCAGATCGTCGACCTCTTCAGCTCCTACCGGAGTACCAAAGATCCTCGATGGCTTGTTCCTCCGTGGAGACGGCGATCGTTGTCGTGCACGGTTATCAAAATCTTGCCTGGCAGCGGCATCTTTACGATACTTCGAGGACAACGGAAATATTGAAGAAGCCGATCTAAAGCCAAACCTGCTGCCGGGTTTCGGCGGCAGTGGTGGAGGCTGATCGTCCGAATTCGTGCTTCCAGTATTATTCCTCGCAGGAACCTTAGGCGCAGCTCCCTCAAGGTATTTCCCCCGGATGAATCTCTCCATCGCTGAATCGGCTTCATCGGCATCAAAAGGAATAGGTGCCCTCGCGTTTGTCGGGTTGAATATTCGGTTTGATGCAACGTTTCCAACTCGCTTCATGTTCTGCCAGATCTTAGTAGTTGTCCTACAGGCACCCCCAAAATCGACGTACTTCCACCTGCTCGCTCGTCCAGGAGTCCATGCTCAACGACTTGACCTTCGTTATGTGCGTTCCCAGCTTTCGGTGCAAAGCGGCGCACCGCATGCATAGAAATATGCCGAGCTATTTCGGGTAAGCTTTTTGGGTGCCGCCATATCGACCTGGTGTTTACTTACACTCCAACTTGCCCATCCTGTGAAAACACAATCAGCAGACGTCGAAAATACTCGGAGCTAAAACCAACCCACCTGGATTCCGGGCCTGACAATCCGCGCACACATTGTTCCCCGGCACAGACTTTATAAGATCCTGGAGAGCGCGTTCGTTGCGCGCTTGCTGTCTCTTGCTCAAAGCACCGGACATCATTTTCTCTGCCTTGGTGACCCAAACCGGCCGAGGGATTTGCGTGTGTTGACCACTGGAACCCCCCAGCTCTCGAGTTAAGACTGATCGAGCAGAAAACACAATGAAGAGGAACAATAGTTACACCTTTGTATAATAAATCAGCTCAACACAGAAAGAACATGCAAGGATGGATTTTGCTGTGGTAGGAGGGAAATCGTGCAGGTTGTAAACTCGTTTGAAGCACGCCCGGAGAGCTGATGGCAGTGTCAGAGGAGATTATTGGAAGGGTTTTCGTTGGGTCCGCGGTGCAAAGATCAGCCATGGGAAGAATATTGTGTCGGGGAGAAGGTGAAGTGGAGTTGAGTTGCGAGGAGGGACATTTGCAGGGGTTCCAGAGCGGCTAGCTCGCTTTGGGACAAGACTGGCTGGTACTGTCCGGGTAGAAAGAAGTACAATGCGGACGATGGCGATGTTCTTCCTTTACAAGACTTGTGCCCGGTTTGACCTCTGCCTTGATAGTTGGACCTTTGGATACAACTTACTTTCGGAGCCTTACTTCACTTTTGAGATATTGGTCTCCTTGTCCGACGATCAGCATCGGTGGCTGCATTGTCCTGCATCAGTGCGTCGCCATCTGCGACATGTTTTTGTTTTGTTTACTTTGTCATCGACTTGGGACCTCGGGTCATGTTTTTCTTTCCACCATGCGATCATGGAGCATACACGTTTATCTCCACTTCTTTGCCATGTCCGTCCAAGCGGTTATCATCTCGCTCATCTCCGTATTTGGAGCTCCGCATGGCTGGCAAACTTTTCTTCGAAATCGTATCTCATAATCCTGTTTCTCTATTGTTCCTGCTTCCGGTCTTTCAGCAGCTCCTTGCTTTTGGGCTCATCACACACAGCATATGAAATGTCATCATCACCGTTGAAACCTTCTTTTGCCATCTCTGCAGCTCCTCCCAAGGACTCCCCTTCTATCGAAATCGTCGTCAAAGCCCTCAATCTTATCCCCCATACTGAAGGCGGCTACTACACGGAGACTGACCCCTCTAGAGAGAGCATTCTCTCCCCCTTTCTCCTTCTCCACAACCACTGGCCACGTGCCCATAAGACCAGGATTCGATCTCCTCCTTCGCATCCTCTCAACCCCCATCTGCTACCGGTATCTCTTCTCACGCCCGCTAAATCCCAAGGTGGTTTCCATCAGAATTCCGCAAGAACAGTGACCATTCATCGAGGCCATGGACGCCACGTTATCATCTAGCTGACGAGGAAGTGAAGGAGAAGAGAGTCGATAGCTTCGTTATTGGAGGCAATTTAGCGAACGGAGAACGGCTGTAGTAGATATTTGACGGAGGGAAATTCAAAGCGAGCTTCTTACTGCCGGACGATGAAGGGGGCGAAGAGTGCCAGGGGCTTGGTGAGGTAGAAAGTGATCACCCCTCATCAAACAATAAATCGAGTGGTTTCTTCCAAAGTCCAACAGAACTGCCAATGACGGTAGCTTGTCACTTTGCCAATTTGAGTGTGAAGGTAGCTAGGCAAGGCAATTAAACGGGCATGCTTTTTACACGAAGCAGGAAATGCAGCTAGTCCAGGACGATATGCAGGAACTCGTAGTAATGCAGACTCCAGACTCCTGGAAAGGTTACTTCGGGCTCCAGCCACGATGACGTGGAGAACAGGGCTCGAACATATTTTTGCTGCCTACAATGATTGGAGCGTCTCGATACCGACTGTGGCAGATACTCTTGTACATAGATGAGGCAGGTCGAGGTCGAGCCTCCTCGAGCTGCAACAACAATAACCGCCAGTATTCTGTACTCTACGCAAAAGCCTCGAGGATAAGCAGCTTGAGACAATGCAAGTTTCTTGGCCGTAATTTAGGACTGGAAAGTGGATTTGTTTGGGCTTCCATGACATATTCACCTCCTTTGTACTATCATTGAGGCAAGGTGAGAGATTTCATATGATTTGGTCTTTCAAGAACATATCACCGGTAAAATCGCTATTTCCACCACCCGTGGTCCAGCTTCTGCATCATGTTCCAGATTTTGAAACTGGTGTCTGCCCGCCTCGACTCTCTTGATTATGCTTCTCACCACTAAAAAATACAGCGACCAGGAAGCCGTTAGTCACCCCAAACCTCGGATTGAGGGGCGCTGGTATATTGCGGTGACTGCTTGAAGCTGCCCCAGTGGTACTAGTGCATCGCAACCTCTATATTCGAGTCTCCTGAGATGATATCCCGCACCTAATCATCCCTGGGCAGCAGCATTTGAAGGCGTGATACTTGATCCTCCTTTCAAATGGGAGGTCGAGCCCTTGAACAGTGACTGCCAGATGAAGGCTTCACTGAGGAGAAGCTCGATATCTTTCTCAGTCCAATCCCTCGTTGGCAAAGCCTGAAGAAACATCATCACTTCCTGAAAGTCCATCTTCCGTAATTTTTCGGACCATTTGACCAAGAAAGCCACGCAGACGTAAAGATGGAACTCGGAAAAGCCTTGTTCTTCGGCCTAGATCCGTGTCAGTTTCTGTGTGCTCAAATTATGAGCCCACATACCATATATGTGTCCCACATTCTAATGGTGTTTTTGACGCTGATCTCCCTCATAAGAAGACAATTCATCCACCTGAAGCTGAATTGAATAAATTCAACGCTCTCGTGCTCCAAGTGTTTTGCAAGAGGCTCGTCAATCCTAGCAGTCAAATCGTGAAGAGCCGCAACCTGGCGCTGAATGCCAGGCTGTGCAAAAATATAGTTATCCTGGATTCCATCCAACAGCTTGGTGATACACCAAAAAGTGTCTGCTTCCACGGCATCGAGAACGGGTTTTGGCAGCTGCCCAGGGTCCATCCCGCTCTCAACATCCGCATCCGTGATATAACTGGCGAGAAAGACCTGCCAAAAAGGGGTAACAAGGTCATTGATACCTTGAACGTAACCACTTGCAGGATGCCGTACTGCCCAGACATAGAGGATTCGTTCCAGGGATCGCTGCGTAGCTTCGTAGCTGTACAGCTCCAAATGAGGGTTCGTCCGAGGCACATCGATACTAATCTGGTGCCAAATTGTTTCATCCAGCCCTCTGATCTTGCCTGAAGTGCCTGAGCTGTTTCCTCCTCTTTCGAAAGCCTGCCTGACACCATCAAGATACTCCTTTCGCTTACGCTCCAACGTCCCTACTCGTCGTTCACTGCTTGTTGGCAGATATCCAAGTAATAACTGCCAAGTCATGGCGCGGACCTCTTCTGGTATCCCAGACCATGCTGCTGCTCTCAGTTCTGTTAAATTTATCGAGGTTGCCTGCAGTATCTTTTTGAACTTGTTGATTCTTGTTATCCGGGCGGAGTGGACATCTGTTTCTTTCGGCGAAGCACCGGCAGGTATTGGGGGATGGCTTATAAGATGCAACGAGTTTGCCGGGTCCCTGAGAACCTCCTTGTATTGAGGTCTTAGAATTTTGCCCTCGCTCTTCTTTGCAACGGGATAACTTGGCGCAGGGCGCTCGATAGCGATATCGGCGCTGTTGAATAGTCTGCTGGCTCCAAATCCACCAGAATCTCCTGCTGGTCCATATCCAAAGGGAGGCACATTCCCTCCACCATCAGTTCTGCGCTGCTCTAGACCTTTCTTACTCTTCCGTCTCATGCTTGACATGCTGGGAAGCCCAAAATCGTCCCCGTCGTCATTTTCATACCCGTAGTCATCGTAATCATCGGCCTCATCTTCCACATTCCAGTCATTGTTCGTGTTGGAAAGAAAGTCGGTATAGTTTCTTCTCAGAGGGGAGGCCAATCCAGAAGATCCTCGGGGCGGTGGCGGGGTATTGCTTCGAGTTTTGAGTGAAGAAGGAGGGGGGGTTCTAGGGCTGGTCGAAGATGTAGACAAAGATCTGCAAAAGACATGTCAGTAGCTGTATAGGTGTCCCTATGGTATTTGAAATCGCACAAGTTGTCAAATCTCATCATATCGGCATGCGAATATGAGGCCCCTATAACCAGACTTGAATCCCGAGACGCCTGCTTCTTCGCAGACTGGTCACGGTGTCCTTCTGCTGTTCGGGTTCGCCAAAAGGGAGATGCAGATCTGGAGCCTATAGTCAGTGAAATGCCCTTTTTAGCCCAGAATCTACCCCTCTCCATGCGTTTTCGGTTTAGACACATACTCAGATCTTTCTGCGAAAGAATCAAGAGTCAGCAAGTTTCCTAAGCAAATCCGGGGAGAAGCCCAAGGTGGGTATCCGCAGCGTTTGGGTATCTAGGGGTGCCCTCAAACTGGACTGAACTGAACTGACCAACTTGAACCATTTCCTTCAACCACATCAGAATCAGCGGCATGTTCCTCTGAAAAACAAGACTTCCAATTGATCAAACTGAACTGACCTGTTGCACAGGCTTCTTGCTGCTGTTCGTAGAGTTCGAAGAAGAAGAAAACATCTTTGCAAGCCCTGCCGCAGACTTGGACCGTATTATGTCTTCATTCAATCATTCATTCATTCATTCATGCGTACGTGCGTGCTTGCATCCGTCCTGAGGCTCCTCAGTCAGCAGCCAGTGCCAGTGCTAGTGCGAGTGCCCGTCTCAGAGGTCCGAGCGCCGAAGACTCCGAACTGTCTGCCTTTCCCACTTGTTTTAACATAATCAACCTCCACCATCACAACTGCCACCGTCACGACGTCTTTCCACTTTGGCATTCATTCTTCACATCCTCTTTCATTCTCACATTCCTTTCTCCTTAGATTCTTTTCTTGACCATCTGCCGGACACATACCAGCCCTCGCCTTCCGATACGTTCCATCAAACACCTCTCCACCCCCGATTGGAAATACAACTCCCTGCCACCTACCAGGCAAATTACTTAACACTATAAGACTTCAAGCCCACACCAGTATGGCCGAACCCGACAACTTCGAAGAGGATCTCTTCGCCGATCTGTACGTATGCTGCTCGATGACGAGTAGACGCTCAGCTCCTTAGCCTTGTGTAATATACGGAGCATCACAACTTCTATCCTGTCCTTCCTGTCAACATCTTCGTTCTCTCACTTTCTATTCCTTCCCTCCGATCAATTAATTTGCTTACGCCAATATTAGGTACACGGAAGAGGAGACTGTGCCAAAGCCAGTAGTGCCTGAGGTTGAACTCAAGAGCGAACCAGCCAAAGAGGTCGCCAAAATCGATGAGGCACCTGAAAATACGGAACCTAACGGCGCAGGGGGTGAAGAGAAGTATAATGGAGACCAGGATATGGATGATGAAATTGATTTCAATTTGGGCGGGAATGGAAATAGTTATGATGCTCCGGTCAGCCATGAAGCACATGGGCCTGGCATCAAGGAAGACGGGTAAGATATCAGTTATTTTTCTTTTAAGTGCTTCATCTACCATGGTCGTCACATGGTTATAGTCGCCAGTGCCCCGCTTCAACACGGGCACAGAGCGAGATCTGGACCCATTTGCTACACTTTGCGGAAATAACGGAACGTGGAAGGAGGATATCGGAGCCCACGAGGCATAAGGGGTTGGCACTGGGCGGAAACGGGACTACTGGGTGCCATGGGAAAGCTCTTGATATCACAAAAGCCAGATTGTCGAAGAGAATCGGACGACAGCTGGTCATGCGAAGACTTTGTGGTGGCTTTGGATGAATTTGATGGGGCCAAAAGCGCAGAGGCTTGCGAAGGACCAGAAAAATGCACAAGGATAATTGGCATCTACGGATGGAACCGCACTGGCATATGAAGAGGATTGCAAGGACACTGATCTCGCCTCATGCATTCGACATCAACAGCGGCCATAGTCAAGCCTACTACATAGCCTATTGTCGAGATAATCTTCATAGAGCATCAGAGGAGGCCACAGATAGGCTAGAAGGCAGCGCATAGCGCTCGACGCCAGTACCTAGCATCACGATAGCAAAAGACAACGATTGTTCTTGGATATCTTGCAGTGTCATTCTTCATTGCATGACTTCTCCGGACTTGCCATGGCGTGGACTGGCATGGGTTGATGGGCGTGAGGCGGTGCGGGAACGGAATCATGCCCCGCTACCGCGACAGGACAATCTTCTCTGATGTTGTCGCATCGCCTACATTGGATTCTCGAAGCCCGATACGAATGACGATGAAATGGCCCGCTTGAAGTGCTCTAGTCTCTGGGTCCTGCCTGGCAAGCGACTCTGTCTCTTTTTCCAGACCCAGAACCAACGGCATATCAGAGCCCTGAAAATCGACCGACCCCGGACTTTTATATCATTTTGTTGTTTCTGTTATTCTTATGGCTCTATTTGCTGACTAGTCATGATCTTATAGCAAGATGTTCATTGGTGGATTGAATTGGGAGACGACCGATCGTAAGTACCTGGACGATGCTGACACTCCTGTAAATCCTCTAACTTGGCTGGTCTAGAGTCACTCAAGGATTATTTCTCTCAATTTGGTGAAGTTTTGGAGTGCACCGTCATGAGAGATGGCGCTTCAGGCCGCTCTCGTGGCTTTGGCTTCCTGACGTTCAAGGATGCTCGTACTGTTAACATCGTGATGGTTAAGGAACACTACCTCGATGGCAAAATTGTAAGCCCCAAATCTCCGAATAACACAAATTCACTACGTCAATTTTGCTCTCGGTCGCTTCATGTGACAGAAATAACAAGCTGACGTATTTGCTCAAAGATTGACCCCAAGAGGGCAATTCCCCGAGATGAGCAAGAACGCACAAGCAAGATCTTTGTCGGTGGTGTCAGCCAGGAGGCCACTGAACAGGATTTCAAGGAGTACTTCATGCAGTTCGGACGAGTTGTTGATGCCACCCTCATGATGGACAAGGACACCGGTAGACCTCGGGGCTTCGGCTTCGTCACATTCGATAGCGAGGCAGCCGTCGATGCTTGTCTCGACTCGCCTCTCGAGATTCTCGGTAAGCCAATCGAAGTCAAGAAAGCTCAACCTCGTGGCAACATGAGAGAAGAGGAAGAGGCTCGTGGTGGTCGAGGTGGAAACCGTTTCCGCAAAGGAGGCATTGATGAGAACCAGAATGCCAATCAAGCCCAGCAAGGTGGGGGTAACCAGATGGCTCCTGGCATGACTCCTCAGTTGATGGCGCAGTACTGGCAACGAATGCAACAATACTTTGCCATGATGCAACAGCAAATGGCTATGGGTGGCGGACGAGGAATGCCGGCTATGCCAGGTGGTATGAACCCAGCTATGATGATGCAGATGCAGCAAATGCAAGCTATGCAGGCCCAGATGCAACAAGCAGGAGGAAATCGCAGCCAGAGTCCCCAGAGCCCTGTTACGGCGATGAACGGTATGCAAGGCATGAATCCAGCTATGATGCAACAGATGCAACAGATGCAGCAGATGCAAATGCAAGGCATGGGCGGTGGAGGAGGTGCTGGCATGGCCGGAGGAAACAACTATGCTGCAGGTGGTGGAAGCAACCCCGGTGGTCGAATTGGCACCCCAGGATACAATGCTTATGAGCAACAGATGTTTGAGCAGCAGAAGTATGAGCAACAACAGATGCGACGCAACCAGGGCGGCTATGGCCAGGCTCAGCAGAATGGCTACGGCAGTGGTCCAACTTCTTGGGAGGGCATGTACGACGATGTTCCGCAACCCATTGTTCCCAGCGGAGGTGGTGGGCGTGGAGGATTTCAGGGTGGTGCTCGTGGTGGAAGCAATAGAGGCTCGGTTCCGCCTCAGAACGGTCCTGCTAGTGCTCCTCCTGCCAATGCACCCACTGGGCCGAAGAATGCTGGCAAGCCGGGTGCAAATTATAGGGGCGGAGGACGGGGAAACAACCGGGGCTTCCATCCATACGCTCGGTGATGATTGCTTGCAGTGGATTTTCTTCTGCGTTTGGGTATGGGATCGATGAGGGGATGGGATCTCAAAAGTTGTGGTACGACCACACACATTTCATGTAACCTTAGGATTCACATCCCTTCTTTGGTGGTTCATGGTCAGTTATCTACGTCAACGGGATTTCTAAGACAGCGTTTCGTTGCTCAATCCTACCTACAGCTTTGTGAAGCCTTCCTCAGGTGGCTGTAACCAATTTCTCTCATCATACACTGCTCCCTCCCCTTCAATGACGTGGAATGTATAAATGATCCTCCCCTTCTGACCGACATTTTTCTCACTCTTATGCAGCAAATTCCCATGAATCAGCACCAGACTTCCCGCCTTGACCTCCCCCAGCACATACTCCCCCTCCGCCTTCTCAGCACCATATCCTGCACCCGCCGGGAATTGCCTTCCCTCATTAACGATAAATTCCGTACCCGACCCGTCCCTCTTCCTCACGAACCTCTGCTTAATCTCCGCACTCTTATGGCTACCGGGCAGGAAACTCAAACACCCATTCTCAACTGTCGCATCCTCAAGCGCATACCAAAATCCGACGGCACTCGGCGGATCCGTATACAGAAACGTAGAATCCTGATGTGGGGGCACAGCGCCTCCAATCTCGGGCTGCTTGCAGATGACCATGCTCTGTAGACATTGCGGCTCGCGGAAACCGAGGGAGCGGGCGATCAGGGACGGGGAGTGCGCAGCGGAGGGCGAGAGGAGGGATGCGAAGGGCGGGGAGAGGACGTGGAGATAGTGGCCTATCTTGTTGATGGCTCTCTCCTTGGGCTTGGTGAGGGTGCCGTCGGGGTCGAATGCATCTGACGGGTTGGTGGTTGTTGGGTGACGTTCGTTGTTGGTGGGAGGGGAGGGACGGATGGACTTCTACTGACCTTCTTCGAAAAAGAACCGCACCTTGTCGCCGCTGGACAGGAAGTAGTCGTCGCCTACATGGTCGCTCTTCTCCCCCGTGGAGAATCTGGTCATGGGGTGGTCCGAGAGGGAGAAGCTGTCCAACAGGGAGTGGGTTTCGGCGAGGAGCTCGGAGACTTTGGAGGCGGACAGGGCGTTCGGGATGATAAGGTACCCATCTCGTTCGAAGGTTGCTAGCTGCTCCTTTGTGAGGCCTTGGGCGGCTGGTGGAGGATCTGAAGAAGTTCGTGAAGGCGCCATATTTACTTATTTGATGCTGAGATTCTATCACCAGAGCAGGAGGTCGCATGTAAGTATGGGGCTTATCGGATGGACCTACCCCTCCCCCTCAGCGATAAGCACTTGCAAATTTAGGTATTGCCCCACTAGCTGCTGAAGCGTAAAATGTAACAACTATCAAATGGCCATTCAACAGAATTCAAAGTCCATTTATATTTGTTAAATCAAACTCTATGCAGCTTATTGAACGTCAACATTCGCTTAGTATGCGAAACGACAAGCGAATGCTGAACAGCTCCTGCCAGATTTTGGCTTGTCTACTCGGTCGGAAATTGCTAGCTGCCAGTGAAAATACGTCTACGAAGGATGTCGCACCATCAGACGTTCTGAGTTGCACGTTTACCAGAATCAAAATGATAGACGAGATAGCCAAAAGACAGTGCCGCCTGTGAGGGTCGAACTCACGCAACTTTCGTTAATGGTGATATGAGCTTGAAGAAACTTAAAACCATCGCCTTAACCACTCGGCCAAAGCGGCAAATATTATTAGTCTCAGATGTAAAATAGGACATGATAATTCAAACAAAAACTTTTGAAGCCTCTGCGAGTCCGTGGCCACTTCGCTTCCCAAAGAACGGAGCATTCCACAGTCCGCCCAATTCACATTGACAAGACAAGTATAAATCTTCCTAAACACGTTAATCATCGGAATAGGAGATTTCTGAAATGTGCCTGAGCGTCAAGAAGCCACTCATACTCCATTGCATTCCATTTTATCAACCATGTCTAACCACACGAACAAGTGGTTTATCAGAGCATTTGTTCAGCCATTCCTTGATCCTCCCAACCCCTTGCGAGTCTCCTTGACTGGTTTCCTTCAGACCTCGGTCAACCCAACCCTCAGTATACGGTACCCGCCGTCAAAATCAATGAGCCACAACCGATTTTCCTTGTCGACTAGCACATTTTGCGGCTTAGCGTCCCATACAAGACCCGCAGCGTGCAGTTGTTCTACGAGGCTTTCGAGCTCAGGAGCCCACTGATCTCGCTGCTCGTCCGAACAATCAGACCAGGGCGCCAATTCGTACAGTGTCCCTCGGTTCTCGATATAATCGAGGAGTATTCCAACCATACGTTGCGACCAACACTTCTTTGTTTGTCATAATCTGGAATCATCTCAGGGTTGGAATCATAAAGCTCGCGATCAAGACTTTCCCATCTAGCGAGTTCTTCTGCCGATACGTGAATCAAACCTGTAAGGACGTCGCGATCTTCGTCGATAACCATACTATGAAGGCGACAGATACGCATATCCGAACGAAGTGACCCTGATATAATCGCGGCCGTCATCTGGTTATATATCCATGAATTGTGCGCCAACCTTTTGCGCAGAAACCCGTCGAATACGTGTTGGTTGAAATAGCGTAAAGTGCCATCTTTGGCGAGAACTTTCGACGGTCCTCGGATACACGGGTGGTGGTGGTCGGCGGAGTCGATCACCAAACGGATTTGACGTGAAGTAGATGTTTCGATCGACTCCAAGTTCAACCATTCTTCTCCGTGAAGCCAGCTGCAGTACAGGCCTGGAGGTGTGTAGCATTGTCGCGGAAGACCTCCTTTGAATCGGGGTTCGATAGTCGAACCATCATGGCCCGCCGTTGCTTCGAAGACCAAGTATGGGACATAGAAGTAGTCAAACAGTGTAAATTCCTGGCCCCGTGGAATCGGAGCCGACGTGGTCATAAGCTCTTGGAGTGGCTCCTGGAGATGATGAATTTCCTCCCAAGCTCCATGATAGTCGCCGCCATGATCAATACCAGCTTTCACTGTATCAATGTATTGTCTAAATTGCGATAAAACATGCGAGAATCAATAACCCTCTCGAGCTCATGTATAATCTTGAAATATACACCTATACGTCGTATAATGATATTCAGGTCCGTGTCACCGTACACAATCTTTATGTTGCATGGGATTGGAGGGAGTTTTGATATGCTCAAGGCATTATCTGGAGTGCCCCAGGCCGCAGACTGTTGCTGATCTATGATGATAGCGGCTGTTATGTATGTACCGTTCCGACGAGGAGGTTCTGAGGATGGCTAGGCGTGGTCGTGCATCTGGGAAGGAGGATAATCTTTCAGGTATCGTGAAGGTGCTTGCGAAAAGGGGGAGTCTTTTAAGAGGGCTCGTATGCGAGGGAGAGGGGTGAGTACCGGTATCCTAGCATCAGGATGTCCTTCCGTCAGCGTGCTTGACTCAGCTCAGGGAGAGACTGATACTCGGCAGCTCGCAGGTCAAAAGGCAGCGAGCGCACTTATTATTAGAGTCACTCGATACGCTGGATACTGGGGTGAGCCGAGACTGTATTGCGGTGTGTATGCGAATGAGCGAGTGACCACAGCCTCGAGTAGCACCTTATAAGGCTAGAGCCACGGAACAACAAAAGGGATACGTTCAGACAAAGAATTGTTAGTGGAGCTGTATTTCTTCGAGCAGTGCTGAAGAAGATTGACTGTTAGATGCCAGTATTTTTAACCATTTTTAACCCAAGAAGCTGAGGAAATCATGGGACGATGTGATCGCAATAGCGTATAAGAAATTCGCCGCTTGTCAAAGTATATCTTCAAGGCGAGAAATATAAACTACGATCAGTGGCAGGTGTCAGAGGTGACTTTCCAAAGAACTAGATGCTGTAAATCCCTTGTTTGTCGATTGTCTTCTAGCCTATAAATTCAAGATCGCCTGAGAAACATCCATCCGCGTGTAATGTTTTACAGCTTGGTAGTGATATTAATATCTTTTGCATGAGCCGTAACACAAGTAACAAAGTAGGGCCAGAAAAAGTCATCGATGAGAGTTAATTCCTCAAGAGCAGTTGGCACAAGAAAGCAGAAGACCCAGAATGGAAGTTTTGAAATGCGGCATTCTAGCTTCGCCTGTTCCGTGACGTTGAGTCCACCCACCCATCTTGCTCTGGCCATATCGGCAAGAGCATCCACACCGTAGATTACCTGGCTTCCTTGTAGCGTAGGAGGACTTCGTTTCGTAGGCGCTCACTCCTTGAATTTTCCGTAAAATCTTGCGGATTTGCTTTACTTGCCCAATTTGAGATGAGACATCCTCACACGTGATAAGGTTGTCAATCCAGGCGTGTGTGTTGAGTAGAAGTACCATACCTTAGTCTTAGTGAGGAGAAAAAAACACAAGTCGCCAGATAAAGAGCAACGGGTAAGAGGCAATACCACAGAACAATGTAGAAGGTGCAACACAAGAGCTGCGAGACAAGAATGGTCTTTTCGAGTACAGGATGGAAAAGAGAAAACAGATGCCGCTGTGTCAGAAAAGGGATATGATAAGCTACCTAATCGGAGTGTGAATATGTATGTAACTGTGATTTGTGACTGTGACTGACCTAACAGCAGCTATGATATATACGTCAAGCCTATTGTACGTGTATCAGACCATCGGACGGTCCAGTAAGATAGTAGTCAGGTGGCTGGCTTACTGCACGGATTGGATAGGAACGAACAACAAGATGAGCTTGGTCGGCAAAAACAAGACGGGAGCAACAGAAAACAACAGAACAGGAACAATAGAGCAAGAACAACCAGGTAGAAGGAGCGGATTTGACAGAAAGATTGGCAGAATCAAAGTATCAAGCAACAACGAACGCTAATAGGAATATATTTTGCGCTACCAGCATCCACCAGAAGACAACAGCTCGTCATATACGCTTCTACCTCTGCCTTTCTCAACTCCAAACCTCTCTTTTCCACGTCGTCTCACCTCTTCGCCTATCTCAAAAATGTGCCAGTTAATAAGGAGAAGATATCTTTGCGAACACGCCTCAGACGAGTCGTACTGGCTTGCAGAAACCCCAGGTTCTTGTCAGATGGCCCTCACGGTGAACCAATATGATATCATGGGTCGACTGAAACGTTGCGAACCAGGAACAACGGCGACCTATATCGCCAGGGGTTATTGCGCCGCCGAAGAAAATCACACTTGCCGCAGGAAAGCGTTCAAAATCGCCGGTTGGCAGTGTCACGTCTGCGCTGCCTCTATTCCTTCTGCCGTCGGGGCTCCTCGTGAAAGGCAACGCGACGGCCACGGAGACGGAGTGGTGATTTGTGCTTGTACACATGTGGACACACTTGCCCGATAATCTGTAGGTCCACCAAGCAACTCTGGTCTAGTTGTTCAAACTAATCCCAACGATTGGAGGCATTAGTCGTGAGGTACGAGAGCCGAGGTATGCGAACTGTCAGTGTCCGCTTTGTCGTGAAGGATTTTCCGAATATCGTATCTCTGAGGGCGCTTTAGCGAGATAGTACCTTGTCTGGATAATGCTGTTTGATTTCTACCATAATGACGGAGGTGTTAGATAATGTTGGACTCCGAGCTGCAGGCCTATGATATAATATTAGCTTTAAGCTCGCTTAAAGACTACTTGTAAAGACTGATTTCAACTAATAATTAAGCTTGATCATTAGGTATCTACCATAATCGTAAAAGTGGTATGTGCTTCTTGACATTAGAAGACCACCCTAGTGCATCTATTATGCTGCTGACAGGACGTACTCAGCGACTTCCAGACCCTCAACGCCCGATATCCCATCATACAATTTCATTACCAGCTTGCTCCTATCCAAATCGCTGATCGGGAATGAGTTCATAGTCCCCTTCAGAAGGAAACGCAAATGCTGAAATCGAAATCGCTCCAGCGCTAATCATCGCAATGCTCCAGCTGACTGTGCAGAGAATCCAAGACTGGTCGAGCTTCCAGCCCACAAAAAAACGATCGTCGTTATCAAAAAGATAGGCCTGCACGATTAGCAAAGTTCGAAATGAATTGGTACGAGCAACGTACAACAATGGCCATGGAAGCACACTGAACGGTTGCCACAAGCACCAGCATAAAGCTCAGAAGTTTCCAGCCCTTCTCCCTCTTCTGCTTGCCTCCCACGAGCACCAGAATGAATGCAACGACTGTGCCCAATTCTAAGATGGCCGCGGCGGACATCAGGAAGCCCACAGACCGCCACATGGAGCAGAAGTATCTGTCACTGCCGCTGCAGTCCTCCTTCTGCGGGAAATGTATACATGTGTTCGTAGTCGAGGAACAGCTTCGGTGCAAGCCGACCCGCTTAGTGTAATGCCCCCCCGAGGGAGAATCGACAGTCCATGTAATCCAGTCAGGTATGAAGTTTGCGGCAATGGTCATGCCGGTTGCTAGTTAATGCGATCAGCGATGGTTTGTTGTGAGCATTGATTGAGATCCGGCCTCTTACCTGCGAGGAAGGCAACCAAGGCCAGAGAGTACACAATAGATCTCGTCATGGTGACCTGTGTCCTCCCCTTCTGAGCCCGAACGTGTTTTCAAACGTGCGTCCTTCCGAGCAGGAGTTGGGGTTGGAGGGTGGCAAGGAGCTTTGTCAAGAAAGAGGTGGAGGGGTCGAATCCAGCTGCCTAGTCTGACGCATTGAGTGCAGATCAGCCTCGCGAGTTTATGCCGCAAGGATAAATAGAAAGCTGCAGCGAAATCAAGGTGGACACTTTGGCTAGATCGTAATGTGTTCAGATAACCTAGATTTGGGGAGATGGGATTCTGGCCTGCAAGTGTAAGTACATTTGATGATTGGCTCGTCGTGGCTTCGGAGGCTTAAATCAATCGGTCAGACTACGTCGGTTCGGGAGATAAAGCTGCATATGCGACTTGTTCACGAGGCACACTTTCGAGATATTGATAAGATTTGATATTTCGGATGTGGATCCTTTGCTTTCTTATTGGCTTGGCGAGATTGTGAGGTCTAGAAATTGTTTGATTTTCTTTCCGCGAAGTCATGCTGAATACAGGGCAGAGTCGAGACCATGCATGTTGACCAACGTATGGATTGTAACTACTATGACCGCAACAATCGGATTTGGGAGCAGTCCGGCAGAAATTAAGACTGGCGGTCTCCTTTGCTATACTGCCGTCTTTCCATGACCTTGCCGTGAGCTACATATGTGTGAACCATCCAAAGATTTTTCTTCCCTCGGCGCTTGAAGCGAGCAATCTTTTTTCCTTCCTCTATTCGCTGTCGCTACTATCTTCCGAATCGCTTTCAGTCTCCTCGCTACTCGAGTCGGACGACGACGACGAACTCGACGAGCTGGATGATGACTCGTCCTGGTCGTTCTGGGCCGTATCGTCGTCTGCCGGGCTGTCTTCGGAATCGCTGCTGCTGGAGTCCGAGGACGAGTCGAGGGTGACAACAGTCCTCTGTTTACGCTTCCTAGCAAGCTTTTGTGGTAACGCATCCTTCGCCCGAGCTGCATCCTGAGCTTCTCCGTTCTCCTTGGCTGCAATAGTAGATGTGGTATTTCCACTACGTTCCGGAGTAGATGCTAGTGTCGCGAGTATTTTCTCCGTCCTCATCCTTTTCGCGACCCTCCCTTTCATTGCCTCATCTGATAGCCCTGACAAGATCCCTTCCTCATATCCCACCTCTTCAGTAAGCTCAGCTGCCGTCATGGTTGCCACGTACTCTTGCATCGCGACTTCATACTCTCGCTGTCTCTTCTCCGGGAGCCCCATGGTCTCGGGAAATCCGCTCTCGCCTGCTTCCAGATCCTTAACTTTGATTTCGATAGCCGTGTCTCGCAGTCTTGTCCGAACGCCTCCTTGTAGCCCTTTCACGTACTCGTAGAGAAAGTGAACGTGGTCCGAAGGTACGACTTGGAAGTTGAACGCGTGCTTGAGAAGATGATTCTGGTGGTTCTTGTTGAACTTCCAGCTGTCGCGAGATTCGCAGTATTGTCTGAGATACTGTAGGAACGGTCTCGAAGAAGGTGTTGTCAGTTTGACAATTTTCGAGGGTTTCGTTTGCTTCAACTTGCTCGGCTTCTCCTGTACTGGCTTTTTGACTCGTTTGACTTTGCGCTCCCTCACGTCAAGGTTTGCGTCGACTTGTTCTTCGACTCGTGGTGACTCTGGTGTTTGAGAGACAGGGTTAGATTTTCCAAACTCAAAGGTAGGATCTTGTGCTTGTTGATGTGCCTTCCAAGAGTTGAATAATTGCTTTATGCTGTCCCCGTCGTCGGTCTTACATTCAGGCGTAAAGGTAACCGACTTCTTCCTGGCAAGTTGCGGAGTAATTGGTGTCGAGGAAGAGCCTGTAGAAAATATTGAATTCTTTTTGGGCTTCTTCAAGGGTGTGTTGTCTTCGGTGGCTGGCCTCTTCCTCTTGGAAATCTCCTCCTGAGCAGGTTCAACAACTGGGACCTCTTGGGCCGACTTCAACTTGAGGCCCAATCTCCTCCAGGCCGGGACGTGAGTGGAGGAAGCATTGGAAATTGTCGCGGATAGCATGATTGAAGACCCGCTGTTGAATATCGCAATACCTTAAATTCAAAGCTTCAGGATCGTGGAGTCGTCGCGGGTGAAGGCTGCTGTGTAGACTTGAGATTTTTCACCCGGGCTTATCTTATCGGATCGGGGCATCAATCGACTGCGCACGTGATATACTATCCGAGCTTCTCGTGGAGCACGCGTTGTCGTCTGCCTCGCGAGACTCCAGATCTGGAGCCAAAGCCTCAACGTTCGAACGCATTGCATCTGTGACAGCCCACAACTCCGCACGATACCAACTTCTTCACTCGGTCTTCTGGATACCGAAGAATCTCCCTAATTGAATTGCAAACTCCAACGCCCTCATTCGATCAAGATGTCGGGTATGTTAAATTCCCCAAGCTCCAGCTGAAGCTCTTTATTTAAGTGGCCACAGCTAATCCGGGTCTTTGGAATAGGCAGCGCAGGATACGACAGACACATCACTATCTTCTCTGACCAGGGAAGACTATACCAAGTCGGTGAGCAGAAATTCTCCATTCTCGAGCTCTCAGTAGCTTCGACTCCCTTTCAGCTCTCTTCGCACATGGTGTTGAGCCTCACCTTGGAGAAATTATGTTGATAGGATATTGTGGATAGAATATGCTTTCAAGGCTATCACGGCTGCGAACATCATGTCGATTGGTGTGAGAGGAAAGGACTGCGCCGTTGTCCTGTCGCAGAAGAAGGTCCCCGTAAGGATACAATGGTACCTTCATTTCAAGGGCATAACTAACCTTTGGATGATGTTAGGACAAGCTTATCGACCCATCATCTGTCTCGCACATTTTTCAGCTCTCTCCATCGGTAGGCTGTGTCATGACCGGGTCCATCGCCGATGCCAGGGCATCTGTCCAAAGAGCTATCGGTGAAGCCGCTGAGTTCAGATACAAGTATGGGTACGAGATGCCTTGCGATGCTCTGGCCAAGCGAATTGCCAACATCAGTCAAGTCTATACGCAAAGAGTAAGCTGGCCCAACTGGCCCGCTTAGCACTCTATTGGGCTCTCTAGCTAACGGGAACATAGGCTTACATGCGTCCGTATGGCGTTGCTACTACTCTGATCTCATTAGATTCCGAGTACGGTCCTCAACTCTACAAGTGCGATCCAGCAGGTTACTACACAGGCTACAAGGGCACGGCGGCAGGCCCTAAGCAGCAAGAGGCTTTTAATCATCTTGAGAAGAAGCTCAAGAACAAGGAGCATGCAGATGGCAGCTGGGAAGATGTTGTTGAGCTTGCGATCACTACCTTGAGCACTGTTCTCAGCGTGGATTTCAAGAAGGGCGAATTGGAGATTGGCATCGTTGGCGGGCCCAGAAAGGACGGGAAGGAAGGCCCCGACCCGGGTTTCAGAGCTTTGACAGAAGAGGAGATCGACGAGAGACTCCAAGCGATCGCAGAGAAAGATTGAGTTCGCACATGGGGAATATGATATCCAGAGAAGCAAATAAGCGTTTGGGACTCCCGAAGGTCCGTTGGGCTCAAGATGTTTCCTTCCTACATTTGCAAACCATGTATTAGAATAGAGAAGGGCTGGCGCAAAAGCGATATTCCTTCTATATTGTGTTATTAGTCTCTGTCGCATTTGGGAAATCAAGCTCCGACGTTGGGTAGTACAGAGTATATTCTTGGGGTGGGAGCACAACACAGCCTCTGGTGTAGCTTGTCTCTGCAGTGTCGATCTGACTCAATGCAGGATGAGATGCAGACTTACCGTAGGAGGGCAAAGCAGACGCCGCCTAACAATGCGTGGCTGGCTGTACTCCTAAGGGCCGTATGGTGCATTTGGATCCGTCTGACTTGGTTGTTCGGATGCTGATAGCCAACCGAGGCCAGTATCTCTTGGCGCTCACTGGAATGAGAAAGAGGCTCTCGATCACCTCTCGACCTCTCGACCTCTCGAATCCCGACTTTGCACTCTCAACGTTCCCCCTCTCCCCACCCAGGTAGGTCTCTTAGCTGCAACCACTGTGGCCACTGCGACCACCTCCGTCATGCAGCACGAATGGGAAGTATATCTCTGTGTTTACAGCTTGGTAGGGTTCTCTGTAGCTTTGAGCTTGCAAGTGTTAAGTATCAAAATAGTGTCGGCTTGCGCATCTCCCCGTCCATCAGTAAGTGATGGCGGCTCCAATGAACCCGTCGCGAGACTGGTGATAGCTATCCATGGCTGAAAACCGTGGACAGTGAACAGAAGGGGAAGTCCCCGATGGGCGGTGGGCAGGACTCAGGATTGTGAGTCCAATGAGGCCACGATGCTCTGTTCCTGCTTTGGCTTCATACATCCCCGCCAACGCCCCTTCCCGAGACATCGTTTAACGGCGAGCTATTGCACCGGTCTCTCTTTCCTTCAAGTACTTTCCAAAATCTCTCAGGCTGCCAGCTCCTCACGATATATCTGCCTCTCTCGTACATCCCAAATACTCTCTTTCAAAACTGGTGGACGGATGTAATTACTTCCTTTCTCGTACCTTTCTCCACTCCTCTCCCTCGTTGAGAGAAACCCCATGGACTCAGGGCTGATATCCTAGTGTTAATACCAAGACACGGCATTTTGGGAACAGAGGGAACTGTGCAGCAGCAGCAGTAGCAATTCTCATAGTCCGATTCTATGACTCGCAAAATGAATGGCTGACAGTGTCATTTAGGGATAGCGGCTAGTTCAATACGTTTGGACTTTCTACGGATACGTGGATATTCAACACAAAGGGAAGTAAGTACAATAGCCGAGCGGGCTGTCTACTACCATGTTGATCGGCATGGCACACCGGCAGGCAGCAAGAAGTGATCTACAAAAGCAGTATCCGGCTGAGATTGCGTGTGAACATGTTTGATGCCGAAAGAATGAGCGAGCGGTCTGCCAGTCGTTCGGCTCTACGAAAGTTTCATCGTTCGATTTTGCTTCTCCATGCTGCCAATAATCATCATGATGCTTCTTTGTTCTGTTGACAGGTTTGCAGATCCGTCGCCTTACGGAAGATCACTCACTCGGCTAGCTCGCAAAATTGCCTCTTCAGCAAAGGCACAAGAAGGAGCCGCGGTAGACCTCATACCAAGATTAAGACGCTTCAGATTGAACTAGCTACTCTTGCTCTGGACACAGAGAGCAATTCCCGCCAGTGATAAAGACATACCTATCCACGTATCTGAGAACGTGTCAGCAAAGGCAGGAGAAGTTTCAAAAGTGGCGGACTACACACCCCTACTAATGACCTTGCGATCAACATACCAATCCCCCAGCACCGTAAATAAGAACGCCAACGAGTTGGTGATTGGTACCGTCAAGCTCAGCTCTGCACGTCTCATCAGCCTCATTTTCCAGGAGGGAATGAGGAGAAGGGGACCCACCAGCTTTCCCAATCAACAGGAAGAACCACACGCTCCCGGTCAGGTTGATCACAAGGGGGATAGCGTATCGCGGGTTCCTGAGCAAGTCGATAACGCCGAAGAAGGCGCCGTAGACTTTGCTCTTGACCCAGCTGTCTCTCACGGCGGAAGAGTCGAGGATGGGATGGGGCGGTGGGGAGTGGGTACGCGCTGCCTTTCTGATGAATGGGGTTGTGAAGCTGGATGGGGGTTCGGAGGTGTTAGCGAGGTGATGCTTGACTGCGAAAGTGCATGCATGCAAACATCAACAAACAGTAAGGGGGAAGAAGCTGAGGGAGAGGTGTTACATACCCCCAAGCTATCCCAATCATCAGGAATCCCAGAATATAGCGCACGATGTGGGATGCATCCGTGGGTGGGGCTTCTGTAGGCGTGTCGGACATTGTAGGAAGACTGAGGAGAAAGCAATGCGTTGGTATGATGGGTGAGAAGGAATGAAGATATCAATCACGTTTTCAAGATCCGTTTTCGATGTTGTCGGCCCGCTTCTTACACGTGATTGTTTCGGGGGCTGAATTACGGAGGTGGGATCGAGGCTTTGCTTATAATAGTGGGCCTTAACGTCGCAACTTTTGGGGCCCTAGGCACTATTATCTCGTTCGAACCTCGGTAAAGGCGTTTATCACGATTTATCAATCTAGCGGTAGTTGTACTTCCTTGCCTTGCACATTTTGCATGTATCTGGGAATTCCGACCGCTTATTGGTAAGAAATGAGAAGGCATCGCAGGCTTTTGTTGGGAATCGGATTGGGTTATATCCTGTTCACTCTGGCAATAAAGTGGTCCATCTGAAGATTCGAGAAGGAAAGAATAACTTGGGTCATGTCATTCTCACCCAAGCTTTTCCTCAGCCGTACTTCCGTTCCGCGAAAGCCTGGGGGCCAGGGCGCAGCTTTCCCCCACAATCGAAATGGAAACACTGCTGCGGATTCATCCAAGTCATATGTTGAAGGCCACGTAATGCACGAACGAAAATGATCGAGGGCTGAAACAACAGCTGTCGACAGTGGAGAATCAAGTAAGTTGGTTGTTGGCTGTGGTCACTGTCCTTCATTCCGTAGGTACGGTAGTCAACGACTGAGGGCGTTGGCGGAGGTTGAAATTAGGAAAAACTTATCTCCATATCCGTTTGGGCTACCCCTGCATAGCTGATGCCAAGCAGCACCCCTGCTAGCTCGCGGCCAGGCACGGTTGCTACTTATCAAAAGCCGCGGTACTCTGTACTCTGTACGGAGTTGCTATCCTATATAGATATTGGACCAGGTAACTATTTGTTTGCAACTAAATCAATCATAAGACAGTCACAAAGTAATGAACTTCTGATGACGAAACATAGCAATAACAGCAAGAGTGTTCGTTTGCATCGAGTTGTATTGAGGAATGAGAAAAACCAGAGTAAGTACCTACCGGTAGAAGTACTACATGCGATAGTACGCGTTCGGAAAACTTTCTTTCGAACATGGGCGGCAACACCAGCCACCTCAAAGTACCGGATCCGTAGCACTGCACCGCTCTTACCTTCAACCCTCAATCCAGGAACAAGAAACATAACACCCACCCATCCGACCCATCCATCCAATCTTTTAATGTGCAGATATTTGAGAATCCCAAATCCCAATCCTGACACTAATTCCAACTCCGCCCCCGGATCCCAAACAATGCCTAGCTAGAGCTGGGAGCTCCCAGCCTCGTAAACAAAACAAGGCCATCCGCGCCCCAAATATCTCCCTATTAAATCACGTCAACACCACTCCCACCACCACCACCACCACCACCACAACAACATGGCGAGCAAAACGAAGGTCAATGGCCTTCGTGGCGTCCATACCGCTGGTATCTACTCCGATATGACGGTCGATGGCCCCGAAATTGGAACTCTGGTCCTCATTGTCGACCGGGCAAAGAACCTACCGAACAGGAAGACAATCGGTAAGCAGGATCCTTACTGCGCGGCAAGGCTGGGCAAGGAAGCAAAAAAGACAGAGACAGACAGACGAGGAGGGCAAACACCTAGGTGGTAAGTCAATTGGCGGTGGGGGTCTTGCAATCAATACTATACTAACTCTGCCCAAGGGACCAAGAGTTGCGATATACCGTTCACGACTCGCCTGATTACTACCAATTAAAAGTGTCGGTCTTCAACGACGACAAGAAGACTGACTTGATTGGAGAGACTTGGGTCGATTTGAAGGAAGTTGTTGTCCCTGGCGGTGGGCAGAATGATCTGTGGCACAATCTGAGTTGCAAGGGAAAATACGCAGGCGAGATCAGGATTGAGATCACATACTACGATACGCGGCCAAAACAAGAGAAGCCGGAAAGGGTCAGACCGGCTGCTCCTGTGACAAATAGCATGGACGAAGGAAGCAGAGATTCACTCAAGGGTCCTAGACAACCGAAGTCCCAGTCTCCGGTGAAGAGAAGGCCATTGCCATCGGATCCGGTGACAGGGGCACCAGCTTTGCCCGTTTCCATTCCTGATCAAGTTCAAACTCCCTCTCGAGGATATCCGCCATCACCGTCAGCGGCTCCTGATCAGGCCCCAACGCCTCCCCGAGCATACCAGAATGCACCAGAGCATAGCCAGACACCCCCGCGAGGGTACCAGAACCCCCCAACAGCGATTCCCGAACACGTTCAGACTCCCCAACGAGGATACCAATCGCCTAGCTATGTCTCAAGCCAGTCGCCCCTTCAGAACATGGAATATAGTGCGGCTCCGTCAAATTACTCCCCAGCCCAAAGATACGACATGAGTTCAGGCACGAACGGATACGGGCCAGCTACCCCTCCAACTCAGCCCGCGCAAAATGATCGGTACGATGCATACGACCGTGCGTCGAAAAGCGAATACTCGCATAGCAACTCAGCAGACCCTTATCGAGGCGATGAGGAAAGCATCGATCCCCTGGATAGGTACAACCATCATCAGCAAAGTCCATATGAGCTGCCCCAACCGGACTCCTTCAGCTCCCCTCCAAGCCCACGGGGTCCACCACCGCCTCCCCCAGCTCATCGAAGCAGGATTGGGACTGGGAGTAATCAAGCCAGTCCTCGTCCCGCGGAACTTCGAGGTGATTATGGACACTCGCCCGATCATCGGTCTCCGAACCCCTACGATGCCACAAGACATGAACCTCATCGTCACTCCGTACCCTCGCACTCGCACACCGGTTCGTACCATGCCTACAGCCCGGAAAAGAATCAGGACCAATTTCGGAGATCAGCCAACGGTGGCAACCAATATTCGCCTCCTCGTCATCATTCCTATGATTCAAGGTATGATGCTGACTACGGTTCGATGCAACCGACTGTCGAAGATGCTCCTCCATCCCCGGGTGCAAGCTACTCTAGACCGAGAGGTACTTCTCGCGTGTCGCAAAACAACGAGCGGAGATACGATCAGGTCCCTTCTCCCGCTCCCCTCAACGTCAGTGGTCGAGGAAGTTCTGCTTCCGGTCGTAATAGCATCTCCCACGCTCCAACCCCTACCCATCAGTACTCGAACAGCTCAGTCATGTATCAGAATTCTCCCAAGGACTCGGTCTCATCCCGTCCATCTTACAATTCTATGAACCAGCAAGAATCCAGGCGAAGCGAGGATCAGATGGGGAGCGCGGCATACCATCAAAGGCCAAGCGGGCAATCTCAAGATCAGCAAATGGTCCATTCATCAAGCTACAACCACTCGCGAGGCCATTCAAATAGCCAGGTTTATGCTCTGCCTTCTGTACCCGCAACTCTGGTTCCTGGCATGGATCCTATCATTGCCCAAGAAATCTCTGAGAGAATATTTGAGGAGAAGCGCGTGAATGCTGGGAATTCAAATCGAAGCAGTTATCAAAACCCACCTCAGTATCAACAGAATAAGCCGAAGCTTCTTTCCTACCCCAACAATGACGCTGCCATCGTGCCAGCGGCTTCTGCGTACGATGAACGCCAAAGTCGTTTTTCAGCTGCATCAACACCGGCCACGAATCCGAGAGGTGTCTCTCCTGATCCCCGGGTCCCTATGCGTAAGTCTGTCAGTCCTTCACCACAACCTTCACAGGAGCAGAAGAGACTGTCCGGCGTTCCTTTCGGGCCCGACTCTTACAATGCCCTAAACACAAATCTCGTCAGCTCGGTTTCTACGCCCTCTATCAGTGAGGCCTACGATACAAAGAGAGTAGATCCTGATGCAAAGATAATCACGTATGATGGTCGAGAGATTGATCCAAGTGATCACATTCCAGAGTCCAACTATGCACCTTTGCTTGAGTCAAAAGGTCCAAAATATGCATCTCAACTACCGGATCGAAACTACCGGCCACCACTGAGCGGTCCCCAGCCTATCTCTGCCAGTGGTCGCAGGCAATTGAAGGTAGCTGTACGACCCCAATCTATGGGACCCATGTCCAATTATACAAACAACACCAGTCCTGTCTACGATCCGGTAACCCCAACTGGGCGCACCCGGCTGCAAAAGAAATCTGCCCGGATGTCTGCACATTCTGCGCAAAATTCGAGTCCCTTAGCTCCCATCTCAAGCTACCAGGATAACAACTACTCACAAAGAAGCCACCCCGGAACTCACTCGATCGACTTCCAATCGAACGAGAACTACGCAGCCAGTTACGGGGGCAGCTCTGGTTATCGAGGTGCGGCTGGCCCTCCACCAATTCCGGAAAAATTGCCTGTCGACGGTTTTCATGGCTCACCTCAGCCAAGCGGAGGTGACGCTTGGGCTTTGCTGGAGGAGATGAAGAATATTGATCTTGGAAGCGGGAGAGCTAGACGTCGTGGCTATTGATTTTCCATCTCATGACTGATGATTATGTGTTACAATAATGTGTTTGTACTACCTGTACTACTTCTCTTTCGTCGTTCCACTTTAGACTGCATGATGGATGGAAATTTCTTTACGGTCTTGATATTGAGGGTGAGAAATGGACGATGGGGGTTTTCTCGCAAGTACCTAGCTAGGTAATGAATGGGCTGAGAATATGGCCATACGTTTTGCATCCATCTATGTTTGAGCCTTTTGAGATAGGGGAGGGAATGAGCAGGTGGGTCATCTGGATGTTAAAGGGGAAGATGCTGATGTACGTATGCTTCTGTGCATGCATTCTTCTGTGAAATGACTAGACAATGAACATGGAACAGCTTTCGCATCACCTTTAGCATTGTTGTTGTATTAAAATTCTCGTTCTCTCTCTCTCTCTCTCTCTCTCTCTCTCTCTCTTTCTCTGCTTGGGAGCATGACTGGTATTGGCAACGATGTATAACCAACCAGCTGAGGTGGGAACAATCCATTTTCCCACCTTGTTTCACTCCGGGCTCGCTAAGAAGAAGAAGAAGAAGAAGAAGAAGCCCACTTCGAGCCCAAAATAAGGTGAAAGGTGGAGTGGATTTGATAGCTTGGGCAGAGGCAGAAGGGCAGACGGGCAGATAGGTAGACAGACTACCGATACCGAGAGGCCGGTTTGTTGCAAACTTATTGTAGCATTCTGTGGGGCCGGGCTGGCTACTAGCAGCAAGTGCTTACTTAGTAGAGCTTGCATGATATACCTAGAACGATACTTCGTACGTAGATTCATTCGCCTGAGCCTGTGTTGCCAGAAATTCATTCTGCACAAGGTTCAAAACGGAGACTCGTAGCTTTTTTGTAACCCCCCCCCCCGACCCTTTCAAAATACCCGAATTCCCACCAACGCCTTGCTAATTACGAGATCCGACCCGGAGATGCTTCTAATCTACGCAAAATGGATGCCTTCGTCGTTGAAAGCAGACAAGAGACGTAGGAAGTCATTCTCGTCGCACTTCCCGGCTCGCTTATCCGCCAACTCCGTGACGTCCTCCAACACCTTGCGGATCTTCTCCTTGACCAACTCCGCAACCCTTGTCTTCTTCTTCTTGCTCTTCGTCTTCCCTCCACTCTCCTGCGTTGCCCTTTTGGCCTGCTCTTTGAAGAAGGAAGGGGTGTCGTCCTCCTCTTCGTCCACATCCATAATGCCGCCCCACTCGGCTTCCTCCCCTTCCCCGTCCATCTCCGTTTCCATCTCCTCATCCTCCCCAATCTCCGTATCGTCGACCGGGATCTGGTTTGCCGAGCACCAGACCTTGTAGTTCCTCTCCAGCATGGCCAGGACCTCCTTTGTGCCAAGCCAACTCGCTCGCATCGTACGATTCTTCCTTACGAAGCATATGCGCAGCATGCCGTCCCATTCGTCCCAGCTGACGCCTGGCCTCTCTGCGCCCATCTTCGGCTCGATCCGCACTACTGACGATTCGACTTGTGGCGGCGGTCTGAAGTTGTTTTTGCCTACTTTCATGATATGCGTGATTTTAGAAAAGAATTGCGCATTCACTGATAATCGACAATACAGCGGATCGCCAGGTCGCGCAGTAAGTCGCAACGCGAACTCGCGCTGAAACATGAGAATTGAGGTTCGCGGTGGATTCGGCAGGGCGAGAAGTTTAAAGACCAACGGACTCGAAATCTATCTATCATCAGCACCTCCTCTTCTCGTACACTGACCACAGAACATACCTGGTACGGGGTATTGCTAATACAAACGTCGAAATGCGGCAACTCGGTCTTGATCACATCCCCCAACAGGACCTCCAACCTTTTCTGCTCAGGCTTCCCTTGCACACGCTTCGTGACTTCTGCCGCCATACGAGGATCCAGTTCTACCGCTATCACTTTCTTCGCCTTCTCCAGTATGCGCACCGTCAAGTTCCCGGTTCCGGGACCGACCTCGAGAACGACGTCGGTGGGCTTGAGGTTCGCTTTAGCGACGATGGCTTCTGCGACTCCAGGGTTCTTGAGGATGTGCTGGCCCACATTTGTGTTCTGCAATAATAACTTCAAGTCAGTATTGTGCAATGTATGGTGTGGAGTGGTGGGGGAAGGGGAGAAAAGAACGGCAACATACAAATTTGAAGACATTGTTGGTGGTGGCTTGCGCTTTCGAATATGGGCTCGAGCTGGCAGCGGAGCTGTTCTTTTTGCCTGTCTTGAGTTTCCCCATTTTAGGGGGCGACAGAGGGGGAAATGGTATGATGGTGAGCTTCAGGATGTCGAACGGACTGATAGACTCCCGTCGGCGAACATTTTTTTGGGGGGCTTTTCGGATATGGTTTTAGCGGGGTCTTGATCATCCCCGGACCCAGAGCCGACAGTGCGGTCATCACGTGTCGATTCTTCGGCTCGGAAAAACAACCAGGCTCGATTCCCGAAGCCGACCCCACACGCCGGGCTGTTTCAGCTCCGTACTGTACTCCATACGTCGAGAGACAAATATCTTCATCACTTAGATGAAAAATTGAACAGATAATCGTCGGATGTAACGAGGCTTTTCAGAAAGCCAAGTTACCCCCGGCTGGCGTCGCCCCAAGAGATCCGCCAAGCAGTTCTCAACCATGGATTTCCCAGAAACCGCGCCCGCGGGTCTGGAAACTCAATGGACAGACCCTTTCCCTACTACAACTAGTTGTAGTAGTACTACAAATGTCTCTCCTTGAAATAAATGGGGAAGCGTAAAGTAATTACGGGGTACGAAAAGGAACTCAATTAACAAACTACAGAGATGTAGTTGTATAACTAGGTTTGAAATTCATTAAGTACTCCGTAAGCGATCGATTTGTCAAAATCTTCTAATCTACAGTAATGTTGAGCTAATGTGGATCCTGTAAACTGTTGAAAATACGGTCACCTGACCGACGGCCGCTACATTGATTGGGTGCTCCATTTGAGCTTGGGCCATCGAGGCTCACCAAAAACTTGGCTAAGCGCTTAGTAATCAGAAAAAGAAATAAGAAAAAGAAGAATCTTGCGGGTATGACAAGCCAGATTCGCGTAGGACTACCACCTTTTGTAGCCACCTTTTGCAATGAAAAACTACGATTATAGGTTCTTCTCTTTCCGAATTCTGTACCCTCACTTCTCGAACTCTTCAAAATTAGCTAATTAACTGTAAGGAAGGAAACGCTCGAGAAACAGCTGGTTGCATCGGGCTAGAAGGGCTTATTGCTATAGACTGGATGCTCGAGAGACAGTTTTGGCTGCATCGCGCTGAAAGGGGCTGGAAGAGGCTACTGCTACAGATTGGTTGCTCAAAGGACAGCTGGCTGCACCGGGCTAAAAGAGGCTGTAACTATCGATTGCTATTACTATCGATTGAATGCTCGAGGGACAGCTGACTGCATCGCGCTGAAAGAAGCTATTAAGTCCGGAAAACTTACCACGGAAACTGCAAAGGGCCTTAATTTTAGCTTGCGGCCGAGCTGAAGCGTTACATTTTCTTTTTATTCTTTTAAATCGTATTTCTTATGGAAAATTGACGTAGCGTTAGTGTAAAAGGCCTCGGAAGGCAGCCTTATATTACGACCGTTGCGAAGCGAGGTCCCCTGGCCCCGGAATAGAGTTGATAAGAAGAGTTGACAAGACTTTTTTTGGACGTCTGTAAGCTGCCTACTTTAAGGGTAATCGAACTAAACCGGGTCTGCTTCTACCGGTATCTCGGGGAGGTTAATGTAGAGAAGTCGACGGATATCTAATATTAGAGGTAGTGCCAAGCCAAGGAAAGTCTAGTAAGGTGGTAGAAGGTTTCAAGAGTGACGGACTACCTACTCAGATAGAGAACTATACTGGCTGCCGATCTGCCTATTGATAGCATTGCAGATCTGTAATTCCAGTACGGTAATACAGAGTGTGTTGTCACGTCCTGCGAATATCGTATTTGGCTTATTGAGGCTGTGGTTTACAGCTACCTACTCCCCTCCGCAATCCCCTGCCCTGAGTTGATAGACATTATAGAGTTGTGTATTCTGTCTAACTCTCTGTAATCGTGTGCCCGAAAGGCTCAAAGATTCTTGATTATACATAGGTATAGACCGCCTTCGGTTCGGTGGTGCTATAGTACTCTTGCTCTTGTTATACTGCGACGGTCCTCGTCGGCGCCGTACTTGATGCTCACAAGATGCTTTACCTTGCTTTCCCCCTACTCCGTACTCTGCAGACACAGGTCAAGGCGTTCCAGACCGGGTTTGGCTTGTTCAAGACAACTGAATGAGTGGATTTAGCTCAGTTAACGTTTAACTTGCTCTTACTATACTTAGTTTGAGTTCGTTCACTCGGCTCCAATATCCTTCTTCTACTTCTAGAACCAGTAATTGCTCGCTCAAATCCGCCAGAACTGCGTCTAATCAGTCGGGCCGCCGGAAGTCGTAGACAGGGCGATCCCTGAGGCGAATATTTCTTGATTTAGCGTTTCATGCAAACGGAATAAAGAAAACTCGACTGCAATACAAATAATCTGGCTCAGGCACTTTAAATCGCTTCACCGACAGCAGTTTCTTCCATTCGTTTGGGTCAATTTCATTCTTTACACGATGTCGAAATCTCTAACACTGCTTTTCTCCTTGTTGTCTCTCGCTTCTGCAGCCGAGCTGACTTGGACCTCATGCGGCACTGGACTGGAATGCAGCTCTCTCACAGTTCCCCTCGAATATGATAGGAGCACCACCTCAACAGCGACTGCCAGCATCGCCTTGATCCGTTATCTCTCCACAGTCGCTAAAGACCAGCGATTGGGCTCCCTTCTCGTCAATCCCGGCGGGCCAGGCGCATCTGGATATTCTTTCGTCCAATCTGGAGCTGGAGAAGCCATCTCGAAAATCACCGGAGGTTTGTACGATGTCGTCGGGTGGGATCCTCGCGGTGTAGGGAAATCTACCCCCTTGATGCAATGCTTCCCCAATGCCGGAGAAGAATTCACCTTTTCAGAGGCTCTTCCCGGAGGTCCGAACCTCTGGCTCGGAATGTACTCCAACTCTAGCTACGATGCTGAGGTTGAAACTAAGATCACTGATTTCGATGCATCAGTCAAAGAACTGGCTGATGCATGTGTCGCCGAAAATTCCGATGCCCTCTACACGTCTTCTGCAGCATACGTAGCGAGGGACATGGCTGCCATCGTCGATGCCGTGGACGGGACAACCGCGAAGTTGAACTACTGGGGCTTCTCATACGGCACGATCTTTCTCGCGGAGTTCATCCAGGCCTTCCCAGAGAGAGTTGGAAGAGTAGTAGCAGATGGAGCTGTCAACCCAGAAGCCAATGCCATGACTTACGACAACCAGCTCCCCAACGACCAGATCTCGATGAGGGACGCTCTCAACGACTTGATTTCGTTTTGTGAAGATGCTGGCACAAACTGCCCCCTCGCGACTCCACCAGACGGTGTGACCGGCACCCTCACCGAGCGAATCGACAATCTCTTTGAGACCCTCTTCAAGGACCCGGTCGTATACAACGGATTTGCTATTAGCCTTGACTCATTCAATGTCCTCCTCTGGTCCTTGATGCGAGTTCCTGTCACCTGGTCCATGGTTGCGAATATCATCGCCGGACTCGAGATCCGTGACCCAACTGCCTTCTTGACCACTGTCTCTGGTACAGCCGCCACCGCACCTACCGACGCGAAAGCTCCGGGTGTTGCTACTCTGCGCGAATTCCCGCTGACATGCATTGACAACGCCGCCTCGAGTAGCGTAACTCTGAAAACTGTGATTGACCTCACCAAGTCTCTTTCCATCGACCAGGACACCCCACTCCTCAACGCCGGCCTGAAACCCATCACTTTTTGCCGCCACTTTCCTGATACCCGCCCGCTCGTGCCACCAGCGGGTATCTCATCCATGGCTAAAACCGATATTATGCTCTCGGAAGCAAAAATCACGATCTTGATCGTCAACCCAGAGCACGATACTGCCACACCCCTCGTCTCGGCCGAGAAGCTCCGTTCTCTCCTGCCAAAGTCCTCCAGGCTCGCTATCCGTCGTGGACCAGGCCACACTTCCGTCTCTCTCGCCTCTCTCTCCCTGACGCAGACTATCCGCGATTTTTTCGTCGATGGAACAGTGCCGGATGATCTTGTTTCCCACAGCACCGACCAGGACCTGTTTCCAGCCGGGTCCGGGAAGAGCCTGGTGACAGCGGCGGCGTTCAACGGAACATCGTACACCCCGGAGGACATGGCATTGTTGGAGGCAGATTATGCTATTTTGTTGGCGTTCTTGGCCATTGCATAGAGTGCAGTGTTGTTATAATATGCTTCTTGGTAAGCATATTTGATACCCGCTCGAGTGCTGCTCGGTACCCTATCCCCTCATGGGAATAAAAGCGAAAGCATCATTTTACAAGGGCTTTGACAAGGGATTTGGCCGATTCAATCTTGAAAGATCTCTTGGAAGTCGGAGCAAGCGATCGGTCTGTGCAATGGAGTCAAGGCGTTTCGCAAATTACCTTAGTACAGGCCTGGAAAAGTACACCCCTCACATTACTCCATAAAAGAGACGGAAAGAATAATTCAATAGAGAGCTCTGCTTCCCTGATTAGGCAACTCAGGCTTGGAAACCTGCGAATTTGAGTGTACCTCCGCAATCAATCCACCATCCCAAGAGTGGAACTGCAATAAGCAATGTATTTTATTCTTTCTATGAGAGACGTCGAAATGTGACGCGCATCTTAATATGTTTTCCTTTGAACGAGTATCGGAATGCTCTCCTCTCGCCCCCGAGCAACACTTACAGTTGTTGACTTGCGTTTCCGTCGATTGACTAAGTAACCTGCTGCAGCAGAAACTACTCTTCTTATTCTCTGCTAGCCTTTTCGTCGACTCCTGCTCATTACTAGCGCTCACCTGCATCGCTATGGTGATACACACATTTCAGTAGCCCGCCTTCCATGCCCTTGGACCAGCGATTCTGTCATCACAATTCAGCCAACAAAAAATCGTGAGTACAGAAAGGAGGAAAGGGAAATCGGCACACTGATCGTTATACGCCGGTGGAAATAGTTATGGCGAGGAGATCAAAACGTTAAAATGCCCATCGTGCCAAAACTTATATACCAAAGGAAAGGGGGAAAAAAAAAGCAAAGCCCAACTAAAAGTCCCCAAAATCCAATGATACTGAGAAGGACTAGTCTACAACCCAATTGGATTGAATGGTTTTTTCGTTCTCGCATTCCGAGGGCCCAATCGATCCCGTCCAGTTTGATCTAAAGACGAAATGCCTTCCAAACCATCCCGCTTGCTGGATGTCCGGAATATGAGAACTTGAATATAAGTAGAGATTACGGAAATGCTTCGGCGGAGGGGAAGCTAGTGAGAAGTGCCATGATACCTGTACTACGCTTGCCATGTTCCCATATCGTTCAGGTATAAGGTTCTATTCTCTATCCTGTAGGAACCTGAAGGCAAGCTATACATAGCATGCTCTTCTGAAAAGTAGTTCTTGAACGATGGTCTAAAGGTACCGTTTAGTTGACGGACATGAGACTATTTCAAGCGGCAATGCGAGTGAATGGCATGAAGGACATCAACATCGAAATCACAGGATGGAACGCTCCACCGCCATTGACTGACTCAACTGAGTGAATTCGCAATCCTTTGCAGTAGGTGGTCGCCATGCTCCAGAGAGGCCGTGACCAAAAACCCCTGAGTATCTCGGACTTGTGCTCCTGAAATGCCACTTAAGTACAGTATCTGGCTGATACCGTCAAGAATCATAGAATTAAAGCGAACAGGTTTTTTTTGTCACCTCTCTGATCTTGGAGATCGAAAACAATTCGGGCAGCTCCGAGAATGCGTTGCCGCTTGCGGTTCTGTTGCCACAAGATAGCTGTTGGTAAGATGACAACATGGGAGAGAGAGTTGTTTATCACAGTAGATACTAGAATTTCGACGACTCGGTCGAAGAATTTTCAAGTATGCAGAGGGTCAAAACAAACAAATCGATGCAGCGCAAGAACAAGCACGCAACCGTCAAGTCCAATATCGGCTGGCGGGATGAAGTCAAGAGCCATCCATCACTTACCACGGAAAATGCAGATGATCTATGATAGCGAAGCTTGAAGAACATTCAAGCCAGGCGCCTGATTGGAAACTTGTCTATCTTTACATGTTTCTATACCACCTTCAAACGCCTCGCCCGCACTGCACCTCCCATACACTATGAAATGCCCCGTGGATCGAAAACATTTGCAAACCCACGCCAGGTTCACGTCTGCTGGCCTTCATCTGCCTGTTCAATCGTTCCCATTTACCAGCAATCCATACTAACAGCCATCGCCCCGAGAGTCCGGATTTTATGCTCACAATCATCCATTCTCAAGCATTACTGGCCCATAAGAGCGAGATCAAACCGTTTGTCCCGATCCTCCATTGCCTTCCTCCTCCGTGGTCCCCATGCATCCATAACCGCCTGTCTCTTTGCAGCCCTCTCTTCCTTCCGCTTTGTATCATCCACACCCGACTCTTTCAGGAGAATACTGATGAAGAACGGCGAGCAATTGAACTTCCGCGCCAGCTTGTTGCATCCCCACGCTTCCGGGTCTTTCCTATGTAACTTATAGATTTCCTCAATGTCCGCTTCCTTCAAGTGGTGATGCGGTAAATGGTTTCCGTTGGGTCTGACCTTCGGTGGAAGCTCTGTTTTCGCGGGTTGAAGTCTCGAGGCGGTAGTAGCGAGAAGCTGTCTCCTCTTGTCATCTTTTGGCAGGAATTTAAGAGGCGTGTGGTAGACGGAGGGAGCAGAAGACGGAGGATTGAAGATTATGTGGTCTTGTCGGGGCGATTCGTTGGAGAGGACGAAGGACTGATCTGGTTTGATGTTCATCCGTTGCTTCGAGCGTCTATATGAAGATTGCTGTCGCCGGGAGCTGGCATTGAGTGAGAGCAGACATTGGCCTCTACCCGCTAGCAGATCGAGGGCAGGCCTCCTGAAAAGCCGTGTGTCCATTGTTGTTGTTGGGCTTGCTTGGAGGTTGAGGTCTAAGATGGAATCGCCGTTGAGCTTCCCTCTTTTTTTTGGGTGTTGTGATGACTAAGTAATGCATTCAGGGCTCGGTGGTCGGAGGTCGGAGTCGGAGATCGATGCTTCCGGGCCGTCAAGCAAGTTATGAGGGTCATGAGGTCTAAAGATCCGAACAAACACACGCAATTCAGCCAGAACCTCGACAATGTCCTGGGGATCCTGATTCCGATCCAGCCCGGCGACTGTTGCATTGCATTGCATTGCATTGACAGAATAGCTCACTGGTAATCCGCGCCAGCCCTCCAACCTGCTACACATCACACCATGTGTCCAAGTTTTCAAGCTCTTTGAGCATTTCTCTCCCATATCAAACGTCGGACATTACGCGAAACATCGATTCCTCACGCTGCGCAAGTGTGTATGCAGTTTCCGCATATTACATACTCATGACCAAGAGTTTTCAGAATATCCGGAACGGCGAACTCCTAGCGAAGACTGCAGACTACCACGAACAACTTGAAAATGAGCGCACCCGAATCCAGCACAGTACAGCCTAATACGCCTGTCCCTGGGGCCCGTACTCCCACAAACGTACCAAATGTACCTCTTCTCGGTGAGGGCTTCCCGGAAAGACCCCAACCTGTTTTATGCGAGGCCAACGGCAGTGATGTTGAGGAGGCGGCAGGCATGAAGAATGGAAAGCGAAGATTGTTTGGCTTTGGCAAGAAGAAGGAAGAAAGCAAGGCGAAGGGGAAGAAGAAAGGGGATGCTGCTATAGTTGCCAGCAGTGCTTCAACGATCACTTTCCAACCTGTTCCCCGGAAAGTTCCACTTGGGTCTTCCCCGAGATCCCACCCAAACCATCCTTACCTTGTCTCGCCCGCTGGATCTCAAATCTTCGAGCGCGATGTGCAGGAAAGCTCTCTCCCCATCACGAATTCTCCCGCGATTCCCTCCCATATTCAGACAGAGAATCACATACCACCTGTCCTTGATGCATCGTCAGAAGCCATCACAAACCGTTTCATTGATCCAGACACGGTCGAGATTGTGATGCATTCATACCATCAACCAGCGGCTATACCAGCCTCTATGAGCTTTCCAGGCTTAGGAGGCCTTGAACCGAGTGGTGGAACTGGTCTCTACGCAGATGATGCAGGTACCCATCCAGAAAAGGATGATGCAGCTTCAAATCATGGCGCTCTCGAAAGCACAGATGCTCCGCGGCTGAGTTTTATATCCTTCTCAGATATCTTACAGTCAGAGCATGCAGAGCACGCGGGGTTCAGAGACTCTTTCTACGTAGCGGGCTTGAGCTCGCTGTCCTCGGGTCACAATGAATCTCCATCGCCAATTCGTTCTCCTGTGTCGTCTCAAGGTTTCAGCTCTTCTCCACCAACAAGTCAGTCAGCATCGTTGAAAGGCATTGAAATGTCTCCCAAAGGAAGGCCGCTTGGAAGCCCAACCTCAACTCACGCCTCTCTTGGCGAGTTGACGATAGAAACAATGACTCAAGCATTGAGAAGAACCGGAAGTAGAGATCTTAGTGGCATGCGGAGCCGACCTCTGAGCCCATCGAGTCCCGATGGACTGTCTGAGCAGTCTTTCAGATGAATGAGTAGAGACAGGCTATCGGATCTATAGATGTCTTTACTTCTTGGGATGCAGTATATCTGGGGTGCCTTGGTATCGGCTTTAATTTGCTTTTTGGGCTAGGAAATGAGTGAGTTGTTTTGAGTCGAAATGACTTGTCTCTTAGCGGCCACAGACTGTGCGTTATTTAATATAATTCTACTGTTCAATGTCAACATATCAAGGATTCACGAACCACGGAACTCACGGTCATTGAGATCAAAATTGATGAGAGCTGACTAGATAGATTTCCAACTGTCTTACCGTTGGTACAATGGCACGAGGACATAGGGTTGCATTCTCTTCGATATCTTAACAGTCAATCAATCACCTTGATAGCGGGGATCTACTTGCGGCACATGCTCCCATGCAGACTGATAACCACTTCCCGATAGTTGACGATAAAGGCTGCGAATCTTATTTATATTCTCTACTCGTGTGGAGATGGACGGAAATGCCACCGGTAGAATATCCTTCATGCTCAGCAAAGCAAGAGTATAGTTTGGAAGCGGCTTGACGTGTTGAGGTTAAAGATAGATAGATAGTAGTGGTCGTATTTGGTTATCTTTCTACGTTGTTTCGGCTTTTTCCAATGGAGGACGGATTGAGGCTCCAGTACAAAAGGTAATGCCTATCACTTCCCACTCTCTTCTCGAATTATTATTGCCAAACATTGATCGTGACGAAAAAATAATTGGCATTTGAAAGTGCATCCAGGACCGAGTTGCCTGGACTAGAAATTCGGATATTCTTCGTGACATTACAAATGACTGAGCGCAAGTCGAATGATAATACCTACGTACTTACCCGCCCGCTACAGCCCCCGCGCCATTTGGTGATCTGCGCTTGGGACAGTTATACAAGCTTCCAAGAGCATCATCGAATCTGAACCAAACCCACAACACCGTTGTTCTGATCTTGAATGGCCCGTCAACCTGACGTTCGCTCCCTCTGATCTTAACCCGACAGCTATCACAGGAGGATAGGAGATTGGACCTTTTGCCACTTCACTCGACGGGCACTTTGGGCAATAGGCAGGCGAGGATGAAGGAGGGAAGAGACAGAGGAATGATACTGGGAAGACTTGTGGCCAACAAACCTCAGGACTGTCGATAAAAAGGCCTGCGAATTTGCCCTCGACTCGGTATAGATCTCCAGCTTGCGCCGACTGCATTCAAATTGCTGAAAGACAAGGTGGATCCGATCAGGTTGACCCGCCATACATCTATTCGCCCACGTCAGATGTCGCCGCCACCGTAAGAATCATAACCAAACCCCTCTATATATTGCGATAAATTCTCGCGATCGGGCTGCCCCGGCTCTTTCCTGGAAGTTCGGGTGGAAGGGCATGATACGAGCAGATATAGATGAGCCAGCATCCTCAAATGAACGAAATCCTGCCTCCAGGAATGGACGGTAGAAACTACAATGGACGGCAAGCAAGTGACGGCTCTCTGCAGAACTGGCAACGAAATGCCTCCGAAACCCTGGCAAGGAGCACGGAAAGAACAAAGAGCGATTCCTACACAGCGCAGAGAGTGCAGTCTACAATGTATACCCTGCGTCCAGTAACACCAGAAAGCCGGGGGGGAGGGAGAGACGGATTGTTCGGTGTCGGACCAGTGCACACATCACCGCGGTCTGTATATGGAGGAGGAGAAACCCAAGACCACCGGCAAAGGCTTGTCCATCAAGACTCACAGATCACCGATTCGCTTGAAGAAAGAGGAGGTGGAGGCCGTTCCGCTGGACTACCTATCAGTTTTCCGCCTATCAGTTTTCCCGGCCGGCCTCGGAATCGCACTATCAACGAGCCCTCCCACCAACGGAGACTTTCCAGCAGTGTATCTAAGAGCAGGCATCGTGTCGGCTCCGTGCATTCAGCAGTCTCTCCCTCGTCCCACGATGTATTACCTCAGACCGATCTTTCCGACTCGTCTGGGCTTCCTTCGGCTTCTACAAGACCTCCTCCACAGATACAGAGGTCCAACTCATTGAAAGGTGGGCGTCGTCTTTTGAAAAGACCGTCAAGGCCAACGTCACCTCAGCCTAATATAGGCGATGTTCCCTCAGTGGATTCGCTTCCTTTTCCCGTGGCCACAGCCGACGCCAACAAGATTCTAATGTTAATGAAAACTTTGTGTGGCCGTATGAGAGGGGAAGTAGAGTACCAGGTCGTCGAAAAAGGGCCACGATATGCGGGAATTTGTTATATCGACGATATCAAGGGATCTCTCATGTACGAAGGTGACGATAGAGGTCCCTTCCATCTTGTCGTAATATCTGATCTGCGAGGATGTCGAGTGAAGCCTTTCAACTCGCCAGAGAGACCGATCAAGTGCCTCGAGCTGTCGAATAGAGCATCAGCCATAGTAATACATCTTAAGCCGATGGTCAAAGCAGAGTATGATCTCTGGCTGGCAGCTTTGCTGTGCTGGCAACAGATCCGAACAACTTCTCTTTCGGCCAGCCCACCAAGATCTTCAGCACCGCCTTTGGTGGAGAAGAGACCGTCGAATCAGAGGCGTGATTCGGTACTCAGCACCAGGCAGAGAGGGGCAACCATCATCAAAGTTGCACAATTACTGCTTTGGGATAAAGGCGCCCCCTCTTCTCCGACTGCCATTGTACGTCGTGTCTCAACTCGTGACTTGCGTTCGTCAAAGCGGTCGGGTTGGCGGAAAGTATCATGCATCCTTCAGGATAATGGAGAGTTCAAGCTTCTGACGGAGAACGACATTACGCTACTATCAGTCATACAACTATCTCAACTATCGCGATGCGCTATACAAAGACTGGATAGGTCCGTTCTTGATGAAGAGTTCTGTATCGCCATATTTCCACAATACACGCCCACTTCCACCCAACTATCTATATTCCGACCAGTCTACATCGCGCTAGAGTCACGCCTGACACACGAGGTGTGGTTTTGCCTGTTGCGAGCTTTCACTGTTCCCGAGATCTACGGCCCACGAAGCTCGGTCTTGGAGAACAGTGACGGTCTGGGGGTCAACCAGCCTTTGCCTTCTACCAATGATATGTTTCGGCTGGAGAAGTCAATATCCCTCCGCATTGTTGAAGCCAGAATCAGAACTGTTTCTAAAACCAATACTTCTCACCATGAGAAATCCGCGAAGGCTTCGGAGCATGACCCGTCTGTGGGAGACTACCTTGTTGAAGTCATACTGGGTGGCGAGGTTCGGGCCCGTACGAAAACCAGGACCAAGACAAGGAATCCATTTTGGAGAGAGGACTGTGAGTTCTTGGATCTACCAGCACACCTACCAAGTTTGTCTATTGCCTTGAAACAAGTGGTGCATCCGATGACCTCTGCACATGGTTTCCTCTCCTCATCTGTTGCTCAGACGCCGAATGCTTCCGTCGAGACGACATGTGGAATTACCGAAATACCCCTGGAAAAATTGGGCGAGGGAACTGACAATGAATCTTGGTGGCCAATCCTCGATGACCAACAACAGCAGATTGGAGAGTTGTTTCTCAGGGTGCGGCATGATGAGCTTATAGTTCTTCTCGCAAAAGACTATCAACCTATTTCCGAAATTTTGCACAACTTCAGTAGTGGATTGACTGTACAGATAGCCCAGGCTATACCCTCCAGATTAAAGACACTTGCCGAGATATTGATGAATATCTTTCAAGTGTCTGGGCATGCTGGGGAATGGCTCACAGCACTTGTTGAAGACGAAGTCGACGGCCTTGGCAAGGAGGCACCTAGTTCTCGGCTAAGATGGAGCAGGAGACTCGGTTCCAACGAGTCTTATTCATCTATGATGGATCGTGAGCAGACGGTAAGAGATGTAGGAAAGTCTTTGCAAGGAGAGGCTAATCTCCTCTTTCGCGGCAACTCTCTCCTAACCCAGGCCCTTGACTTCTACATGAGGCGGGTCGGGAAGGAGTACTTGGAAGAGGTTTTATCAGAAAAAATCAATGGGATCAACACCATGAACCCTGAGTGCGAGGTAGACCCGTCCCGCATATCGCACGCTGACGACCTTGATAAGAATTGGACACTGTTGACGGCTTTGACGACGGATATCTGGGAAAGCATCGCTGGATCAGCCCAAAGATGCCCACCCGAGCTTCGACAAATTCTCAAGTACATCCGGGCTGTTACCGAGGACCGCTATGGCGACTTCCTGCGTACTACGGCATACACCAGCGTCTCTGGCTTTCTATTTCTACGATTCTTCTGCCCTGCTCTTCTCAATCCAAAATTGTTTGGTATACTTCCAGATCACCCACAACCAAAAGCTCAACGAAGTCTTACTTTAATCGCCAAGAGTTTGCAAGCACTAGCAAACCTCTCACACTTTGGCCAGAAGGAGATTTGGATGGAGCCCATGAATCGGTTTTTGACTGCCCACCGACAAGGGATCAAAGAATTCCTCGACTCCATCTGTGATATCCCCGCAGAGCGTGATGGCGGATACGCTCTTCCAGCATCTTACTCAACGCCCATAACTATCCTGGCACGACTTCCACCAACATCGCGAGAAGGGTTCCCTTCATTGCCATATCTCATAGACCACGCACGTAACTTTTCCTCCTTGGTCAAGCTCTGGCTGGACACAACGACACACTACATGGCACCTCTAGGTCTCGAAGGCGAGCTTCTTGATTTCCACAAGCTATGCCTCGGCCTCCAACGCCGCACGGATGACTGCCTCCTGAAAGCTGAAGGGGCAGACCGTGGCGCCGACAATTTATCACTGCAATGGGAAGACATCGTCGAGACGCTGAAAATTTCCACCGATGTCACGAGTCCTTCAACATACTCCAATCCAGATCGAGAGCCGTACTCGGAACCAGAATTGGAGAGTCCGCTTGGGACTTCATACACTGCAATGAACACTATAAATCCAGAACCGAACCAGCGCTTGCCATCTGGCTCGGCGTGCAGTGAAGCCGAAATTAGTGAGCAAAAAGAGAGACGAAGTTTATGGGACTACACGCTCGTCAAGGAGGTCGTCAAGGAGAGCAAACACCATAAACCCTACGATACAATGACAGACACCGGTCAAGCGAGTCCCCCCAGTAGAGGGCAGAGCCGGAACGGGAAGACTTCGGGATTTTTGAGCGGGTTCAGGAGGAAGGGGAAGGGCAGTGATGCGAATACGCATTACATTGAGAGTGCGGGTGCTGGGAGTTCATGGAATGGACCGGGAGGTATGTTTTGATCGCAACCTCTGATGTTCAGCGCTGTTGGTATGTTCTCGAGGACGAGAGTCTTGTCGCCTGTGGGGGTTGGTAACATACAGTGAGCGGCTTTATGATGAGCAATCATTTCTGTAGTTCAAATAGGCGTATCATAGTTGGGGAGGAAACGCGTCGTTGTCTATACCAATATATTCCTTTGTTGTTGCAAACTGGATATATGAGTAGGACTGTCAAGCAAGGAGAGCATAGGCTCAAGTAACATCTCAAATTTTGGCCCATGGGATTGTGGGTACGAAAAACGCCTCATTGCTCCGCTCCGTGAAGACCTGTCTTTTGAGCGCCTTCGTCAATGCAGCAATGCTCCAATGCTCCAAGTGCACAAATCCCGTCAAATCATCCAACCCCAGCCATCAAATTCGTAAGTCGTCCCTGGACATTGTACGTGCCATTCCGTCGCTCAATAGCGGCGACAAGTCTATGAGAAGAACTTGCTATACGCAGCTTTTTCCTTCTTGGCCCGCTCAGCAGCGCTCTTCTTCACAGCTGCCAGCTCTTTCGCGATCGCTGCATCCCCAGGAACGAGCTTGTTGGCCTCAGTCAAGTCCGTCAGCGCAGCCTCCTCATCCTTCAGCGCAATCTCAGCGATAGCACGACGGTACAGAGCCTTGGCTTTATCCGTGTCCGAGATGTCAGAGACGTCCAAAGCAGCAGAAGCGCATCTCAGTGCCTCCGCGAAGTCCTTCTGCTTATTGGCCAGGAGAGCTGAGTTGCAATTCAACGTAAAGCGCAGAGCGTTAAGAGCTGCCTTTGTCTCGGCAGGCTCTTTCTCCAGATCTGGATCTTCATTTAGATATCTGAGACCCTTCTGATACTTGTCCAAGCCAACACTCAAATTCCCGCTCTTGAAAGCTGTGTTACCAAAACCCTTCAAGGCTGTAGCCACCTCGAGGATGTATGCAGCGGATTTCTCGCCAGCTTGATCCTCTGGGAAGTCTTCGTATGTGTCGCCGGTGGAATCTGGAGCCTTGGTCTCGGCCGCGTCAGCTTCTTCGCCGGTCAACTCGCCGCAGTTTGTGATGGTGACTTCTTTGCTGGGCTTGTCACCGGGCTGGGTAGGCAAGTTCTCGATCTTGCGGATGATAGATTTGCCGTTGAGGACTTCGCCGAAGACTACGTGCTTTCCGTCGAGATGGGGGGTTGGGACTGTGGTGACGAAGAATTGAGAGCCATTGGTACCTGGGACAATGTTAGCATTCATCTCATGAAATATTAATCGCACCCAGGGAGGGCAATTGTTGCTAATTGAAGCTTACCTGGGCCAGCATTGGCCATGGAGAGTAAGAATGGCTTCTCGTGCTTAAGGTCGAAGTTCTCATCCTCGAATTTGCTGCCGTAAATCGACTCCCCACCAGTTCCATTACCAGCTGTGAAGTCACCTCCCTGGATCATAAATTGTTTGATGACCCGGTGGAAAGTAGAGCCCTTGTACGAGAGCAGCTTGCCAGCCTTGCCCTCACCTTTCTCCCCGGTGCAGAGAGCGCGGAAGTTTTCAGCGGTCTTGGGGACGACATCGTTGTAGAGCTCGAAAGTGACTCGGCCTTCTGAGTTCTTGCCAATTGAGATGTCAAAGAAGACGCGGCTACGCTTTGCCGGTGTGGATGTTGCGTCTGCCATATTGGAGGATGTTTTGAGTGTAGGAGTCTTTGAAACGAGTTTGTTTGGTTTCTTCCTGCAGTGAGGAGCGGGATTCTTTATATGTACCTACTTTGTAGCTATCGAAGTTACTAGAACGACGAGGCTGATGGCGGGAGGATTTTCTTTTAACCGGCAGGCTGGGTCACGTCATGTGATTACAAGGATGTAAGAGGGTGTGTAAATCCAGGCCTTGAGTGAGTGTTGCTACTGTACTTCAACAAACTTTAGTTTCTAGCTTGCTTGCTTGATTCCACATGGAATCAGGCGTCCTATTAAGCCTTCAACCTATTGAAGTGAAGTCATTGGCGGATATGATAAGAGCTCAGCAAAGTAGTTTATGTTGTGATTGATTCAGAGAGAGAGTAATCAGGTGACCGTTTTCCAAAGTACGCCACTAGGGAAGATCGTGTTGTCGTGTCCCGATTCAGCGGATGTATAGTAGTGTGTGTACAAAGAAATCCATCGCTGGCCTGTACGAGAATCTCCAGCTAATTTCGAGAATGATGTCCTTGAAGACCGGTGGCTGGCTTCAGGAGTGAGAAATAATGACGAAGAGGCAATGAAGTGAAGCTGCTTGACCTTGAATTTACATCCGTAGCTCCCCGTTCACTTGGTTCCGCTTGGGCCCACTGACATTTCTAGAGTAACCTAGATCGAGTCAAGGTCTGTTGACTGGAAGTTGGAAGTTCACTTACCGGGCCATCGTTTACCAAGGTAACCTCCTTTGATGTTGGTCAGCAAGCAGAACGGCACATGTAGATTATAGGTAACTTTCAACTGCTTACCATCATAGCCTGAAATACCCCATTCTTGACCCTCTCCGGGCTATAACCCTGTTGTACCTTCGAGAAGAAGAGCTGATACAACTCCTTTGCCTGGTCTCCTCCAAGAGCCCCATGGAAGTCCGGTTTTGACCCTTTCTTCGTAGAAGCCAGTAACGTGAACTGTGATACTACACCTTCGTGAGCACGAATACTCTCAAGATCCCAAGTATACACTTACCGCATAGCACTTCCCCTTTGATATCCTGTACACTTTGCTTCCACTACAACATGATCAGATACATTGATTCGAGAACATGGCTGGGATTTCCAACTCTGCCGCCAGTGTCATCGTCCCATAGCCGCATCTTCAGAACTTTTGCTGCGAGAGCGTCGGCATCCTGCTCCGTGTCACCTGGAGCTACAGCGGCGAAGACCAAGATCCCCTTTCCTATGGAAGAAACGAGCTGTTTATCAACGGACACTGATGCTGATAGCACTCGTTGAAGGATGGCTTTTGTAATTAGTCAGTTATAAGAACGCGATAGGGAAAGGGATGGGGGTTTGCCTTTCATTGTGACGCTCGATGCCTGAGAAAATTGGGAGGCGCTAAAAAGAATGGTCTGTTGAGAATGCCGTTGCTAATTACTTTGTTTAAATACAAAAATGGGTTTTATAGTCGTAAAGGTGTAGAATTTGATACTATATGATATCACAAATTCTACGTACATAGACATTCATGCTTCGATAAAATTCAAAACGCTTGAAACCTGCTGTAAGATGGCACAATCTACGGTACAGCAGCATGGGAATATTGATTGTTATATACACTCGCCTTCGAGCAGAGTTTACCGATATATTAGGCACCTAAAAAGCTAAACGCGCTTTCCCGGATTACCTAATCTTAAACCGGAAGTCAACGCTCAAACCGACTTAATTACCAAACGACAAGGCTTCTTCTCAACTACAGCCGCGCCCGCTACTACCATCTTGAACAGCGCATAGAGTTAGATCCTCTACCATCAAAACTAAGCCTTGGACATTACTGCACCTACACAATCATACTACACCAGTATCGCGTTTTCAAGCGCGCTTCTTTGATACAAGATGGCCGCCCGAAAGCTTCAGCAGGAGATCGATAAGTGCTTCAAGAAGGTCGACGAGGGGGTAGTGGAGTTTGACTCGATCTACGAGAAGATTGAACAATCGTCGAATGCCGCCCAGAAAGACAAGCTGGAAGATAACCTCAAGCGCGAGATTAAGAAGCTGCAGAGGCTTCGGGATCAGATCAAGACATGGGCCCAGTCAAACGACATCAAGGACAAAGGTCCTCTGCTGGACAAGCGCAAACTGATCGAAACTGTATGTTATGGATTAAAAACGCTATAGAGCGTGCTAATATCATTACAGAAGATGGAGAACTTCAAGGCGGTCGAGAAGGCTATGAAAACAAAAGCGTTTTCGAAAGAGGGCTTATCCGCTGCAGCCAAGCTGGATCCAAAAGAGCGAGCAAAGTCGGATGCTTGTGATTTCTTGAGCACATCGGTGGACGACCTAGAGCGCCAAATAGAAACATTGGAAGCCGAGGCGGAATCGCTACAGGCCACTATGAAGAAGGGGAAAAATCAATCATCCAAGGCCGATAGGATCGACGAGATACAGAGGATAACAGAACGGCATAAATGGCATCAGGGCAAGCTGGAGCTTATAAAACGATCTTTGGAGAATGGCGGAGTGGAGACCGAGCAAGTCAATGATCTGGAGGAAAGCATAAAGTACTACATCACGGATGGTATGAGTGAGGACTATATGGAAGACGAAACGATGTACGATGATCTCGACCTGAAGGAAGACGAAGACAACTACGGCATGAATAATGACAATGACCGTGTGTCATCGCAAGACACACAGTCAATACAGGATGACACACCAGAAGTAGACGTCCGGTCGAGCAGTATCCTAAAACCAAAGGCTGCACCAGAGCCTCCTGTTGCTGCAGCTCGGAGACCATCAACACAGATGAAGAGTCCTTTACCGACGGTAGCTACTCTACATACGCCGTTAACGACCATCTCCAATAGTACGACAAGCCTGATGAAGCCTGCCGCTGTGCCGACGAGAGCGCCTGGAGAGACATTGAAGTATGCTTCAGCGGCAGCGGCAGCAGCAGCAAGTGACAAGATGGGGATTGCTCCGTTACCTCCGCCTCCTGAAGCTCTCCCACCGCCGAATACCTTAACTGGACATCCGCCGCTACCCTCGCATCGAACCCCAAGTGTGATGGCATCTCCAACCCCATTGTTTTCTCAGCCAGCAAGCGTGCATCAGACACCCGTTACGCGGTCCAGTGTTCTGGTCGGCACTCAAGTACCTGATACGCCTGGGAGTTCGCAAACGAAATCACCAGCATTGAGTGCATCGAGTGTAGCCCCTAGTACATCACGGCAAACCTTGGAGCAACCCGATAGTTCTAGACCCTGGGCTTCGAGAGTCACTTCCGGCAAAGCTGCAGCAATGCAGGCGACGCATGAGAAAGCCAAAGGTACGTGTCCGCACGCTCTCACATTGTTCGAATTGCTGACTTTCTCCAAGCCGAAGCAGAAACCACTCCTCTCAAGAGCAATGGGGTCGCAAACGGTACTAAGAGCAACGTTCTAGATGACCAGGATGAATCCATCTTCCACTTGCCATCAGGCCTGGACGACTTGCTACAGTCATACGAGAGCAGTTCACGACGGGTTACTGTTCCACAGTCACAGTCATCCCAAAGGATGCTCTCAGCGTCACTGAGCAGCTATCCGGACCTCTCTGATGCATTGGCACCGATAGCTTACAGGCCAAAAAACCCCGTCAAAACGCCTGCCTACTATCCTCAAGAGGTCAATCCCTGCTTAGATGATGCCCGGTTATATTCTAGGATCGACCCAGATACGCTGTTCTATGTCTTCTACTACAAGCAAGAGACGTATCATCAGTACCTTGCAGCTAAGGCTCTCAAGGACCAGAGCTGGCGATTCCACAAGCAGTATCAAACTTGGTTCCAGAGACACGAGGAACCAAAGACAATCACTGAGGAGTTCGAGCAAGGCACTTATCGATTTTTCGACTACGAGAGTACATGGTAGGTCTTATCTATCTCGATATACTGCCATTGTTTAGTTTCCAAGTTTGCCTTATGTAGAGAGTGTATCAGGTTGGCAGTGTGGATTTCCGTTTGCCCAGGTTTCGTCTTCTTGACGAACCTTTCGTTGGCCGAGCTTTTTGACGCTAAAAAGTTTCTCGCCTTAATACAAACTCAGTTGATGTCTCGATTTTATCGAGCTCTCTGCTAATTATCGTTTTGCAGGATGAACCGCAGAAAAGCAGACTTTAGATTTGCTTACAAGTTTCTTGAGGACGATGTATGAGTAACGGGTGCGGCGTCAATGGAAACTTTTGTGGAAAGCAAGGCGCATGATTATTTGCACTGGCCTCGTTCTGGCTAAGGTTCAAAGTTTGCATCCTTAGGTAGCAAACAGTCTGCTCACTTGACCAAGGATATCTTGGTGTTCTCACTCTATTGTTCATGGATTTGACTGGAGCTCAGTGGCGATACTTGTATGAATTTCTGATGAATAGAAATGGATCAACCATCATCGGATTGCTCCGCTCTTTGACAGATGCGACCGAGTAATATGTGCCGGTGCTCGGCTACAGGCTGTTTGTATTCGTTAACAGATCTGCAGTATCTTCTATCCCGATTCAAACTGCAGGCCCGGCTAATCCAGTCTGGAATTCGAAGGCGGCCGGGTGCAGCAAACCATTCGCATACAGATTAACTCAATTCAACTTCGAGGCTAATTCCACCAGCATCAACCATTAGCCAAAGAATTCGTCTGCATGGCTGCCCAACATGCCGCAGACTTGCATCTGGCGAGAAAGGTCGTATCTACAAGACGAGGAAAGCAGAATTTATAAAAAGAAATCATCATCTCAGCTCACTGGCGCTTTGGTGTTGCCTTGAACCATGACGTTTCCAGAGCCCTTTTTATTTTCCATTTCTCACACTTGGATACGAAACAATCAGTTTGGAGGCCGCTTTTCATTCGTCAATTTAAACAGACCTGAAGTGGATTTTGGTCCATAAATTATTATAATCGATCATCCTTGTTCCACCTCCCCGATTTGAAAGCAGAAGATGATAGTCTCTCAGGGCATGATCTATATGAGACGAGAATATACTGCGTGTGCGTTGTTCTCGTTTACACCCGGCTCCTCCTCGCGGCGACGAGGCAGAAGAAGGCGAACAATGCCATTTCCAGACCAGTTGCCTAACTCTCACACCTCTCGAAACATGGCGTGATCCAGACGGCCGTGGTATAATGCCCAGTTGAGCTGAGACAAACCATCTGGCATACTCGTGCTGCACGGCATCACTCTTCAATAAATAAGACCGATGGCCCGACTTCAAGAGTAGGAGGTTACTGGGCAATGTGAAGGCTTCAACCTCCTCGACTTGCTCATCCAGAATCTCTCATCTCCAGATCCCGTCTCTACGCAGCATCTCGTTGCCCGATGCCTCGGATGGCTAGCGAACGATGATAGCAGCAGCAGTGGCAATAGATCGCCCGGACGCTATCAGTATTGAGGCCTCCACCGAGTGCGTGCAGCAATGATGGGAAGACCGCCTTTTGTTCTACCTTATCGTGGTATGTTCAGACAGCATTTCCATTTCTCGGCACAGCCCCAGCAAGGCTTTTCCCTAGGCAGCCGTTGAATCAGTTGCTTGACGGTTATTTTCTCAGAACAGGGTTCTGCACGCAAGGCTATGAGATGCCGGCCACAGTTCCTGCGAGCCCTGGGTTTTGGATATGCCATTTGATGTGCTTACACACTCAAACTATCCCAATTAGTATCTCAGAAACTATGTGTCATTGGTATGGTTCGGTGAGTCGGATTGGCATAGCCTTCCAAATCATACCCGGAGCAGCTTCGACTCCTTTTCTTCGATACTGGACGAACCAGGCTGCAGTATGTATCTGGTTGATTTCGTCTACGTGGATGCTAGGATCAACTCCCCTATTCCAATCATCTTCTTCCGCCTCGTTGCCGAGTCCAACTAGTTCGTATTCAAGATTGCCTCTGTACTGTATCCTGAAGTTCCGATGGTGCGGTATATGCTTATTCCTGAGATTATCGTGTTTGATAACGCACGAAAGCCCTCTTCGAGAGCGAAGGCAAACCTCATCCAGAAGCGAGAACCAGTACCTTATTTTTCTTTCGTTGCTGCGTATCATTGGTCCTTTGTCTTCTCGACGCTCTCCCTTGATATACATAAATATACATATATATTATTCAGTTTCCCGCAATGAGCCCTGACCAGCTGTCCCCTCCCCAGAGCCTGACATTTTTGTTCGCAGTCTGTTCAGTGACCTAGTTTCTCTTGACTCACGAGCTGGATAACAGTACTGCTCGGCTCAAATGGCACCACAGTCCAGCTTTCCAATTTCCCAGTACGGGCAGCATGGCTCACCAGGATTCTTCCACCTACCAGTGTCAGATCCTTTTCAAGGTACCGTTGGCCAGCTTGAAAGTCAAGGCATTGGACGAAAGATTTCTCAATCCAGGACAGAATCCTGGCAGTCTTTGGGCTCTGATTTGACTTGCGGTTTCTCTGCTGACTATGGGTTCGACTGGGATCTCATTTTCAATATTTCGAACAACAAAGCTGAACAATTGGCCCACGAGAACAACTTCAGCTCCAGTTACCTAGTCCCTTTAGAAAATGGCCAGCCACCACCTCTTACACAATCAGCCGTTGCCCTAGACCAACTCACAATTTTCACTCGATCGTCTCTAGGAAGCATTTCTTTTGCGAACGAGCAGACTTATTTCTCCCAGATGGGCCAGCAGTTTAAGCAACAATTGCAACATTATACCACTACCGAGAGGGTCTATTCCCTTCAGACAGAATAATACTTGCAGTCACTCTCTCAAGTGAGTGAACGTGTCAGTCCTTTGGGCGTGTGCGCTCAAAACTTCTCTCGTTCGACCAACCAGTACGCCTTAATCAAAGAGCAACCTGAATTGAGACACGCCCCGACCAGTCTAGAATGGACCGATAACAGCCAGCTTCTACCAAAGTACAAGCTCAGCATTCAAAGGGAAAAGAGCCATACCTCCAGCTCCGATCTTCAGGTGACGTCACTGCAGACAAGCCGAACAAAGTGTACTTCGATTTGCTTTTGTCGATAAACGCAGCAGCGGCCGCCACTCGGAGCCGTTCAGGCGAAAGGACTACCGTGACCACCTCCGGGACTTCCACAAAGAGGACATCGGGGCCTGCAGGGGCGAGAATTCCGCCAAGACGGAGAAGGAGAGGTTGAAATGGTAAAAGGAACAGAAGCTTTGGCTGGCGGAGCGCAGGATATATGCTGATAGTTTGAGGTACGCGAAATGTTTGGTGAACAAGCTTTTTAAGTATGATGGGTGTGAGTGCCCCAATTGCAAGAAAACTTGCGAGCCGGAGAAGATTAAGACGATGATGGCACTTCGACTCGAAAAGAATCCGCAGAAGAAGGAATCGCAAATCTCCTCTCAGGCTTGTGGCCCTCACCATGGTATTGATGGGTGGCTTGATAATGGGTTCGGGGGATGGGATCCTTGCATCAGATGCGATGGAGAGCCTGCACACATGGAAGGCCAGACTTTGAGATAAGTGGTTGTTGCTGCTTCGATGTGAAGATGAAGGGGGATGCACCCGGGAGGCTGGATTGGGTAAACCGGGTCCGGAGTTGAGGTGGAGTAGGGAGGCGACTCGAAATGGGTAGCATTCCTAAGGCTCACAGGAGGTATCTGGTGTTGTCGGCTTGATTGAAATCCGTTATTCCAGGAGAGTTTGATGTTTGGAAATCCGATGTAATCGTCGGCTCGCTTAGGTGGGCCTCCTTACATCCTTTTAGTCTCGACGATTATTCTCTTTAGATCCTCGGCGAATGGCTTCTAGCCACGTGACTATGAGCGCCACTTACTGCATTGATCTTTGTGGCTGATATCCGATTCTCGGACTTGAGACCAGGGCGACTAAAGATTCAAACTTTGCTGATTCGAAAAAGTCTGTACCGCACACAACTTGAAAACAAACAAATAAACAATCGTTTGTCTGCTATGCCCTGTCGCGATTGCCGGCTAAAATAATTGACGTTCAATACTTGTCCCGGGATATCCCCCACACTTCGGCCCCAGCACAGCCAGTATTGACGGCAAACGACTTCATACCCAAACCTACTTGCACAAGAGCGCTGGACGGTGGACCCCCGAGCCCGAAATTCCCCTTCTTTCCCTTCCCAACCCATTTCTGATTATTTAAAATGAGCGTCTCAAGAACCGTCCTCACACGCACTCTGTGTAACCTCACAAGACCACAACAGTCCTCACACACCTCAGCCTTCTTTACACCCGTAAGATTCGGCGGAGCCCTCATACAAGCGCGCAACATGGCCTCCTTCCCTAAGATCAAGGTCAAGAACCCGGTGGTGGAGCTGGACGGCGACGAAATGACCCGGATCATCTGGAAGGACATAAAGGACAAGTTCATCTACCCGTACCTGGACATCGACTTGAAGTACTACGACTTGGGACTGGAATACAGAGACGAGACGAACGACCAGGTCACCATTGATTCTGCGGAGGCAATTAAGAAGTACTCGGTCGGTGTCAAGTGCGCAACCATCACGCCAGACGAGGCCCGGGTCAAGGAATTTAACCTCAAGAAGAGTACGATTGCTTGCCTCTCCTATTGCAATAGCGCCAGGCTGACAAAGTAAACAGTGTGGCTTTCTCCCAACGGAACTATTCGAAATTCCCTCGGCGGCACAGTTTTCAGGGAACCGATCGTCATCCCCCGCATCCCCCGCCTCGTGCCCGGCTGGAAAAAACCTATTATCATCGGCCGCCACGCCTTCGGTGACCAATACCGCGCAAAAGACCGGGTCATCCCAGGAAATGGTACTCTCAAAATGGTCTTCACGCCCGAGGGTGGTAAGCCCGAGGAAATCGAGGTCTACCAGTTCAAGAATGGTGGCGGGGTAGCGCAAACACAATACAACACTGACGAGTCTATCGAGGGTTTCGCACACGCCAGTTTCAAGCTTGCGATCTCGAAGAGCTTGCCGCTGTATATGAGCACCAAGAACACGATCTTGAAGAAGTACGACGGACGCTTCAAGGACATCTTCGAGGAGATCTATCAGTCGACGTACAAGAAGGAATTCGAGGAGAAGAAGATCTGGTACGAGCATAGACTTATTGACGATATGGTTGCGCAGATGATGAAGAGTTCGGGGGGGTACATTATGGCTCTGAAGAGTATGTTTACTTTTTCCTCGCCTCGCTTCGCTTATCGCTTATCCTAGACCTACTTTGAATCAAAACAAACAAATAACATGGCTAATGCAAATGAATAGATTACGATGGAGACGTCCAATCCGACATTGTTGCTCAAGGCTTCGGCTCGCTTGGTCTCATGACCTCCGTCCTCATCACCCCAGACGGCAAAACCTTCGAGTCGGAAGCCGCCCATGGCACCGTCACTCGCCACTACCGCGAGCACCAAAAGGGCAAAGAGACATCCACCAACCCCATCGCCTCCATATTCGCTTGGACCCGTGGTCTCATTCAGCGCGGAAAGTTGGACGGCACACCCGATGTCGTGGCGTTCGCGGAGAGTCTAGAGCAGGCATGTATCGACACAGTCGATGTTGATGGTATCATGACGAAGGATTTGGCACTGGCGTGCGGCAAGACCAGTCGCGATGATTACGTGACGACGACAGAGTACATGAATGCAGTGGAAAGGAGGATGAAGAGCTTGCTGAAGCAGAAGCTGTAGATTCTTGTTTTTCCGCCCGAGTCGCCAGGGGTTCAGCGAGTGTGAATCAGGAGCGGTCTTGGGAAAGCCTGGACTTGACGGAGGGGGAGATGAGAACCAAGATAGACTTGTCGATCGCGCACACCGTATGCGCATAAGATGAGATCATGAACGTCAGCGCTGTACATAGACCGTTGCATCAAGACCTTGGATTTCTACCTTCCGCTATGTCACTCTCTCAATCCTGCTATTAGCTAGTGTCACAGTACCTCAGGACCGTTGGCCTTGGTCCCTCTGTTGGATTATTCCGAGGCCCGTAACCGGCCCCGGACAAGACGTGCCTTTCTCTCAGCTACAGTAGACGTGTAGACTTTGCGGGTTGTCATCACATTACACATCACTATAACATAAGAAACGTTTCCATCTTCATGAACTTGCATCTCCATATCCTTGGGATTTGCAAAAAGAATACTGTACATATCTCTAAAGCAATGCCCACCATACACCGGCAAGAATGCTTTCCAGAATCCCCCACCCCTAGTACTTTGTGACACAGCCTTTCCAGCTAGATCATCCCCAGCCCTCCTCCGTCTCCTAGAACGCCATGTAAAAATCCATTTCCTTTCCCAGCGCCAATTGCCACTTCTTCTGCACGGTCCCTTCTAATGCTTTCAGTCCCTCGGCGGCCCGAACGGATGAGCTGTCGGATCAGGACTCGGCACCTTCGCCTTCTTCGCTCTACTCTTCTTCGCACTCGTCGTCGGCGTCTCCCCATCCGCATTCTTCGGCTTCCTGTTATATGCCCTCTTCTTCTTCGCCACTTCCTCGCCCCCTCCCTTCGTTGCTTTACTCGTGTTATTGCCGCCTGGTGTATCGTCATCGTCTCTCTTCCGCTTGCCCTTCGACGTTGTACTTCCACTGAGCGCAAACTCATACCCTTGTCCATTCTCCTCTACGATCTCCAAGGCGTCGGGTTTGCTAGGGGCGGGAATACTGGCGCGTTTTCCTGCGCCGCGGAGGGCGCCGGGCTTGCCATGGGACTTCTCGATGCCTTCGCCGTCTTGGAGGAAGATATGTGGCTGGTTTCGACGCAGCCAGTTATAAGGGCTGTGGTAGTTGCCAAAGGCGAGTTCTTGGTGAGCAGCCGATGGGGAAGTGGTAGAAGGGAGAGCGGGAACGCTGCCTATTTCGGCGTCGAGTTCGTATATGAAGTCGTCGATTTGCTCAGCTGTTAAGTATCCAATCGGTGCTGTCTGGCCATCTAGCGCTTCACGAGTCTTCTCCAGCTCTTCGATCTTGCCTGGGGTTTGAGTAGTGGGGTGTGGAACTGTTTTCAGCAGCGTTGCGAGTGATTTGGGAGGTTTGGATGCGATGTTTGTAGCGTCTCGTTCTTTGAGAAGAGCTTGGATCTCGTTGTAGAGGGCTATTCCTTCAGGAGTTTGTAAACCGGAGGCGTTGGCCAGCTCTTCGTTGGTGAATAGAGGAGGGATTTCTGGGAGGTCGGATATAATATCAACACGCTTATCGACTGGCATTTGGGCCGAGTTGTTCATATCGAGGAGAAGATCAAGAATTCGACTGTTGGATAGCATCAGTCCTCTGTTCCGTGAAAGTGAGGTGGGAATGCCAACTCGTTCTCTTGCGCAAGGCGTTTGGCCGTCTTGATCGCGCGCTGTTCCTCCAAGTACAGCTCATTACTCTCATTCATCTTATGATCGAATTTGATCTTCATCTTTCGAAACTTCTTCCTGAGAGATTCCATGTTAGCTAATTTGTCCTGATTTCGAGGTGTCCTCCTGGCAGGAAGGCCAACGCGAACGCTCAAAGCCAAACTTGATACATTTGAATTTGAAGGTAGGCCTACTTGAAAGATTTATAGGTAGGCTTCGCATCGGGTGGATTCTGCAGGGCGACGGCTCCATCGCTATCCATGGCTGTGTCCGGGTTAGAGACCAGAGTCTCCTCTTGTTTGATGTCCATGACCTCGGTATTGCGGAACTATTGTGAAGTTGCGAACATTGTTAAAACAGGAAATCGGGATTGCGGCTTAGTGGCCACCAATGAGGGCGGATGAGTGAGTGAATCGACGGCGCGCCGCGTGGTCTTTTTATGAACAGTCAGATCATAAGCATTGAGGGCATTCCAGACCTTCAAGCGGCATGGCAGATCCGTTGGAGCGGCGGCGTATTAGAGCTTGTAGCGCCGGCGATAAGTATGACCGATATTTCTCAACCAGAAATAAATATTTTCCGTTACATTTTCAAACCATGGCAGCAGCCTCACGAATTTTTTCTCAAGCACATATTCGCTGTGTCACACCAGCTACTCCTTTTACCGACTACATAGGAGTCATTAAAATCTTCTCAGAAAATACTCCGGTTGAGTTATTCATAGACGGGGGAGCAAGAGCTCTGTGCGCAACGCACGCAACCAAGTCTTGAGAGAGAAATCGCCGCAAAATATCTCCTCAAATCCCAGCCATGGGGTTCCCAGAGGAAACAGTCGCTAAATTGCCCAAGGGACCCTCGTCAAAGTCGAAGAAAGAGAAATCCAGCAAAAAGAGGAAGGCAGAAACTCTCGTGGAACCTACACCTCAAAATCTTCCAACAGAGCCTGCGACGACCGAAGCAAAGGGAGACATCGCATCACCAGTAGCTAGCACAGAGCCAGCCGAAGATGCATCATCCGAGCCACCGATAAAGAAACGCAAGGCCATTGACGTTGACGAGATCGAAGTCGATATCGCCGCTCCCGTACCACCTTCGAAGAAAGAGCTCCGTCGCCTGAAGAAAGGCAAGCCTCTCCCAGCTTCTAAAACCGCTTCAGACCCTACCGCTGAGTCGAAAGAGAAGGAGAAGAAGGCCGAGGTTGAGAAGAGATCTGAGCATGGGGTATGGATCGGCAACATGCCGTTTTTCGTATCGAAGGACGACTTGCGCAAATTCTTGGTGGAGCAATCAGATCTTACGGACGAGGATATCACTCGAATACATATGCCTGGACCGAACGACAAGAAATCAGCTAACAAGGTCGAAGAGAAAAGATTCGGCAAGGTTGTTCACAATAAAGGATTTGCTTATGTCGATTTCTCGACTGCGGAGGGTGTTACACATGCATTGGAGTTGTCTGAGGAGCTTCTCTCGGGTCGACGGGTTCTGATTAAGGAACATACATCGTTCGAGGGAAGACCAGAAAGGACAAAGGCGAGTATCAGGCAGGAGGGCAAGCCGCCGAGCACAAGAGTCTTCTTGGGCAACTTGTCATTCGATACCACCGAGGAGTCTCTTACGCAGCATTTCGAGAAGTGTGGAGCAATTGCAAGTATCAAGATTGCGACCTTTGAGGATTCTGGGAAGTGCAAGGGTTACGCTTGGATAGTTTTTGAGGAACTGTCAGCGGCGGAGAGCGCGGTCAAGGGTTTCGTCTACATCCGAGAAGAGAAAACTGATGTGTCCGAGCCCGATGAGAGCGATGAGGATTCGGATCCCGATGGTGTCACCAAATCGAAGCCGAAGCAAGTCAAGACGAGAAAGTGGTGGGTCAACAAGATCAAAGGCCGTCCTTTGCGCATGGAATTCGCGGAAGATGCTCAAGTCCGGTACAAGAAGCGATATGGAAAGGGTGGAACCAAGGGGGCCCCAAGCGATGGTGCCGGTGCCGGTGCCAGGAAGCCTACTGGTGAAGAGCCAAAGTCAAGACCAATTGTTGCTAAGACTGTCGAGTATTTTGGGCCGGATTATGGTCCTCGTGTGACCGGTGGTATCGTAGCGAGTGAGGGTAAAAAGGTCATATATTAAGCTAGGCTCTGGTAACGATAATTCACAAATCTTGTTTCGGGTCAGAGTCTGAAGAAATTGTTTGAGATGCCGAAACGCTTTCGATGGTTGGTTTCGTCTATAAGTTCGAGCTCGAACATGGTCAAACCGGAGTCTGGATATTTCGTTTTCTATATGGCTTCGAGTAATCTGCTCTACGTTCAAGATATTTTCGAAGAGCCACAAGCCATCGCTCAGCTTCCTTCAGGACACTGAAAAGGGAAACTCGTGAGTGCTCAGTATGGGTCTACACGCCGATGGACACGAATGATTGTCAACGATACTCATGTTGATGTGCCAAGCCACGACCAGCGGGAGGTTTGACAGCCACGTCTGGTTCCCGGAAATTTCATTGCTGCATTCATTATTTTATCCAAGGCAAGTATTTGGAACACCTCTGCTAACTCACATCCATAGAGAGCAAAAGCCCGGAGTTTCTATCGTGAGGAGCCACTCAGTCCTCACTCGAGGCGTACGTATCGAACAGCAATTTCATACGTCTACGGAATGCCTTTCCCGATTGTGAGAGCTTCTGCCGTACCAGAACGTTGGGAAAGGGTCAAGGGCGTGGCAATACAAGGAGGAGCAATCGCAAGTTCTCCCTGCTGAAGGGTTTGTCATGAATGTGGTACCCAACGGTATGTGGTCACTCGCCGACAGGGAGACAGGCAGCAACCCCGTGGACATGGACATGGACATGGACATGGGATCCGGATCCGAGTCTCGCTGATCAAACAAAGAGTTTACGTTCCTCCCTTCTCGCATTGCTTTCGACCAGCAGGCCGGAAAGTCAAACATCTTCGGTCCACCCCTCCTCGGCCCCTCTGCCCGTCTCCTCCGCTCGCAACCGTCCGAGCGAAGGTCCCCGTCCATTCATCTCTCCTGTTTTGCAGAGGAAAAGGTTTTGTTGCACGTCGTTACGGAGCTCACTTCCTTATAGTCGGAGGTGGTCTCCTGTGCTTCGGACCTAAAGCTCCCCACGTGTATCGCTAAAGAATGATGATGGTGTTTACGTACCGTACTGTACTAGGCGGGCGAGATCCACATCCGAGGCTACATATCGTCTGCATGTTTCTGGCATAGCCGATGGGCGAGGGCGTACACCGTGTGACTTCTTCAACCATAAGTTTGTACTTGTTCCTTTCCAATAAAATAAACATCATTGCGTATCAACTCTATAAACCTTTCCAGCTTTTTCGCAAGAGGAAATTAACAATAGCTTCTCAACGGTCGACAGTTGTGTATAGGTAGCTAGCTAGCTGTATATACCCTTAGGTCCCAATACAAGAAACATATTGCATCTATCTACACCTCAAGTTCAACCACGTTTTTTACCTCCACTGCTTCAGTCGCGCGCAATACAACTTAAGTAACTACACCCATGCGCTCACAGCCCATCATTATCCATTCCTCCCCATCTCGCCGAACGCACCTGGCTTTACTGACTTACTTACCCCCTCGTTCCTTCCATAGACACCAAGCTCGAGCCTTCCATGACCGAATGACCGACCGGATGGACGGGATACCGTGCCTTCTTCTTCCCAAACCGTCCCGTCACAGCAAGTCCGACCACCCACGAAAAAGCCGACGACGGAGTAGGTACCCAGCCATGGAGCGTGTCACGAGCCTCGACCCGAGATTCAAGAAGCGAAAAGGGCAAGTGACTACCATATGAGTGTTGTCCGTGATCAAACAGCTTCTCTTCTGAAGCCCCACTCACTCACTCACTCACTCACTCACTCACTCACTCACTCACTCACTCACTCACTGTACCCGCCCGCCCGCCCGCCTACTGACTGACTGACTGACTGACTGACTGACTTACTTACTTACCCAGCTCTCAGCCCACCCACCGTCTACATCCCGATCAATCCCTTCTTCGCCTTTCCCAAGAACGCGACACGCCCATCGAAGCAGGAGACTGGCTGACAGCAGTAGATCTGTAACCCCAACGCCTGTATCCTATCCCATCCTGTCCCATCCCATCCTATCCCATCCTCTCCTATCCCATCTCCAATACATACATACATATACATATATATACATATAACCACCAAGGGGATCGACTTCTCACCGATCGACAACCAACCAACCTCAGGAGCCAGCCAGCCAGGAACCTCCCTCCCCCTCCTCCCCCTCCCAACAAGACACAACTAACAAACGGTACCTACCCAACCGATCGATCAATCGCCCTCCTTCCTCCTCCTCCTCCTCCTTCCTCCTCCTCCTCCTCTCCCTCCTCCCTCCTCCTCCAAGAAAATCCGGCTCTAGATCAGATATGAGAGAGAGAGACAGAGAAAGGAGCGAAAGCAGAATCCGGCGCGCAGAAAAAAAAAATTGAAAAATAAAAAAAATTTCACTCCCTTCCCCCTCTCTCACCCTTTATCGGATTTTTTTTTTAAAGAAAAAAAAAAAAAAAAAAAAATTTTTTCCCTGCTCGCTATATTATTCTTTGTCTGACTAGTGACGGGAGGGGAGGGGTTGAGGTGTCTAGGTATGATGTGATGTGATGTGATGTGATGTGATGTGTACGGAATAGAGAGAGGGTCTGGTCGAGTAAAGTACATTGTCATTGTTCTGTAGCGAGCCTTTCTTTGGATGATGGCAAAAATAACCTATGGAGAGATAACTTGGGGCGAACAGAGGCCTCTATCCACGAAGAGAGCGCGACAATGTTGGAAAGATGGAGAAGAGAAGTACACATTATTCCGACTTTTCCGAGGATCGGGGCGTTTGGCTATATTACTAGTACTCGAGCTGAAGAGCCACACGTCACTCGCGAGGCAGAGCAGATAGGTTCATTTGACATTTTATCATTGGTGCCTACTACCAACCAAGCCCCAGCGCAAAGGGGAAAAAAGATCCTGAAAAGTTCAAGGACTGACTTATTTGTTCTGCATGCTCGTGCATCGAATCACGCCTCCTGCGATCCTCCCTCGCAAAGGGGGTCGGTCGTGAGACCTGAGATCGAGGTACGGATCCATCCATCTATCGTAGTGAGTGAAGACCAGCGGTCAAAAGAAAAAGAAAAAAAAAAGCAGAGCGCGCAAATCCATCGAGTAGCTTACATCCGAGAGAAAGAAGGACCCAGTAAAGAAAGAAAGAAATAGCACCGAGAAATCCCATTGCTCCATCCGTATCCACGCTATCCAGAGCAGTTGGGTTAGTCTTACGCCATCGCATTCCTCCCCCATTACACCTTCCCCTAACGCGACCCAAGGATCAATTTACTTCTTGAGGGCTTTTCCTTGCTCAGCGAGAAACTCCTCATCGCTGGCATCCAGAATGTCGTACTCCTCATCAGTCATGAAACCATCATCGGTCTCATCATCCTCAATGAAATCTTCAACGAACTGCTCAAACTCGTCAACCTCATCTTGAGCAAGCGGTACAGCAGCGGGAGCTGAGTTAGCCTCATGGACGCTGGCAGCCGGGGACTCCTTCTCCAACTTCGGGAAGATCATTTGACTACCTTGAGCCTCGACATGAGGTTCAGCATTGTCATCTTCCTTGAAGGCCGGTTCCTTAACCTGGACGTCGCACCAGAGTCTGTGACCAAATTTGTCTCCTTTGGGGCCTGTAAGGCGCCAGTAGGATATGAATTTACCGGGCTGGTTGGGGGTTCTCATCAGGACAGTGAAGCCAGCCTCCTGACCTGGAGCAACCTCAGCATAGCAAGTGGTGCTCTCAGCCGCAGATACAAGCTCGTGAACGCTGGCTGGGTGGGCAGGGTCAACAGCACACATGTTATCGCCACCGACGAACTTGACAGTACATCCAGCGGGCCAAGAAGTGTTGCCGCCGTTGCGAAGGTACCAGGTTTGCTCGAATACAGAGTTGGGTGGGAGCACAGTGCCATCAGCGATGACATCACGGACGAAGTGGGCGACAAGCTCCTCTTTCACGACGGCAGCTGGAAGCTCCTTGGCCTCCTCCTTTGTCTCGGGAAGCTTCTCGGCCTCAATAACTGGGGCCGCCTCAGCCTTGGCTGGCTCAGTTGGCTTGAGATCAGCAACGGTCTGAACCTGAGTTGCAGCGTTGGTCGAGGTAGCAGTCACCGTCTCGGTAGACTTTGATTTAGTACGAGTGCAACGACGGTCGCCCATGACTGGCATGCGTTGACCATCCTGATGATCACCGACAGTTGTCACACTAACGTTTCGGACAGGAGTCTTGAACTTGATTAGGGGGTGAGTGCGGTTGTGCGAGTTAGATGGGCTGGCCTCGCAGCTGGCACAAAAGTCGGTATCATGGCAGACTGCGCACTTGTATCTGTCACCCTTGATGAAGGACTGAATTCCGTTTGCGGAATTGCAGAGTGGTCCATCGCAGTAGATGCCGTGGTGGCGAGCCTTCGAGGTGTATGATCTGGACAGAACGGAGAGATCGTTGAGTGGTTCGTAGATAGGAACGAATCGGTGACCAAGGTGGATGAAGTTCGCATTTGGGTAGCAAGCGGAGCAGAAATCCCAATCTGGGCAGTCGAGGCACTTGTGACGAACACCGTAGATATACTGTCACGATGTTAGCTTACATTATTGCATAATTTGCATGGTTCATTTACCTTGTCACATCCATCACATATAGCGTTATGACCAGTGTTGCGACCCGGAGCAAGTAGTGCCTTAGCAACCGAGTCAAGGTTGAAATCCTCAACAGCTGGCTCGAAAGCATGCTTGGGGTGGTGACCGTGCTCCATGCTTACGTGGCAAGGGATGCACAAGTCGTAGTCTGGACAAGTGGTGCAGGTCACAAAGTTCTCCTCGGAAAGCTCTGAAATGCAAGAGTTGCATGTGCGTGTAGCAAGTGGGTCCTCGAGGAATTCCACTGATGTGACAGTGGTCTTATCCTTCTTCTCTCCGAGCTTCGATTTCGAGGGAACCTTCTCAGTAGTGCTATTAATGACCTGTCCGTTCTTGACGAAACGCTTGATCAACCAGTGCTCATCGCCACTACATGAAACCCCACTATCGACGCAAGCTTGGCAGAGATCAAAGTCACCGTCATCGCAAGTGCTGCAATGGTAGTGAACATCTGAAGTCGTAGCCTGGCAGTTGTTGCAGTAGACAGAGAAGACGCTGACCGTCTCGGGAACTTCAGAGACCGGCACAGGCGTGGTGCAAGGAGCATTTAGACGCTCATTGACTCGGCCAGACAAGGCAACAGGTGGACCATACCAGTTGTCGTCAGTAAAACCGACACCAATGAGCGGGATCTTGGTATTCTGGACTGGAATCTTCGCAGGGTTCATCTTGCTACAGCAGGTGGAGCTGCTCGGAGGATGGGTAGTGAAAGTGGAAGCGTGACTGGCAGAAGCGCGCTGAGAACCATTGATCAGGAGCTCCTCAAATCCACGTTGAATCTCAGCGACCGTTCCTGAATAGACAGCCTTCTCCGGGTAGCTGACGGTAGACTCCGCCGCAGGGGCTGGAGCAGGTGTCGGGATTGGCTTGACTGAGATGGATGGTCCCGCGACTGGGCTGACTGGACGTGGCTTCTCATCTTCAACAGTAGCTGGCTTAGGTGCAACTGGCTCCTTGTGTATGACGGTGACCTTGAGACGGAGCTTTAGCTTAGCCTTGGCGGCACGGTAGAGTTGCTTATAGACTGATGCATTGTTTGGGTCGAGCACAATGAAGGTAGCGGCGGAATCGGAGTACCGCTCGAAGATAGCCTCGGAGGTAGCTGGAATACTAAGGAGGGATCGGAGCTGTGTGCAAATGACGAGTCAGCTCCCATTCAGTAGATACAGAGATGGGACATGGTAAGAGATGAGGATGTATCAGTTCAGGCCAGGCTGGAAGCCTCATGTGGAACCATCATACCATCACCATATGACATGACATACCTTATGTGGGAGAGTGCCAGGGACAAGATCGCGAAGAGGAAGCTTGAATCTGCTATTGCTGCCCTCGATATTGATCTTCATTGTGACGAGGGTATCTGGAGTGGTGGGCGTGGTTGACGCCATGACTGCGGTGGTCGAAAGGCTGGACTGTATCAGCTAGAGATCAGGCGGTAACATGCAGAGAGGCGTCTTGAGATAGGAAGACGAACTGCAATGCCCTCTGTGGCTTGGACTTGATCAGTAATCAAAGAACGAAACAGGTCCTGAGCAGGAGGAAGAGGCTGATGATGAGGAAGAATGAGAGAGTCGAGTATGGGAGGGGGGTGAGTTGAAGATGAAGTTGACGGATGAAGATGAAGATGAAGATGAAGAGGGGACGAGAGGGGATGGAGATGTCGAAGCAGAAGGTTGCCTGAGGAGCTCACCTTTATCGCTCGGCTTCGGCTAGTGGATCCGCTACTAGTTTAGGCTACTCTATCTGTACCTAGGTAAGTATGGTGTTACGAGTCGGCGGCAGTGAGTGAGTGATCCCGTGACCAGGAGAACGAGCCTCTTGGGATGGCGGTGAGCGACAATGATAGTTGGCTTTGGATACGCTGTATGACGTCTTGAATATAGAGTATGGAGTATGGAGCATGAGATGCGTCGTCCTTTTTGTTCGATTTAATGGAAGGTTTGTTCGCTGGTGCTGGCTGGTGCCGGCTGGTGCGTGGTAGTCAAGTCCATGCGTGCCTGTGAGCTCGGGATTTCAAGACAAGCGTCGAGTCACGAGCGAATCTTTGGTGAATAAGCCGGCTACCTCGAAGCTTCGACTTCTCCTTAAATCAACAACTTCGGCTTCGGCTTCAACAACTTCTACTTCAGCCTCAGCCTCATGTGGATGGATGGATGAAGGAGTGGGTAGATATCAATGGCCCTTGGATTCTACTCTGCAGCTTGTCAAACATGGTTTGTATCTATGCACTCATTCAAGTTGGTTCATTCATGATAATACAACCTTCTGAAGTCAATTCTACCTCCCGGTGAACAGTATTGATGAGAGCAACTTCCGAGACACTCATGGTATTGGCACAGCTACAGCCCGAATTCCAATGTTCCAGTGAAGATCTCCGTAGTTCCAGGTACGTGTTGATTGAGTAGGGAATAGTCTAAAGTAATCCCGGCACAAGGCGCCACCACCTCCAGACCGCTCCCAAGGCAAAGAGGCTGGCTGGCGTAAGTGAAGGCAGCCTTCGGACGTCCGAACTTTCTGCAGGAGTGGCTGATTCAGCATGTTTGTGATATGTGATAGAAGTACCTACCGATCATGAATCCCGTGGCGGTGTCAAAATAAGCAAATACTGAAACAAAGTACGAAGGGCCATTGTCATCCACCGACTCTCATATTTAACTGCTACTGCTACTGCGGCTGCGGCTGCGGCTGCGGCTGCGTCTACTACTACTCTGTTCGCCACGCCTTTCAAGTAAAAACGGTCGACGAATGCCTCATCGGAATCTTTCTTAAAACAACATTTTAAGAAGGAGATCCATCGTGCAAAACCAATACTGAAATGCACCACCAGCTGTATTCGGCACAATTGTATCTCCCGAACAATGTCTCGATATGGCCTCTGCCAGCCTTGGACCTCCGAGAGCCACCCTTAAACCTTCACGATACCTGATCCGAACAACCGATATCTTTTCACAAACAATACTGCAACAATAGAGACAAGAATAACAACGCTTCCAAAACCGCACAATGAAAATCCATCATGCCCCTGACAAGATCGCTGAAAGCATTAAAAAGAATTAAACAAATGTTGGCCCGCAATGCAGAAAGGCTCCGTTACTGTGGGTAGTACACAACGCCTTGTGGCTGGGCCTGGGGAAAATAGAATCCGTCGGGACTTGGTGTCATCATGCCGCCCATCCCAACCATTCCACCAACCTGTTGCATCGGGTAGGAAGGTGGCGGCGGCTGGTATGCAGGGAAAGTGGCAACAGCAGGGATTTGTGCTGCATCGTAATAGTATACCATTCCGTTGACTTCTTGAGCAACTAGGTTGGATACACCTCCTTGCGAGACAGAATTGTCTGGCTGCGCATTAGGCTGAGGATATGAAGGTGGTTGCTGCTGCGGCTGTTGGGGGACAAAAGCTGGAGCTGGAGGCTGGTTATAGCTTGGTGGATAGTAGTACCCTTGCAGTGGTGGTGCCATGGAGCCGTACGGAGACTGAGAGTAGAAGTTTGGAGGCGGTTGTTGGTACGGGTTTGGTTGGAATGGTTGGGCGTGTATAGCACGTTCTGGGATCTGGGACAGAGGAGTCCCCGTAGATGCCTGGCTTGGATGAGACGGGTTCCGAGAATGCAGTAAGCTATCATTGTGGTAGCTGTTTCCGTTGACCTGAATAGGAACCTGCTGATGGAAAGGCTGTTGGTATTGTTGAGGGGGGTTGAACTGAAGTGTTCCTGGTGACTCAATATCGGCAACGGATACGGTCTTTTGGGGTTTGGGTTGATGTATAGGAATAGTGTTTGGTCGATTTTCACGGAAGGTTGGTTTTTGAGGAAGGGGATATGTTTGTGGTCGGGAGAGGTCATCAGTAGTCCCTTGAGGAGGCTGGTGTTGAGACCTCTCATCGGCATTCTGGAGGTTCTGGGGGTGAACCGACTGGCTCGCTGGTGGCAGCTTTACAACAGGACGAGATGGGTCTACAGCCATCTGTTGTCGGGACATGGTCGAACCAGTTGGCGAGGCTAAGCTATCCCGGTTGTATTCCCGTGCCAGAGATGAGCGGCGGCTCATAGCAACACTTGGAGAGTATCCACTGCCAAACATGCTACCACCAAAGACACTTGTGCGTCTTGAGTATCCACCAACAGAGCCAAGAGCCGACCTTCCTCTACCACGTCCGCCAAAGCCTTGCTGATTTGGCCTCATAGCACGAGGTATGAATATAAACGATCTGTCAACGGCGGGGAATATGTAGCGTGGCGGATGGTCAGGAAGAGAGATGCGAACTGGCTTGTCTCGGCGGAGGGGAGGACGGTGATCTGGCAAGCGGGTGTATTGCTTGACTGCGATACCGGGAAAGACAAGCGGCTTTTCCATGCCCAATAGGTGCACGCGAATTTGGACATTGCCTATATGTTTCGTTACCGAGAGTGCCCGGTTGAGAGGGGCTTCCTTTGAAGTGCTGATGGGAACCCGCGCAGATGTGGAATGTCCGTTTGCGGAGCTCGGTGCCTGTAAATGATTGCGAGGGGATGGTTGGTTGTTGACTTCGTGCATGTCATGGATCCAGGGTGCATCAGTGGGCTCGTGTGCTTGATGTATTTGGCTGGTATACATTAGAGTCTAACACTTGGTTCAAGAAAATGAGAAGCTTACTTGGATGAAGCATATGGTCCCCCAGGACCCAGCCTACCTCGACCTCGACCTCGACCGAAGGGCCGGAACCCATTCGCCGCGGGCCCAGAATGACGGTGATCATGCATGAAAAACGCTCCCCGGTTTGGTACGAAGGCAGGATCCGCATCTCGCTTCTTCTTGTATTCCTCATGTTCCCGTCGTCGACGCTCATGTGGTAGCTCTTGTGGTCGATCCATCTGAGCGTTCGAGTTGACAACTGCCGGTGAGGGTATTTGGAGGTCCTCATCCTCCCGGAGATCCTCATACTGCAATTCCTGCGCAGTTTCGTTGCGGTCGGATATATTGAGACCATTCAGCATCATATCCAGGTCGCTGGTACCGTTCGTGCACGGCTTCTTGGAGCTGTCCTTAACGCCGTTGCTCTTGCCATCCCGTGACGACTCCTTTTGCTGGTTTCCGTTGAGTTTATGCAGCTCTGGAGAGCCAGCAAGAGCTATTTCATCTGTGCTGATCTCGTCACCGTCGTGTGTGCCATCTTCCTCCGTTGCTAATGACCCCTCGCTGGATTCATCATCTATATCTGCTGTATCCAGAGCTCCTTCCTCGTCGCCTTCGTCCTCAACCCGCCGTCGACTTGCAGCTAAATCCTTCCTCTGCTTGTAACCCATGGCGAGGAGGTGCGCAGGCTGTCGTTCGAGATGCGACGGGTTGTCGGGCGAGGGCGGGCAATCGAAGAGACAAGACTTGGTGACAGATCATGCAGAAGTGGCAGCGTTTGAACGGGAAAAGAGTACCGCCCGCGGCAATAAAGTGTTGTTGGCGATAGTCTTGCGGGCAGCACGGTAGGGGTGATGAGCAGTCTAGATGGGCGATACCCGCACGCTGCTGCACTGAGCGAAGTTGGCAAGCAGAAGGTTGAGGATGGGAATTGGGGATGGGAATTTGGTTCGGAGGCTGAACATTGAGAGTCTTGGATGCAACGGGCTGCTGCAAGGATACCTCCGAGCGCACTAAGACGGAAGTGGGAGAAGGCAAGAGCAAATCAACCACACGACTTCAGGGCTAGTCGAGTCGATCCTCTACACCGTGATATACAGTATCAATGTTTATCTTGGTTTTATCCAGCTACGTGAATTATCTTATGTATCTTACGGGCGCTTTTATCTGGCTTTGACAACTACACTTCTTGTCAAGATCGCCTCTTATTTCAACAAAACGTATGCAAGCGAGCCTGCAGCATCGAATCGGGTAATGTTTGCTATGGTCATCTACTCAGAATTACAACTTGTGTTTTGGTGACTGGGATCTGCAAAGAGTTGGTGATCAGTCCTCCCTGTGATGTCCAGTATGCAATCCTAACACAGTTTGGTTAGGGCAAACTGAGGCCCCCAAAAGTTGTGAGGTCAACTCCCAGTATTACGTGTAACCAGACAACATTTGTTTTGATTTATATAAAGAGGGACATCATGGGACTTGACTTGCCCTCTTCCCTTCTCCCCATTCAGAGCATGGGATGTTTCTGCGATTCAAGCTCATGATACCCCGTCAGCATTTCGTCTGCTTTCAAGAGCTTTCTTTCGCATGTCAGCCATCACCTATCCTCCTTTCTCGACTTCCTCAGCTACAGAAGTCGCCAGAGATGCTGCTACCTTTTGGTGCAGAAAAAGTGTGGACAGCTCAAGATTTCTTGGAGAAATAAAAAACTACTCCTGGTTTGCTTCACCCGAATCAATCTCATTCCAAACCTCCAGAGGCTAGAGTTTAGAGCAGCCTGGCACTACCAGAACCGAACTGTGCCTTCCCAGATTCGTGAACCCTTCCAGTCAAGGCTAGGTCTCAAGAAGGCTGAAGACACCTCTGAAAACACCCACCAGTACAAACACTGCCACTCTCTCAGCCATTTCGCATACCTCATCCTACGATTCGATGTCAGCGAACCAACGAATAGAGCCTGCCGTGCAACCGATATCTTTCATTCTCAATCTCTCCATAGACCTAAAGGCAAATGCAACCATCCACACACCCGCGTCTATTCCGCAGTACCTACCCGATGATGTCTCCCTCTCCCGGAAGTACCTACCTACCTACCTACCTACCAAAGTTTTTGATCAAGAAGTTTCTTTCTAGGCGAGCGACCAACCACCGCGGAATGAAGACTGCTTGCTAATAGGTACATAGGTCTTGTCTGTCTGTCTGTCCGTCGGTCTCAGGGAAACTAACCAACTAAAACCCATAGGTAATATCGAGATCGGGATCGAGTCCAAGATCCCTCCAGCGGGCGGGGAAATTTGACCAATGAATTGTTAATAGCTAGCTACTGCTTGCCACTCATGGGAACAAATTGTACTAAAAAGGACAGCTGCGGCATCTTTCGGGTAGTTTGGAAGGCGGATGTTGCTTGCTTGCTTGCTTGGACGGAGGGGCATCGAGTCTAATAAATCAATCACGAGCTTGAACATTTTATCAGAGGGGCAGCGACCAATACAAAAAAATAGATAGCGAAGCGAGTATAAGTTTGAATTTTCCTTTGGTATTCACCGTTTTCCATGGTGGCTCGATGCAGTGCAGTACTCATTCGTTTTCAACACGTCCGATGCACCTTGCCCAGCACAGAAGCGCAGCGCAGCCATCTAACACCCCCCCGCGAGCCAACCCACCACAGTGCAACACCACAACGCCAGAGAATATCTCAGCAAAGAGCCCGAGACCAACCAATTCAGTCAATTCAACCACCCAACCACCCAGCCCCCAAGCGCCAGATCAGTCCGAGAACAAGGACCGCATGCGAGTAACGGGTGCCCTGAATCATATGTACAGAGTTAAGGGTGAGAAAAAAAAGCCAGCGTGCCGAAATAGTGAGCGGCAGAAAGAACGACGCGGAAAGACCAGCCAAAGAAAAGGGAAGCAAATCGAGAAAGAAGGACTGTTTTACAGCAATGTGAAGAGCAGTGCCACCCCAGAAGTAGGGTAGCATTTTCCAGAACGCCAAGGTACGTACTCCGCAATACCGGCAATGCATAATTAGGGATCCGGGCCAAATATTTTCGGGCTAGATATTGTTCATGATAAGTTTCGTGACTCGAACTCCTTCCTCATGAACACATTTTTCTGCGGGTCTGTTCCTTTCAATCACGTCACGCGTCTCATAGTACAGCCAGACGTGTATCACGATTCTCGCCTTTGCTGTTGCTGTTGTTGTTGTTGAAATGCTTGGTTGGCCATCATTTGGGGATGTTGGCCCATTGCCATACCATATGGATTCATATGAGGATTGGCGTAACCGCCTTCCATAAGTTGCTGCATGCCACCATTGCTCAGGCCTTGCGAGTGAGAGACGGGGCAATCCTTGTGAGCTAGAAGAAGAGTTTTTATGTTGACAAGCTCGTCCCGCAATGCCGTGATCGTGGTGTTGAGACTGTCGTTCTCCATGCTGTACATCTCTACCTTTGTTTGAAGGTTTTGGAGCCATTGCTTCTTGCGTTGTCTGCACTTGAGAGCAGCAACCCTGCGGAAGGTTAGCCCTGGGATTGAAAGAGTATGAGACTCATGTTGCATACCGGTTACGTTCGAGGAAATTCTTCCGCTTCTCATCATCGGTCATCTTCTTGCCGTTGGCGTGGTACTCGTCCTTGGTAATATCGGGCTCTTCATCTGATATCGGCTCATCCATGTTCACGACATTGCCGTTGTTACCCTTGGACTTCTTACCGGCAGGCGCCTTCGCAGGAGTTTGGTCGGTAGCTTTGCGTCGACCATTGCCGTTGGGCTGGTTTTCCTGGGTAGCAGGTCTCTTACCCTTACCTCGGGTAGTGGGTCTACTTGATTGTTCTTCTTCCGAGATGCCACTCATATCACTGTTTCGACGGCCGGGTTGGTTGTTGTTAGATCCACCATTTCGTTGGTGTGCGGTGTGGCTAGAATCTCGGGAGTGGCCCATTTGTGGCATGGATTGAGCGATGCCTTGTAAGACGGTCTGCGGAGCGACGGTGTAATGATTCGTCTGCGAAGGGTCGTGGTTCGCGTTCGCAAGTAGGAAGAGCCCGTTGGCAGCGTCGGTCGCGTTTGACTCCTCGTAACTTCTTTGAAGTTGTGTTGGTGGCTGTCTAGGCTTGCTATCCAAATCGTGCATGGGGTCTTGTGGTTGGGATGTGATGTTGGGCATTTCGCCGATCTTGTTGCGCGCGTTGATAGCAGCGCGCCCGAAATCCAGTCCACCTGGAGTTGTAGGGACCATGTCGGCGAAACCTGGACTCGATTGGGGGAACATGGTTCCTGTACCACCGGGTGTAAAGCCAGGTCCACCGGGCGTCAAGCCCGATCGCAAGCTTGATTCATTCGGGGTGACACCTGGGAAGCTGCCTCGGAGATGGTGCCCAGAGCCAAAGTAATCGTCTTTAGGCGGACCTCCAAGCATAGCAGGGCTTAGAGGACCAGAACGCATGCCTGTAATGATGGGCCAGAAAGAGACACCCGGAGATGTGAGGGCATTGATGGATGGAAGCTTCGTTCCTCCAGGTGTCTGCACTTGTCCGCCGTTCGCTAATGATCCGCCGCCTGCAAATGAATACTCGAATGGGTTTGTCTCGGTTGCCAGGCCATGATTTCCTGAGAAGTAGTCGCTGATGCCAGCAGTAGTCCGTGGCGGAGGGAGGGTTTCGGCATTGGTGGTAGTGATGGTGTCGACTTTTACTGATGCATCTTGTTGAGGCTCCGACACTGGGAAGGAGATGTAATTAGCTCCATTAATACAAGATTCAAGAAAATTCCCCATCATCTTCTCCGTGACCCCACGCGATAGGATGAAGCGGCGGCACCGACGGGGGGCTCAAGATCGTCGGCGCACAGCATATGGGATGATCGGGCAATGAGTTGAAGTTGAAGTGGAATGAAGTAAAGGGAAATGTCGGTGATGGGGTCTGATTATTGTGTGACTGGACTGACTTACCAGCGATATTAGGCGCATCAGTACTAGACTGAGTTGGCGGCGACAAGGCCTTCACCTTCGGCGTCGTGGTGGCGGCGGTGGTGGTGGTGGTGGTGGTAGTCGCGATCGCGGTGGGCGTCGTGGTCGCCTTTGCCGTCGCCGTTGTGGTGGCTTCCTTCGGAGGGATAAGAGACATAATTGAGTTTTTTTTTTTTTTCCAGCGTAGTGTGGGATGGGATAGGATGGGATGGTACGACGATGACGATTTCCGGTACCTGAACCTGGACTCGGTCTTGGACCTGGACCTGGACCTGGATCTGGACCTGGACTTGGACTTGGACAGAGGTGAAGCTTTTCAGAGTCGAGGACAATGACGTTGGAGGCCTTGGAGTATGACGCAGGTGGGATGGGGGAAATGGGAAGCCACTGATTGATTGATGTTAATTCCCGCTGGAGGGACACGACGTCTCCAAGATGACGAATTTCAATGGACAACAAAAATAACAGCGACAACCACAGCGACAAGGACAGCAACAGCGACGACGACAACGACAATGACAACAATAACGAAATGCACATACCACTATGGCAAACTTGGCTTCCGGCTTTGCTCGGTTGGTCGAGGTCGAGGTCGAGGGCGAGGTCGAGGGCGAGGTCGAGGACGAGGGCGAGATGGTTGTGGTAGGGCGAGGGTGACGTATCCCGGATGTGAAGTATAATTATGCGGTCTGCGCTGCACTCACTCACTGCCTTGGTCAAGTACACAAGAAGGGCAATTCACTTTGTCGTCCTTTTCTTCTCCTCCCACTTCTGCCACTGCACACTGTCTGTCTGTCTGTGTGTCTGTCTGTCTGTCTATCTGTCCTTTTCTATTACTATATTATCAGTGGTAAGGTGGACTGACTGACTATTGAGACTATCGACAGACGAAGATTTGCGTTGAGCGACTTGAGACTATGCAGCTCAAATGTCAAGTCTAGTCTAGTCTAGTCAACTCAACTCAACTTAACTTAATGCAAGTCAAGTCAAGTCAAATCAAGTCGGTGCCGGTCGGTACTCACTCGTATCAAAGTCGAATTGGCGGTGTTCGTGGTCTTTGTTCGCACGTAGCGTCGAGGTGTGGGCGAGTGATGAAATCGGTGCGTCATCGCCAACTTGGGGGGGTGGAGGGAGGGGGGGGGCACCTCGCTGCTTAATAAAGCCTGGGCTATTGGAGGGTGGGGCGCCTCTGGCCAATCAATGCCTCGCCCTGTGCTTGGTAAGGGGGTCCACTCGCCGGAGTAAGACGTATGGCGCCATTCCTCAACTGGCCTGGTCTGTTTGGTCTGTCTGGTCTGTCTGGTCTGTCTGGTCTATCGCCACTCGGTCCCCCTTCTCGCTGTCTTTTTGGCTTTGCTTTGTTGCTTTCGCAGACCAGATACTGAACTGAACTGAACTGAACTGGACCGAACTGGACCGAACTGGACCGAACTGAATTGAACCGAACCGACTCTCTGCCACGGTCATGGTCAAAGCGAAGGATAGAATCTATCGCTGCATGCATTCTCTACTATTCAGACCTTTCCCTGCCTTGAAGTCCACCTTACTATCACTGTTCTGTACAGCCAACGATTAATTCTACCTACTGTACTGCTCGTTCAGTTCGGACTTTCCCTTGCAGACTGAATTGACTCTTGACTCCTGACTCTTGAGACATCTCAACGCCTAGCTCCCCTCTCCGACTCGCTTAGCTTCTCCGTACTCCGTACAGAGAGGGACCGTACCTACCGTATAGTACTTGTGCGGTACCGGTAGTCAAGACGTTTTCTTCTACCGGACCGACAGCAGAAGCGCAAAGCCTCGAGCTGACGGGGGACTCTGGCTAGCTATACCGGTACCGGTACTAGGCTACTGTTCGAGACGCACTTCCAACTCATTGTCCGCTTCTCTCTCTCTCTCTCTCTCTCTCTCTCTCTCTCGGGCTTGATTGGCTCGTATCAGTTCTCATCACCGGCTATATCTCCCAGTCCCGAATCCCGAATCCCGAATCCTAACAACCGAGCTTAAACCTCAGGCAGAAAAGGCTCTTTTGAAAAGGAACAGTCCCACAGACACCTCCAAGAAGATGAGATGAACTATGATCAAGCAGCCTGCCTGCATCTGCAAGGCTCAGGACAGACAGACAGCGAGCTTCCATGCATACATACCACATGCTTGGTAGACTCACTCAGATACCGGTACCTATCGCTATCGGCCCTGGAGGAGGCGAATCTGCCGCGCTTGCAGGGGTGCTGCTGGCCTCGACCTCGGCTTGAGCTTAGCCTTCCTCACGAGGTTCAAAACAAAACAACGTCATTCAACTTATCATATATCGATTTCCAGTATTATATACAATCTACTCTAGTATACTGACCCCTAAACTTCAAAATGCCACCATCCGAAGACATACTCTTGTATCACTATCACGCTTCGCCATACGCCAAACGGTACCACTCCTTCTCCGCTTCCCCGGTCGGTCAAGCTCTGATGAGCTCGACACACCTGTGAAGCTTTCAAGGCTGAATCTAACACCCAACCCCAACAGCATCGTCTGGTATCTCAACCTCCGCAGAATACCCTACACGCAATGCGTAAATCATCACTCAAGACTCATGGCAACCACAGCTGCTAACAGCCTCCCAGCTCCAACCCCCCGTAATGCCGCGTCCAGACACTGCCGCGATCGGCACCCTCTACCGGCGCATCCCCATCCTCTCCATCGGGCTCGACATCTACAACGACACGCGGCTCATCCTCTCCAAGCTGCAGAATCTCTACCCCCCCTCGCCATCGCACCCCCCCCTCCCAACCCCTTTCCCATCTGCCCCCGCCTCGGGAGGCGTGGAGAAGCTGCTCTCCAACTGGGTCATCGGCGGCCTGTTTGCGAAAGCGGCCGCCCTGATCCCGAGCCACTTGCCCATCATGAAGGACGAGCGTTTCAAGAAAGACAGAGAGGAATTCTCGGGCACGAGCTGGGATGCCACGAGTAGGGAGAAAGAGAGGAAGGAGGCGCTTGTGGATATCAAGAGGGCTTTTGAGCTACTCGAAACCACGTTTCTGGGTGATGGCAGGGACTGGGTTCTGGCGACCAAGGGCCCGAGTCTGGGGGATATCGAAGGTACGTTTCCCCTCCTCCTCTTTCTCCACTGAGCTAGTTTTCTTTGGATACGAAGTATGTGAATCGCATGAGATGGACGGGATTACTAAACATATGAGAGCACATAGCCGTCTGGCCCTTCCAGTAAGTCCGCTTAGGCGAACCGTTCTACACGGCTTGCACTACAGAGATAAATCACCCCTACTTACAGGACTGACTTCTCTCTTTCCTAGCTGGCTCACGACCCTCCCGGGCGCCCTCCCCACCTCCTACATCTCGCCCGCCCAGTTTCCGAGGACATTCGCCTGGATCTCGCGTTTCGACGCCCACGCCCGTTCTGCTGCCACGACGGCCGGTAAGCCCAAGACCGTCACCGGCGACCAGGCTGTGCAAATCATGCAGCAGTCGTCCCTCGTCGAGCGCGAGCTCGGCGTCGAGGACGGTGATCCGAGCGGGTTGCGGCATGGGGAGCGTGTGGAGGTGTGGCCGGTCGACTCGGGGCGGAGTGGGCGGGATCGGGGACGCTTGGTGGGGCTGAATGGGAACGAGATCGTGGTGGTGACGGAGGGGGGAAAGGTGGAGGGCGTGAGGGTGCACTGTCCAAGAGAGGGATTTCGGGTGAGGAGGGCACCGGAGGGGAAATTGTAGAGGTGAGGGGAGAGAGGGGTGAGATCTTGAAGCGTTGTCGAAATTGCGCTCGTTGTCGTCGGTCGTTATTTGACTCTCTCTGGTCATGTGCATATCTAGCTCGACAGAGGCGCAGACATTCCTTCTCCTTGAATCCCTAGGTAGGAACACCTATTCTTCCAGGAGTAACGAGGCAAGTTGCTCAGTCAGCAAATCCGCACTGGAGAGTCCGAACGACACCACCAAGCAAAACAATACAAACAGCTGATTTCTCACGCATCTCATTCCATCCTCGGTTGGCCGACCCCCCCTCCTTCAGTTGATGATGCATCCGTACGCAAGAAGTAACAACAAACAGACCTCCGTCCATCCACACGTCAGTCAAAGCGTACACTATTTGGTACTAGTACCAAGAACGAAGACCACTCTACGTATACACTCTACGTATACCTAGAGGTAGGTAGGTACCTACTCTTCCCACCTACTCTTCCCCCCTCCCACCTCCCCCTCCCATAGATTAGATCAGGAAACACCCTTCTCTTGCCCTTCTTCGGATTCTTCGGATTCTTCTTCGGAAACAACCCGTTTTCTCTCACGCAAGAGGTGCTCGGATGTGACGATGGTGATTGCGGTTACGGTGATATGATGTGGTATGATATGACGATGGCGAGGGCGATGGTGATGTGTAAGTCACTAAAGTTTGTGTGTGTGTGAGAGAGAGAGAGGGGGAGGGAGAGAGGGAGGACATTGGGGTTTGGGTTGGGTTGGGTTGGGTTGGGTCTCTTGTTGGGTATTGGGATGGCTGGATAGCTGGCTGGCTGGCTATGGGAAGCTGGGAAGCGTTGTGTGTGGGGGAATGTGATTGTGATTGTAATTGTAATTGTGATTGTGATTAGGTTATTAGGGGTTCGAGGGAGGAAGGGAAGGGAAGAGGAGTAGATAGGTATAGGTATAGGTAGGTAGGTACTGCTGCGTACTGCGTGTAGAGAGGGGGAGGGATGGCGGGCTTTCTTTGGGGAAGACGTAAGGCTAAGGGGTTGGTTGGGCTTGCTGGCCGTAGTGAAGATGTATGTATGTATGTCATGTATGTACAGTATTTCCCTTGCCAGCATCTGGCGTGTATCGTCGCAGGTGGTGGCGGTGGTGGTGTTTTTCCCTTGAGGATTGTCGAAAAGAATGAGGTTTGACGCGGGATTCGAAACCTGGTTCTGTTTACACTGTAGATAGGTCGACGTAGGTTAGCTCCTCCTACACCACTAGGTAGAAGGAAGTTTCCAAGGCCGTTCGTTCGGGCTTCCTCCCCCCCCACCCCCCCTCCCGGAACCGTCTCGCTGCTTAAGCGAGATGGCTCTGTCCCTGCTAAGCGAGCGAGCGAGCGAGCGAGGTCGCTAATCGATATCCCCATCTCATCTCATGAACGGGATGAGCGGGGAACCGCTCCGTGCTGAGGGAGAGGCGGACGGCGACGGAAAGAAAGCCTCTCCCGCTACGGCGTATTGCCGCCGAGCTTTCAGAGGTTCAGCCGGGGTCGATCCGTTACTACCTTATGTAGCTGCTAGACTTATGCCATCATCTTCTTCTTCTTCTTCTTCTTCTTCTTCTTCTCTCTCTGCACCAGAACCACCAGCAGCAGCAGCAGCAGCAGTAGCAGCAGAGCGTCCAGATTCCCCAGAGTCCAAGGAATTCAAGGAATTCCTGCCTCCGGGCTTTCCTCGTTCCGTTCGCTGGACGGAAGATTACGTGTCTGGCAAGCGGGCCGGTAGGCTGGCTGGCTTCGTCGAGCCGTTCGATTGATTCATGGCCTGGACTGCAGGGTCAGGACCGTGATGGGGGGGGGGTTCTTGGAGTCGATCGTATTTCAGCAGCGGTGGCGGCGTGCAGCAGCAGCAGCAGCAGCTGGAAAGGAAATGAAGGGAAAGGAAGGGGGGAAAAACAAGACGAAAAAAGAAAGGCAATGATGTGAAGTGGAGTGAGGTGAGATGAGATGTTGGGCCTTGGGGCTCGTTTTTGGAGGTATGATTTACGTAATGTGTATGGGGTTTATATGCAAATATGTGTGGATATGTATGTATGAGTGTGTGTGTGTGTATGTATGTATGTATGTGTGTATGTATGTGTGTATGTATGTACGTCAATGTATTTGCATATGTATATCAGAGCCACAGTTCCCAGATTCGGAAGACGATCAAGAAGAGAATATGGGGGCAGCATCGCTTGTATGCCTTCTACTACTACTACTACTACTACTACTACTACTACTACTACGATGCACTACAAGTCTTCAAGCAAGCATCAGAAGTGAAATAGGAAGTCGAAAAGTTGGAAACTTGGAAAAGTAAACAAATTCCCCGCTCAATTTAATCTCTTCTTATTATCCTTTCTTTTTTCTATTTTTGAAAAAAAAAAAAAAAAAAAAAAAATTATTCGTCGATACGATCAGCAAATCACAACCAAACCAACGCCAAGAGGCAATTCAGAACCACGATTCTTGTTTAGATTACCTACGCATCTCTCGTTCTCAGGGGGGGGGGGGGTCCATCTTTCCTTTTTCCATCCAATACCGGTGGTAGTCGAAAAATACGTCGTAAACAGGCCCAAGCCGAGCCGAGCCGAGCCAGGCCAAGCCAAGCCAGAAAAGGATGATAAAAGTGGATGCCGAATCACCCGTCTCCGTGGCGACCCTTTCCTTACGCTCCTCAAAAGGTCCCTACCTACCTATCGTAGTGGTGCTATCGAATGAGTGGATGCACGCACGGAAATATCCACGGCTTCTTCCACGTCGGCGTACCCAAGCTTGCTGTATCGCCGGCGGGCTCGGCTCGGCTCGGCTTTCTTATCCTTCTCCTGTGACCTGTCTGTAGAGATGGGTGTACCGTACCTACCTAGATGTGCGATGCCGGCTGGGGAGAGAATCTGCTTTGCCTGCCTGCTTGCTTTGCTTGCTTGGTCTTCGTGGTCTCCACTCTTCGCTAGAGGACTGGTTGGTGGGTGTCTGAGCGAGGGAGGGGCGCTGTGTTCTGTGTCTTTGGGAGGGCCTCCTGCTTTGAATCGTGGGGGAGGGCGCTTTGGGCGTGGGGATCGGGGAACTGGTGTACCGGTAGATGGATATAGGTACCGGTACCTATGTGAGCGAAAGGGGGGGTGGAGGGGGGCTGGGACGAATACCTACAAGTATCAATGTCCTTGCTGAGAGGGGAGGGGGAGACGTTGGTATTCAGCTAGGCGAATTATGGGTGGTGGGGGGGGGGGAAGGCAGGCAAATTGCCCAAGGTTTGGAAACTGAATGAACGGAATGGGTGGGATTGAATGGTTTGGCTTACTCGAGTCGTAGTCTCTTTAATTGGGAGTTTATTGAGTTCATCGAGTTCATTAATCTCATGGATTTCATTGAGCTGGTTCACTTATTCATTCATTCAAGCTCTTCACCCATCCCAAGCCAAGCCCAGCCAAGCCTTGTTCTTGGTCCTGATTCTGATCCCCAACCTCGGCCGAGTACCGGTAGTACCGGTACTGGATACCGGAAAGGAATGCTCTCTCCCGCTCCACTACCGGACAATCAAGGATCGCATCTACGCAGCTACGCAATGGGAAGTTGGTGCGTCGCCGACTCACTCAGTAGCAGACTGGCTGGGCCAGATCGTCAATGATCAACACAAACCGCTATCCCGGATGGAGTTGCAAAAGCTGAGCTGAGAGGTGCTCGAAGTTGAAAACGAGACTATGAATCTCCATCTGATAAAGCAGGAGGGGTCGACTTTACCTCGGTACTCGAGCAATGCTGTCGGGGAACCGCCTGTTATCAATGTGTATCTATCTAAAGGATTGGATATACTTTATGGTAATGGCGCGACAGGGCCTCTTCGCAATAGAGAGAATGGATCTGGAAATGTAAGGTTCGAGGGATGACTGATGGCTTTTTGCACCCCGAGATACTCGTCTTTTATGGGATCATGAGCGCTGTCCACGCTTTTGATGCTGGTCTGTACCTGTACCTGTACCTGTACGAGACTAAAGTTTGTCTATTTGTACTTTTGAATCTCTGAGATTGCTGGGTTCGGTTGTGGAGTAAGTGGAGAGAGAAAGAGAGAGAGAGGGACAGAGGGACAGAGAGAGAGAGAGCGAGAGAGAGAGAGAGAGAAGCCCGACCAGGCTGCAAGCGTGACTGAACCATTCACACAGCATCTTCCCTTTCGATGCACTCTATCCAAGACTCTCATACCATACCCGGAACAGCAGAACAGCAAGTCCAGGTTGACAACAGCTCAGAGCCCAAGTGTAACGAACAGTACACAGGGCCACGGGACTCCCGCGCATCACGGAGAGAGGTGGCAGGCCACGAGTGGTGAGTCTCTGCGCCCAGCGGGAGGAATCAGGGGAGCGAAGAAACTGCTCCGAGGCAGAGGGAGGGATGGATCACGGAACCGGAAAATGCGATGATCAACCCGCAAGTCCCTGTCTCCCGTCGGAGAATGTGCCGTGGATCATTCCGAGTCTGGTGATAGACGTTGAGAGGACGACCAGTCGGCCGCAGTTCAAGTTCAAGATCAAGAGAACATGAACGATGCAGATCGAGATCGATTCGAGTTTCGTGATACCGGTCTCCGAATCTATACATTAGCAAGCTCGAGTCCCGTTGGGGGGGGGGTTTATTTAATTTAATTTAATTTAATTTTTTTTTTTTTCCTTGTTTCCAGCGATGGCCGTACGCGTCACGGATACTGAGCAACCGTGCAGCAGAGACGAAGGAAGATCGGTGATCCTGTTAGAAGCAAAGAGAATCCGCCATCCGAAAGAAAGAAACGCCAAAAATGCCAAAAATGCCACTCTCGAAGGCTGCAGCGCTGGTGTGACACGCCTTCCCGCACCGACGGCACGAGGCGTCTTCGCGATCCGTTCGATGGTGACGCTGACTCTGCTTACCGAAGCTTTGACGCGGGGGGTAGACAGCCATCATGTCGTGGACGGTCAGTAAGTACCTAAGTGAATCAGGGCCTGGAACATCTCGGGGAAAAAGCTGGGGTGCATACATCATCATCATGCCATGTTGTTGTGGCTGGAGGTGGAGGAGGAAGAGAAGAATGGGTGCCCTTCTAGAGTAGGTCCTGTAGTACTAGTACCGGTACTGTACCGAGGCTAACTAACCACTTGTCCAGAACGGCCAATATCACTTCGCAGGGAATTAATTGTATTGAGCCTACCTGGCTTGGGAGAGGAGGCTTGATATACTCTCCAGCAATCTGACCATGTGGAAAGGGCAAACTTCCTTCTCCGTCAAGTCCTTCGAGTTGCTCGCCTCGCTTAATGATTAGTTGGGCCTTCTCACATCGGCGCCAACGGTCTGAGGTTGCACTTGGTAATCTCATCTCATGATGCTTGCATCATCATATTAGAGGCGGCGTAGAGGCGTGTACGTATCGTATATCGTATTCGTTCGGCGAGACTCTGACGGATGGTGACCGCTCGTCCCAGCTTTGGGATACGTTGCGTAGCAACTAGCCTTCCGGGTCGGGCTGGGAGTGAGTTGTGCACCGATCAAAGCCCCAACGACAAACGAGATGCGCAGACGGTGGTGTTCTGAGTAACCGGGTTTCCGTTTGGTATATATCCAACCCACTCCCGGACGGAATATCTACGGAATATCTACGGAATATATACCGAACATAGCAAGCTCGAGAAGCCAAGTCAACTAACTACCTGAGATGCGATATTCTAATAACAGCCAATATGCGGCCAGCTGAGGCCTAGCTCCTCCCCAGCTGCTGAGCTGTCACTTGGGGACTTTCTATCCATCTCCCATTGACTGATACCGGTATCTCTCCGAACACACCCAGAGTCAACAACTCAAGTGCTGAGTCCGGACTGACCTCCACACCCCCACGCCTCGCGTAAGCGCCCTCAGATACGTCTATCCCATCCGTGGCCATCTCCCCCGGAGGCCAGACCACCCTCACCCTCACCTCGTCTGACAGACGAGACACGGGCTGGCCCATCTCTCCGGCCATGCAGAAGCAGAACAATGCCGAAGCTGCGTCTTCCTTGCCGGACCGCAAGAGAGCCCGCCAGAGCCAGAATGCCAGCGCAGCCCGGGCGAAGAAAGAAAAAGCAGGGAAGGGAAGGCTCGCAATGTTGGCATATCACATAATATAACATCACCGAGAGGCATCGTAGGGAAAGGAGAAAGGGAGACGAGAAGTACCGGTAGGGCTTCCTACTTGCTGGCTGCGAGGTCCCTCACCGCCTCCTGGAGCTGGCTGTGGTTGCTGCACCCCCATCTCGCCTCACATCCTCTCGCGTCGCAGTGATTCTGATCCCATCGTCTGAAAATGTGACCGATGGACACTGCACTGCACTGCACTGCACTGCACTGCACTGCATGCGCTGTAGGTGAGTTGAGGTGGGTGAGGTGGGTGAGGTGGGTGAGGTGGGTGAGGTGGCATCGCATCACCGTCGCCAACCGGGTGCGAGGAGGGTGTGGAACTGGTCCGTCCGTAGTTTTACCTACTCCAGGTTGAATTCCAACCCCACGATCCGCGAAGTTTCTAGTCTCGAAGTTCTGGATGCAAGTGGCTCGTGAGTTTGAGAGCTGGGATGTGCTGGTGGCACTGTGGCACATTCCTCCGTTTCCCCAGCCATGCATGCCATATATATTTAGTCGGAGACGTATTTACCCGGTGGATGTTTGTTTATTTATACTGTACGGGCGGACACTTCGCAGCCGTCCATGAAATTACGGGTCGCCCGGAGTGGTATGCAAACCACAGCGCTTGCTTTCTTCCCCCCGTCCTCTCTGGGTGGTCATCGCATGCAGTTGGAGTTGTAGTTGGAGTTGGAGTTGTGCTTGTAGTTGTAGTTGTACTTGTAGTTGTAGTTGTACTTGTACTTGTAGTTGTACTTGTAGTTGTACTTGTAGTTGTACTTGTAGTTGTACTTGTCGGTGTCGAGTACCGTACCGGTCTGAGGGTTGCTCAGGCCGGCTCGCTGGACCTGCTACTCCGGTCCGGTACGGTAGAGTTAGTTGTACTACTAACTAAAGATGAAGCCGGGGAAGTCAATCACCCTCCACTCCATTCCAGCGAGAGTCCGGGGTATGAAGTCTCAAGAGTCTCAAGAGTCTCAGCGCGGGCGAGCGAGATTACAGGCCATATAGACAGGGATACAAGCCCAATCTACCCCGTAATGGAACATTCCTCAGCAACCCAACGGACTGGGATTAGTGGAGACCGGCTTCCGGCTGTGTCTTACCATACGCTCCTCTGGACTCTTTTTGCGCATTCTTTTGATTGGAGTCTGGGGACCTCTTTCCTCGCCTGAGATAAGAACGGATCGTGTTTGGGCAAGGGGGGAAGTTGAGTACAGCGGGCAAGTACTGGTACTGGTACTGGTACTGGTACTGACTGGTACGGTAAGGTAGGTAGGTAGTAGGAGTAGTAGTATGATTATTATGATCCGAACATAAAATACCCGGACTCCCCCGACGAGCAATCTCGAATACAATCCTCTCTTCCTATTTAATTCCCCATCTTTCACTCAAAGGACATCTTGCTTCTTCGCTCGAGACACACATACAAAAACCCATACCGGCACATACACCTCGCCACAGATCCCACAGCCTCGCAACATCAACACTATCCCACCGATTCTTGTGCGCTTTACATTCACGTCAACTGTTACCATCACTTGACGATTGCCACTCTCTGTGTTCTCGCAACCAATCCTCCCGAACCCGAAGGGCTTCTGGACTGTTCGGTGAGTAACCTACCTGCCTCAGCCCTATCTGCATCCAACACCGACTAACAACAAGCAAGCCGACTCAGCTCTTCCACCCACTCCACCTTCATAAGAGAAGCACCCGCAACCTCCAACACTCCCGTCTCCAAATCCCAAACAACCTCTCCAAACTCTCAGAAACATATACACATCAACTTTCCCTCTTTCCCTTCTCCTCTAGAAATCATCTCAAAGCAACAAACACGTCAAGTCACGTAACTCCCCCCCTCAAAAAAAAAAAAAGACCAACCAACAAAAAAAAAAAAAAATGCCCACCCAAACCCCCACGCCAATCACCACCCCCATCCCACGCCGCCGCTCCCCTCTCCTCACCAACAGCGCCTTTGGCGACGTCGACATCAACTACCTCTCCACCAGCCTGTCCATGAAAGCCAAGTCCCCCTACATCTTCGTCACGCGCGACAACCAGAACGACTACTCTCCTCCCGCGCCGCCCCCACCCTCGCCCGTCAACTTCCCCTCCGAGAGCTGGAGCACCGCGTGCCGGCGGTAGCTCCTGACCCCCGCCGCGGCCACGCGCTGAGATGAGGTGCGGCGCGATGCGACGCGAGAAGAGACGGGAGCGTGTACAATCTGTATCGAGCATAATAGGAAATAGGAAATAGGAAAATTGAAAATAGGAAATAGAAACCAGGAACCAGGAAACAGGAAACAGGAGTAGGACTCGGGATGGGGGGTAATCGGAGGATCGCGCGCATAGGGATGCCTGCTGCTCTCCTCTCGTCGTTCTGGATGTTGGTTTGTTGGTTTGTTTGTTTGGTTTGGTTGGGTTGGGTTGGGTTTGGTTTTGCGAGTCGGCGCCAGCTCGGCTATCTCTCCGGGGGAATCGATCGGGGGAAGATACGGAGACGGCGTAGGCGAACGACCTTCGGGCGGGCTTCCTCCTCCTCCTCCTCCTCCTCCGGGTGACCCCGAACGAGCGAGCAGGAAAACAAAACAAACAAAAAAAACAAACAAACATACAAACAGACAAACAGACAAACGGCATTTCAACGACGGCAAGGGGGGGGTCGCAGCTCATGCACACCGGTGTTATACGGAGTTATAAAAGAAAACGGTTGCCCTTTTTTGCTTTTTTTTTTCTCGCCGTTCTCTTCTTCCTCTTCTTCTTCTTCTCTCTTTTTTCTCTTCTCACCTCGGGCCTGGTCGTGCGGCTTGCTTGCCATGTTGATGCTTGCTATGCTGGGACGGACCCCTCACCCTCTCTCTTTTCCCACCTGTCTTCTTCTCTCGGTCGTAATCACGAGTAGACACCCACACACACCACATACACACACGCACGGGGCGGTCTCGAATCATCTTTCTCTGTATAATATTGCTCTCCCGATCTTTTCTACTACTCGGGAGGGGAGGGGGGTGTGGGGGGTAGGAGAGAGAGAGAGAGAGAGGGACATGAAATACATGAAATTCCGAGATGGAAAAATAAACAAAAAAAACATTAGCGAGGACATATAACACACACGCACACACACACATATATATATATACATAAGGGCGCGCGGAGACTTTGCATCCTTTCTCACCGCGTATCGGTGGATTCAAGTACCTAGGCAGATGGGAAATACCTAGTAGATAGCAAATAGTACTGCGTACCTAGCTAACCAGATGCGAATGTAAAATGGTATCGAAAGCTTTCGTCGAATCGATCCACTGCCACCATCACCTCATCCTCTTCCTCATCCTCCTCCTCTTCCTCCTCCTCTTCCTCCTCCTCTACCTCTCCAAACGATAAGCGCCTAGCTACGGTATCCCAGCCCAGCACAGCCCGGTACAATAATATACCGTATCACATTACCATCCCCTATCTATCTATCTATCCCATCCTATCCCATCCCATCCCACCCCTTCCCGCTCGCTGTTACACTTAGGCATCCATCACATCACATCACACCACACCATACCGGTACTCCATCCCTCCATCCGTCCTCACCCTATCACCCCCCACTCCCTTTCCCACTCCCACTCCCCCCTTTCCCACTCCCACTCCCACTCCCTCCATCCCTCCCCTCGTCCCAACAACAACAGCCATGCGCCGTGGGCCATGCGCCGTGCGCCGTGGGGGAGGCACTTACTTACCAACCAACGTAAGGACGTAAGGTAGGTAGGGAGGGGAGTGGGGGCTCAACCAACCACCCGCACCAAGATCTCAACCAACTCTCTCTCTCGATCTCTCTCGGGTACGAGGTTGCGAAAGGGAGGGATAGCGGTATGCATGCTACACACACACACACAGATATGTTCGAATGCATAGGTAGTAAGTACTGTTAATGGACCAGGGGCGCGCGCGTTTGGAGCCTCGTTGACGTGGGATGGGGATGGGGATGGTGTGGATGGATGAAGGGGTGAAAGGGGTGGATGGAGGGGTGGATGGGTGGGTGGATGGTTGAAGGGGGTGTGCGAAGCTAGGCTAGAGATGGAGAGAGGGAGAGGGAGAGATGGAGAGAGAGAGAGAGTACCTAGGTAGGTACGGACGGACATACATACATACATACATACGTATACCTAAGTAAAGAGGGATATGGTCAGGCAAGAGAGGAAGAGAGAGAGAGAGAGAGAGAGAGGGATGAGAATAGAATAGAATAGAATAGAATGGAAATACTTTCCCACTTTCTCGCTTTCTCACCCTTCCATTCCTTTCGGCTTTCAGGGAAGACCCGTGCCTTCTCCTCTCTCCTGTCCTCTCCTCTCCTCTCCATCTTCAGCCTACCTAATCATAATATCACACACACACACACACACACACACATCCTCACAAACACGAAAGAGCGACAATGACGATCACATAGGTAGGTAGGTAGATAGAAAGACCAGATTTTTCCTTTTTCATTTGCCTATCATCATCCCCATCATCTCATGTAAGACTAAGGCAGAGCCCCCATTTTTGATTGGGACCCCCCCCCAAAAAGGAGAGGGCATTAATTCCTCTTCTTCCCCCGCCGAGACAGAGAATCGCATGCCTCCTAATGGCTGACCAGATGTGCCGCACCACCTCTCCAGCTCCATGCCTCCGTTCATGAAAAAATCCCAATCATGCATACTCCCCCCTCAAGACCCAAAAGATAGAAAGCCTCGCCCCACGCAATGGGCCATAGATGCAAAGGAGGATCCCCCCCCCCCGTGAACGCCTGCAATGCCGATATATCCCGACGGCTTGCCGGGTGCTGAATATGTACCGACGCCTCTCGATCCGAGATCCGAGGTCGTCGTAAAACTAAAACGTGGTGTAGACAAAGAAGTAGAGAAGAGGTCGGAGTAGGGACCAATTCGAGAAAGAAGTAACGCGAGAGGAGAACCTCGTCTATAGCTCCCGGTAATCGCTCGGTCTCGCCCTACGTTGTCGTCCCTGGTGACGATGCGGGTTAACCGGCTTGCGGAAATAGGCATTGTCCTCTTCATTCGGTAGCGGCTCCGAGAAGACTGTCTTTTGCTGGTTAGGGAACTGGCCAGCGGGCGGTCCTCCTCCTCCGTTGATATTAGGTCGTTGCATGGCTCCGTTGGCCATGTTTCCACCGCCGTTCATCATACCCATGTTAGGCATACCGTTGAAGTTGTTGAAGCTGTTCATATTGGGGAAGGCATTGAAGCCGTTCATGCCCATCATGGGATTCATCATCATGGGATTTGCCATGCCCATGCCGAAGTTGTTCATCATATTTGGCATACCGTTGAAGCAGCCGCTAGGACCGTAGAACTGGTTGGGCATTGCGAAAGGCATGGGAGGGAATCCGTTCATGCCATTCATCATCTGTTGCTGATTTTGCAACGCTTGCTGCTGTTGCATTGCCTTTGGTCCTTTCGGGATCTTGGGGTTCTCAAGCAGCTCATCCGCTGGGCGTTTCTTGGGGTTGCTTGCATTTACAGGAGCCTTGTTATCGGCTGTGGGTGTGGTTAAGGTGGTTGTTGTTGTTGTTGTTGATGATGATGTTGGTGGCGACTTGCCCTTGGCTGGTGGAGAGGGTGACTTGGACTTCGCCTTCACATCAGGTGCTGGTGTGGTCTCAGGCTTCACGCTCGGACTGCTCGATCTTTGTTTCTCGGCTTTGGAGGCAGCGTTCTTCTCTTCCAGGTAGACCTTGATCTTGGCAGAAGTCTCATCGTCAGGCGTCAGATCGTCAATCAACACGCCTTCAGTCTGGCAACCAGGACAAGTGAAGTCGCTCTCAATGAGCGCGTTAGTAATGCATTCATTGCAGAATGTCTTCTCACAACAGGGCGTCTTCATTGGGTCTATGAATATTCTCTTGTCGATGGAACACTCCAATCCCCTATCCTGCAACTCCTTGTCCCCCAACGCAGCAGCCTTCTGCGCCGCAGCAGACGACTTGGTCTTTGCTTGGAACTGCTCCCAGGATGCCTTGTCTGGCTCAGCAATGACAAATTGACCCTCCGCGTTCACCATGATACCAGAAGGTGGCTTTGAATCCTCCGTACCATCTCCATTAAGAGCCGTGGGCTTATCAACGGTCTTGAGGAATGATCTGGGAATACCAGTTGTACGCTTGATACGAGGCTTATTCTCGAAAGTTGGGTCATCGTTCGTCGGGCACTCCTTGATCCAATGCCCTTTCTCTCCACAACGATAGCAGATATAACCTGGAGGCGGCTCGTTATCCGAGGTCTTCTTGTGATTGTTGTGGTGATAAATCTTTGTTTGCCTAGGAAATGTTAGCTGCGGATTTTCCGATGGTATGCGGTCAACTTACTTTCCCATCTCCTGCAGTTGATCGTTCCATTGTTCAGTCTGGGCTTGGAACATGGCGTTCATGCGCTCCTCTTCTGTCATGGAGGCATTGTTCATCTGTGCCATGGCGTTACTTGTAGCGCTTGCCTTTGCATGTTGCTTTGCCTGCTCCTTGCGCGACGAGTTTTTCGCGTTTAGTGGCATTTTGCCAGTCATATATCTCTGCGCACGTCCGGCACCTCTCTTGATGGCAGGCAGGCGGCGGGCCGTAACGGTCGTCGAACGGGGTACGATGGCTGTATCGTCATCGTATTCTGGCTGTCGTTAGTATCTCTATTGCACGATAGTTGAGTAAGACTTGCCTTCTTTTCCGTCTTCATCGTAGATTATGAGATCGAATTCTGTACCATCACCTAGACCGCTTGTGATAATGATATCACGCTTGAGCTCGAAGACGGAGATACCAGTACCGTCGAACTTGATTTGCTGAGCGTCCTTCTGGGACTTGAACTTGAAAAATACTGAGGAGGCCATGATGGCGACCCGGAATGTCGTGGTAGTTGCCTTGTCGATGGTGAGTGTGTAGAGCAGAGGAGACAGGCTATCCTATGCACTTGGGGGGAAAACGCAAAGTAGTGCTCAAGAGTGAAAGGGGGACAAATTTTTGATTGCGACCTTTTTGACTTCAGGTTTCTTCTTTCTTTCTTTTTCCGCTCAAAGAGAACGAGGTGAAATCAAATCTGATTGCAATCACTGGATGTACCAGGGGCTCTGGACACACGAGAAGCTCTGAGAGACACGAAGGAAAATGTACAGGATCGCAAGCAGCACCGCTGCGAGTGTGATGATCTGAAATTGTTGGGTTCTTCCTCCACCACACACAAAAGCAACTGGACTTCACTACCACAAGTGCGCGCAGCTCCGAATTCACTTTCCACCAAGTATGCTCCTCCGCAATTCCTGGGCGTCGTTCAGACAGCAAGGGTGCTGGTGTTCTATTCCGATGGCAGGACGATAGGTTGAGGTCGAGGGCCGATGGACGACGGTGTTTCGTGATGGGGTTGTTGAGGTTGTTGAGGTTGTCGTGGTCTCTGGTGCGAGGAGATGAAGGTGGGGAATGAAGGGAATCAAAGGTGGCTGGAATAAATGACAAAGAGCGAAGGCGCTAGTGCGTAGCGTCACAAACATGTATCACGTGATATGTCACATGAAGGTAAAGCAAACGTGAGAGCTTAGCTAAATATTTGCAATACAAGATGTGAATAAGAAACACGAGCCATTCACAATCCTACGTTCCAGTTTCGTACGCAAATTTCTAGTCGCTATCAAGCTATTCACCTCACTCATAATCACCCCTCGACCGGTCTCACTCACGATCAGCTGATTTAACCCAAAACTCCATCCTCGAATCAGTATCCAGCCGGCTAGATATTAGCTACCATGGACATTGCCACTTGCCCTGGGATTCCTTTCTTGCCTCCCTAGGCCTCAGGAATTTCTAATGAATTCTCCTTTTGTGGCCCTCGCAGGGAGAGATAGCGCGAGCAGGTTGCCGCTGCAGAGCGAGCCTCTAGAGGTCCGCCAAAAAAAAATCAATGAAAAGGCTCCGAGAGTAGATCAAGTCACTGCCGGGACTCTACTTAATAATACGGGTATCCTTTTTCAAGAGGCTGATAATTTTTGTCTGTCTATTGCATATGAGTATGAGCGGGTATGAAGATACCAGAATAGAAATCCAGCTTAGAAATTGAGACTCGATCCTTCTCGCACCTATCTTTTGCAAGAAACTCCATGCTCTCTCCGGCGGCACGACTCTGTGAACATATCAAAGACTGATGCGTATTGCGTAGTTGTTGCCACCTATTGAAGCTAGCCATGTACTTTTAACTGCTTCTTCACAAGACACGCTTGTTGAAAATGAGAGACAGTCCGTTGTGTTATAAGGAGACATTCACTTTGCACATATGTGTCACCACTATAATTCAAATTCAAATCCAAAGCTATTACACTCACGAGGTAAAGCTCGATGGCGTGGCTCGAGACTATTGCCATGACTCCATCTGAATAAAAGTCGCTCAAGTAAATTTTTCGTTCCAAAGCGGATAAGTTCGATTCTTCATTCCAACCCGAAACAGTACACATAATCTCGGTACCGAAGCAGATACGTTCCATTGTTCATTCCAACCCTAAACCGCACACGTAATCTACAGGATGATGCGTTCTCTCTTCGCAAGCTACCCTCTCCAGCGAGGCACACCGAGCTGCTGCCGGTGGCCATGTTTGACCCCGGGTATCCTGCTGATATATCAGTATACGGTATCATTCACTGTATTTCCCAGGGGGAGGGAAGTACGAACCTGACACCATGAAAGAACACAGCTCCACCAGCCCAGCTACAAATGCTCATCCATGATGCGACCCCCCTCACGACGAGGTTGGCCGATAGGCCGACCATGCACCTTTATTGGTCCGAACAGGTTGCTGGGCTGGTACTTGATGTCCCAGTCCGTGGAGCCCAACTACCCTTGTACGAGAGGACGTAAGATGGCAGTTCTGTAGAACTCCAGGGCAGTATTCTAGGGCA